TATCACAGTCTAAACATAATCTACTGAACGTTCAAATGTCAACCATCACCATTTAATGTATCACAGTCTAAACATAATCTACTGAACGTTCAAATGTCAACCATCACCATTTAATGTATCACAGTCTAAACATAATCTACTGAACGTTCAAATGTCAACCATCACCATTTAATGTATCACAGTCTAAACATAATCTACTGAACGTTCAAATGTCAATCATCACCATTTAATGTATCACAGTCTAAACATAATCTACTGAACGTTCAAATGTCAACCATCACCATTTAATGTATCACAGTCTAAACATAATCTACTGAACGTTCAAATGTCAACCATCACCATTTAATGTATCACAGTCTAAACATAATCTATTGAACGTTCAAATGTCATCCATCACCATCTAATGTATCACAGTCTAAACATAATCTATTGAACGTTCAAATGTCAACCATCACCATTTAATGTATCACAGTCTAAACATAATCTATTGAACGTTCAAATGTCAACCATCACCATCTAATGTATCACAGTCTAAACATAATCTACTGAACGTTCAAATGTCAACCATCACCATCTAATGTATCACAGTCTAAACATAATCTATTGAACGTTCAAATGTCAACCATCACCATCTAATGTATCACAGTCTAAACATAATCTACTAAACGTTCAAATGTCAACCATCACCATCTAATGTATCACAGTCTAAACATAATCTACTAAACGTTCAAATGTCAACCATCACCATCTAATGTATCACAGTCTAAACATAATCTACTAACGTTCAAATGTCAACCATCACCATCTAATGTATCACAGTCTAAACATAATCTACTAAACGTTCAAATGTCAACCATCACCATTTAATGTATCACAGTCTAAACATAATCTACTGAACGTTCAAATGTCAACCTTCACCATCTAATGTATCACAGTCTAAACATAATCTACTAAACGTTCAAATGTCAACCATCACCATCTAATGTATCACAGTCTAAACATAATCTATTAAACGTTCAAATGTCAACCTTCACCATCTAATGTATCACAGTCTAAACATAATCTACTAAACGTTCAAATGTCAACCATCACCATTTAATGTATCACAGTCTAAACATAATCTACTGAACGTTCAAATGTCAACCTTCACCATCTAATGTATCACAGTCTAAACATAATCTACTAAACGTTCAAATGTCAACCATCACCATCTAATGTATCACAGTCTAAACATAATCTACTAAACGTTCAAATGTCAACCATCACCATTTAATGTATCACAGTCTAAACATAATCTACTAAACGTTCAAATGTCAACCATCACCATCTAATGTATCACAGTCTAAACATAATCTACTAAACGTTCAAATGTCAACCATCACCATTTAATGTATCACAGTCTAAACATAATCTACTGAACGTTCAAATGTCAACCATCACCATTTAATGTATCACAGTCTAAACATAATCTACTAAACGTTCAAATGTCAACCATCACCATTTAATGTATCACAGTCTAAACATAATCTACTGAACGTTCAAATGTCAACCTTCACCATCTTATGTATCACAGTCTAAACATAATCTACTAAACGTTCAAATGTCAACCATCACCATCTAATGTATCACAGTCTAAACATAATCTATTGAACGTTCAAATGTCAACCTTCACCATCTAATGTATCACAGTCTAAACATAATCTATTGAACGTTCAAATGTCAACCATCACCATCTAATGTATCACAGTCTAAACATAATCTATTGAACGTTCAAATGTCAACCATCACCATCTAATGTATCACAGTCTAAACATAATCTATTGAACGTTCAAATGTCAACCATCACCATCTAATGTATCACAGTCTAAACATAATCTATTGAACGTTCAAATGTCAACCATCACCATCTTATGTATCACAGTCTAAACATAATCTACTAAACGTTCAAATGTCAACCATCACCATCTAATGTATCACAGTCTAAACATAATCTACTGAACGTTCAAATGTCAACCATCACCATTTAATGTATCACAGTCTAAACATAATCTACTAAACGTTCAAATGTCAACCATCACCATCTAATGTATCACAGTCTAAACATAATCTACTAAACGTTCAAATGTCAACCATCACCATCTAATGTATCACAGTCTAAACATAATCTATTGAACGTTCAAATGTCAACCTTCACCATCTAATGTATCACAGTCTAAACATAATCTACTGAACGTTCAAATGTCAACCATCACCATTTAATGTATCACAGTCTAAACATAATCTACTAAACGTTCAAATGTCAACCATCACCATTTAATGTATCACAGTCTAAACATAATCTACTGAACGTTCAAATGTCAACCATCACCATTTAATGTATCACAGTCTAAACATAATCTACTGAACGTTCAAATGTCAATCATCACCATTTAATGTATCACAGTCTAAACATAATTTATTGAACGTTCAAATGTCATCCATCACCATTTAATGTAACACAGTCTAAACATAATCTATTGAACGTTCAAATGTCAATCATCACCATTTAATGTATCACAGTCTAAACATAATTTATTGAACGTTCAAATGTCATCCATCACCATCTAATGTATCACAGTCTAAACATAATCTATTGAACGTTCAAATGTCAACCATCACCATCTAATGTATCACAGTCTAAACATAATCTATTGAACGTTCAAATGTCAACCATCACCATCTAATGTATCACAGTCTAAACATAATCTACTAAACGTTCAAATGTCAACCATCACCATCTAATGTATCACAGTCTAAACATAATCTACTAAACGTTCAAATGTCAACCATCACCATCTAATGTATCACAGTCTAAACATAATCTACTAAACGTTCAAATGTCAACCATCACCATCTAATGTATCACAGTCTAAACATAATCTACTAAACGTTCAAATGTCAACCTTCACCATTTAATGTATCACAGTCTAAACATAATCTACTGAACGTTCAAATGTCAACCTTCACCATCTAATGTATCACAGTCTAAACATAATCTACTAAACGTTCAAATGTCAACCATCACCATCTAATGTAACACAGTCTAAACATAATCTATTAAACGTTCAAATGTCAACCTTCACCATCTAATGTATCACAGTCTAAACATAATCTACTAAACGTTCAAATGTCAACCTTCACCATTTAATGTATCACAGTCTAAACATAATCTACTGAACGTTCAAATGTCAACCTTCACCATCTAATGTATCACAGTCTAAACATAATCTACTAAACGTTCAAATGTCAACCATCACCATCTAATGTATCACAGTCTAAACATAATCTACTAAACGTTCAAATGTCAACCTTCACCATTTAATGTATCACAGTCTAAACATAATCTACTAAACGTTCAAATGTCAACCATCACCATCTAATGTATCACAGTCTAAACATAATCTACTAAACGTTCAAATGTCAACCTTCACCATTTAATGTATCACAGTCTAAACATAATCTACTAAACGTTCAAATGTCAACCATCACCATTTAATGTAACACAGTCTAAACATAATCTACTAAACGTTCAAATGTCAACCATCACCATTTAATGTATCACAGTCTAAACATAATCTACTGAACGTTCAAATGTCAACCTTCACCATCTTATGTATCACAGTCTAAACATAATCTACTAAACGTTCAAATGTCAACCATCACCATCTAATGTAACACAGTCTAAACATAATCTATTGAACGTTCAAATGTCAACCTTCACCATCTAATGTATCACAGTCTAAACATAATCTATTGAACGTTCAAATGTCAACCATCACCATCTAATGTAACACAGTCTAAACATAATCTATTGAACGTTCAAATGTCAACCTTCACCATCTAATGTATCACAGTCTAAACATAATCTATTGAACGTTCAAATGTCAACCATCACCATCTAATGTAACACAGTCTAAACATAATCTATTGAACGTTCAAATGTCAACCATCACCATCTTATGTATCACAGTCTAAACATAATCTACTAAACGTTCAAATGTCAACCATCACCATCTAATGTATCACAGTCTAAACATAATCTACTGAACGTTCAAATGTCAACCATCACCATTTAATGTATCACAGTCTAAACATAATCTACTAAACGTTCAAATGTCAACCATCACCATCTAATGTATCACAGTCTAAACATAATCTACTAAACGTTCAAATGTCAACCATTACCATCTAATGTAACACAGTCTAAACATAATCTATTGAACGTTCAAATGTCAACCTTCACCATCTAATGTATCACAGTCTAAACATAATCTACTGAACGTTCAAATATCAACCACCACCATTTAATGTATCACAGTCTAAACATAATCTACTAAACGTTCAAATGTCAACCACCACCATTTAATGTATCACAGTCTAAACATAATCTACTAAACGTTCAAATGTCAACCACCACCATTTAATGTATCACAGTCTAAACATAATCTACTGAACGTTCAAATGTCAACCACCACCATTTAATGTATCACAGTCTAAACATAATCTACTAAACGTTCAAATGTCAACCACCACCATTTAATGTATCACAGTCTAAACATAATCTACTAAACGTTCAAATGTCAACCACCACCATTTAATGTATCACAGTCTAAACATAATCTACTAAACGTTCAAATGTCAACCACCACCATTTAATGTATCACAGTCTAAACATAATCTACTGAACGTTCAAATGTCAACCATCACCATTTAATATGCCAAAGACTAATGCTTAACATACCGTGTTATATGTTTGTAAATGTAGATCGTCCAGGTTAGTATAGTCCTGAGAAGGACTGTTTTTGTTGTTGTTAACTGACGTTTCGACAACTTTAGCGGTAGTCATCTTCACAGTCAATGTGAATCTGGACGATCTACATCTACAAACATTTAACGATACTCTCGGGTATTTACTTTATAGCTTGTGTAACGTGTGCAAAGTTAAAATTATCTATATTTACCTCATCCAAATCCATTTCGTCTGGTCTAGTTTTTGAAAATCTGAATTTTACGACAAATCTTTCAAGAGTCCTAAAAAAAATGCAAAAGTCTCAGTGTATGAAACCAGAGAAATGAGGCTCGCACAGACATCACGAGAAAGAAAGATAAATAAATACAAGCATTATGTAAAATATAAAATATTAAGATCACGAATGTTATCCCCACTTAAATGAATCGTTTTGCAAATTTGAAAAATAAACTACAAACAGAAATGCGTTGTAAACTTACCATCACGATAAATGATTAAAATGTCACATAAAATCTATCACTGTACAAATTATATGCTCAATATTTTTAATTTATTGATTCTTAGGAAATGCAGTAAATCTACTAGCAATAAAATCGCTTTTGAAATACGGAAGTCATTGCAAATTCCTTAACGTCCTAATTTCTGACGTTTTCGCTATTTCCAATTTCCTAGATGATGTTATCGCAACGTACCTACGTAAAAAGGCAAAGCATAAAGATAAGCATCTCGCCATTCTTTTATAGAACCAATGCAAAATATAATTAAATTTTAATAAAGCTCAACGAAAGGACGTGGATGTCTTGCCCGAACGGAACAAAATGTCGAGATTACCAAGAAAGTAAATATTGATTGAGAATGCGTAGGAGATGTTGATAGAACACTTCTAGCCGAACATAAAGCGCTCCCCGGGTTTTATTGATTAAGCGATAAAAAAAATATGAAATATTATAGCCATGAATGAATCAATTTACAGACATGTATGATATTGGTACTATAAAGTTTTTTTAACAATTGTCACACAGCTGTCAGGTGATAGTATAATAAGGATTTATTTAAGTATTATTTAGACATGATTTAATAAGTAATTTGACCAAAATAATGAATGAAACAAATGACTCAGTATCATAGTTTCCCATTTCACGGAAGGATTAACAACGACTCTAATAACCACCAATTATATTGTTATTTTGATGAATGAAATTTGTTAAAATCAAATAAACAACCACATTTATAATAAAAATAGTTGTTCTTAATTCTTACAGCTTTTTTCAACAAAATGTGATAAAAATCCACAAAACTTCTTTAAAACAAAGACGGTTTAAAGAAACGAACGATATCTTTAATATCATATTCAAAACTTCCTTTAAAGCATGAAAGACAAAAGAATATTGTTAAGATTCATAAAAGTCAGAAACGAACGTCCACAGAAATACATAGCACTCAATTACTTTCTTCTAAAATTTAAAGATTTATCATGCTATACACAAGAACATTCAACACATCAAAGAAATGTAAACAAATATCACACCTATCAATATGGTCTTTGTCGAAAACATTTGCTCTCCGTTGTCAAAATCTTTACTACACGCGTGTTTAATTGAGGAAATCTTATGTAGTACTCCATGCTTTCAAAATCTCAATATTATCACAAACAAATTTCGATCGATTTACGCGCTATCAAGTCCGAAACGATTCAACCTTTGTATAATCCTTGGTACGAAATCATGAACGTTGAGATTTCAATAAACAGATTGTTTGTTTTGTTCTGTCATAAACGATTAACACAACAGGCAGATTTATTTAAAACAAGCCAATATAGAACCCACCTGTAGATACAACCTTCATAAAGTATTCGTTTAAATCAGCTTGAAAATCATGTGCAGTACCATTCGTATATTGAACTTTTATTGGTTTATTGTAAAATAAACGCAAGATTTAAATAGCTTACACTTTTCTAGCTGTCATAATCGATCCTTCACGATTGGCGGTGATGGCTCATAACTACAAGTCGCCATTTTCATTCAATATTGGCTCCATAATCTTGTTCAATAAAACATTAATTCACAAATCTTGTCACATTCCTTTGGATTGACCGTTTTGAATATCAATTTCTTTCCTGCGGGGGGTTGTCTAGTAAAATTTAAACTTTGAGATGACGTAGTAAAGATATTGTTATAACTTTCACGATGTATAAGTAGTTGAAGCTGAAGTATATCTTTGCAAAAAAGCAATTTATAGTACATACACAACGGGTTAAATACTATTGCAATTTCCGTAGATGTTTTCACAAACCACAATGAACGATATTCCGGTCGGTTCGTCTGTGCACATGACTGGATGTCTGCTATCGGACATTTTCTATACCTACGAGGATATGTCTAGGAGTTTTTGACCGACATCTGATCAATGCAGGTAAAATTGTGGTTTTTTAAAATACTTTTTTCAGCAGCTTTTCCAAGATCGCCTCAAAATACCCATGATGACATGGATGGACTATGGTGCCATCATCGCTATCATCACTATTTTCTGTGTGTCAATATTATTTTCAGTTGTATTTTCATTTCAAAAACAAATTTCACATGAAACTTTACTTTACAATGCAAATTTAAATTTGATTTTATTATTTAAATACGTATTTTATTTAGTTTCATTCCAAAAGCGTAAATGAAATTTAAAATGCACTTTCCTATGCGTGGCCAAGCGTTATCACCACTGATCTGATAATAGTCTGGATAAAGTTTCTTTAGTTAGCAAACAAGTGAAGCCTATTTACTCACTGGCTCATGAAGTCAGCAAAAAAACATACAGCAATCTCTAGAGTATAAAGAATGATAAAATAAAGGTGCTTACCGTATTTTGCTAGCATGGAAAATTATTCTAGATCATAACTGCCTCTGAACTTGGAAAGCGAGCTGTGAATTATCTTGCCTTGGCAACATTGAGATCATTTCGATGTCAAATTGTTTTACAAAACTTGTTTTATCCATTACGGATATTTGAGTTTAGTAAAAGGTCGTGCAATGCCTTAAATATTCGAAAACCAAGTTTGTCATTTGTTTGTATCTCCTGTGGTACCCCGAAATGAATTTTGCATATATAATTAGCTTCACTTATTTGCTAACTATAGAAACTATATCCAGACTATTATCAGATCAGTGGTGATAACGCTGGACCACGCGTAGGAAAGTGCTTTTCAAATTTCATTTACGCTTTTAGAATGAAACTAAATGAAATACGTATTTAAATAATAAAATCAAATTTAAATTTACATTGTAAAGTAAAGTTTCATGTGAAATTTGTTTTTGAAATGAAAATACAACTGAAAATAATATTGACACACAGAAAATAGTGATGATAGCGATGGGCCACTATAGATGTACTAAAATTGCTGAATATAAACTGGTTATTTTGTTTACGCAATGACCTATGGTACAAGGCTGAGTAAAAATCAACTTCAAAACAGAACTACATCAGCAGATTTTGTTATGAAATCAATATACAATCATGTCAATAAATAGATACAAATTAATTGCATTTAAACATAGCAAAATTTACAATTTCTCATTCTATTTACAATTTTTTAACATCAAAGATGGATGGAATGTCTTAAGTGGATAGTTATAAAGTTCTAAAACAAACCATTAAACAAAGAAGGGACGTTAAGGAAGTGTATGAGAAGATAAACGAGCGAAAAGAAGGAAGAGATCGAAGAGGGAGATAAAAGAAAGTGAAATATAAGTTACTAGGTGATATCTTGATTTTGTAAACGAAGTTTTTTATACAAAAACTTTACAATTGCGTATTATATTGCGTAGGGTTTTGATGGATCAATTTTTCGTTATTGTTAAAGCGAAAGTACATGTCGATTAAATCTGCGATGTCACGTCCCTGCGAAACGAATATTGCTTTGGTGAGTACAATTCTTATTTTCTATTTTGTTCTCGTTCTCGTTCTCTGTTGTTCATTCATCACTACCTACTGACACACGTTATCTTATTTCTTATATATTTTAGTTAGTGTAAAGACTGTTCTTGTTCTCTGTTGTTCATTCATCACTACCTACACTGACACACGTTATCTTATTTCTTATATATTTTAGTTAGTGTAAAGACTGTTCTTGTTCTCTGTTGTTCCATTCCATTTGTTATCTTATTTCTTATTATATTTATTGTTCATCCACTGTTATCTTCTCTCTTCCATTCCTTCATTTCCTTATTCTCTATTTCATTCATTCCATCCACTACCTTACATTTCCTCTTCTCTTCTCATTCATTCCACTACCTACTTGTTATCTTATTTCTTATATTTTAGTTAGTTAAGAACTGTTCTCATTCTCTGTTCATTCATTCCTACACTGACCACACGTTATCTTATTTCTTATATATTTTAGTTAGTGTAAAGACTGTTCTTGTTCTCTGTTGTTCATTCATCACTACCTACACTGACACACGTTATCTTATTACTTATATATTTTAGATAGTGTAAAGACTGTTCTTGTTCTCTGTTGTTCATTCATCACTACGTTATCTGTCCTAATTCTATCTATTCTGTTCATTCCACTGTTATCTTATATATTTCTTCCATTCTCTGTTGTTCCATTCATCCACTACCTACATTTTATCTTATCTTATTTCTTATTTAAGTTTCTCTGTTCTCTGTTCATTCATCCACTATCTACGTTATCTTATTTCTTATATATTTTAGTTACTTTAAAGACTGTTCTTGCTCTCTGTTGTTCATTCATCACTACCTACACTGACACACGTTATCTTATTTCTTATATATTTTAGTTACTTTAAAGACTGTTCTTGCTCTCTGTTGTTCATTCATCACTACCTACACTGACACGTTATCTTTATTTTATATTTTAGTTAGTGTAAAGACTGTTCTTGTTCTCTGTTGTTCATTCATCACTACCTACACTGACACACGTTATCTTATTTCTTATATATTTTAGTTAGTGTAAAGACGGTTCTTGTTCTCTGTTGTTCATTCATCACTACCTACACTGACACACGTTATCTTATTTCTTATATATTTTAGTTAGTGTAAAGACTGTTCTCGTTCTCTGTTGTTCATTCATCACTACATACACTGACACACGTTATCTTGCATATTTTAAACCTAAACAACTACCGAATGGTTTTATGAGATCTCACTAATAACTTACAAGAGTAGTTTCAATTCTTGTCATTTTCTGAACCATCAGATTACCACATTTCAAGTCAAGATATTGTCTCCTTCGCTCTCCAGATATCAAAAGTCGAGTTGAAATGACTTCATTGTAAGAAAAACTCAAAAGTGTTTCCTAAAAAATTGAGAAAATTAAAACTTGAGAGTCGCTGCTGAAAGAAGTAATAGAATTTTTTCATACTTTTGTTTGAAAGTCCAGAAAATGAACGCCATTTTTGTTGATCGCAATGATACACTCGCGACCAATTTTGGAATGACTGCAATGCTACAGAAGATATTTTACGAAATGTTTATAATGTTTATCAAAGAAAGCGCTGATTTATAATCTCCGCTTGCTTTTCCCACTCAATTTGTCTCTGTGTCCATTTTCCCGAGTTTTCCATTATCGGAAGGTAAAGGCATAATTCAATATTTATTTATTTTATCTTCCTTGAACTATGGTATTCGGAAATGTAAAATTTACAATAACTTACTCTTATGTGGAAAAACGTGGAACCGTAGTATTGCCATTTCCATACAATTTCTGCAAAAATAAAACAATCACACTGACATAACGTGATCCAACTCCAACAAATTTCTCAAAAATTGACGAGAAATTCACAAAAAAAATTGAGAGGCGTCAAAAATCATCATTCGAGGCTGAGATACAAAATAAAACAAATTCCGAAAACGGACATCTCGTTTTCTTGATATTCAAGATAGTACAAGAGTTTGAAACAAAAGATGGTGTAATATTTCGTCTTTATTCCAAAGACATCATCAGACTTACAATGCAGGCTGCGAAACGTTTATATATTTATATATTTTGTATTGCTTGAAATTGTTTGCTTGTCCTGGTTACGAGGCTAAGATGATCAGACAAATCTTTACACTGACAGATTTGTCTTTCTTGTTTTGATGTTAATGCCATTACGTAAAATTTAATTCGTCGAAGAAAGTTTTTCTGAAGTCAACTTTCGCAGTGATTTCATAAACCATTAACCAACATACTTAAATTTAATTCAGCATTGAAGTAGCAGAGCTCCGTTATCTAGTCATCAGCTAAGTCGAACCTGTATTAAACGGACACTTCGTAAAGTCTGGCATTTAATCGCACATAGCTAATTCAAAAAATGAAACTCCTAAAGTGGGGACACTAGTCCGTTTCGTGAAGGTACCACTTAATACAGGTTTAATTGTGTTAATATTTCCATGTTTACTGATTGCGAAAAACAATAGATTCATAAAGAAATGAATGATGCTTATGTTCTGAAATTATACACAGCAAGATCAAACTTTCGGACTGACTATATCCACTGTCAATCAGATAAAAAAAACAAACAAACCAAATGCGGGCATAAGAAAAATTATCAACTCCACCTAAGTATCTTTTTTTTTGCTTTCATCAAGAGAAAGTTTATTTATGTTTTGATGGTGATTTTGAACCATAGCCAGCCATTGTTGTGAGCTTAGTGACTTCACGATGCAGTCTGGAATTGACTTTGAAACATGTTTCCTTAAGGTAAATAAAGAAACATAGTCAAATGAAAGCAATATATTACGACATAAACATTGAGAATATGTAGATCAACAAACTAACACGGTATATTTAAAACATACAAAGCCAACAAAGATCTTCTACGATGATTTTTATATCTAAGTGCTTTGCATCGTCGATTTGCCACTGGGCCAGTGCACAATACAGACGCCCCCCCAGGATAGATTTGCGATAGAATCTTCCCACAACATATTTCAATATATCCAGGGGAGCATTTTCAAAGGCTTACTGGAGCTTCTGGAGGGGGGAGGGGGGCAGTAAAAATTTTCCTCAACTCAATGAAATGGCAGACTTCTGGGCTTCAAATTAAACGTAATAATTTCTCTCGTATTTTTTGCGCGGCGAACGTTGAAAATTTGCCCAACTTTCCAATTTTCAAACTTTCTAGGCAGGGGGAAGCTGTCCCAACCCTCCGTCTCGTGCGCCTTTCAAAAGTTTTCATAGTTAAATCAGTTATATAAGACGTACCAAGTTGGTGGTTGACGATTTCCAAGAATGTGATACTCCAATGCAGTCAGTAATGACACCTGATTCTGAAGGTTAACATCTACAGTCTGCCCGCCAAGCAGGTCACCTGATTTGACGCTGGGAAAAACCTGATTGTATAACATATCAAGTAATGATTGATTTTCATAACGAAGATCTTTAAGCCATACAACACGCCGGAAGTGCATGTGGTGATCTACTCGCTTCCGGTCTAAGATCGATATGACATCCATGATGTACTGATTGGCGCGAACTGGTTCCAATGTTTTCACTGAAAAAAGATCGCGTTGACAAGATATTAATGTGAATAATGATTCTTTTAAGAACAGTCCAGTTTCTTATAGAGTAAAGTTTTATTTCTTCCGCTCACTGTGATTGGCTAGACGAGAGAATCGCCTACGACATATGAGTGAACGAGTTGATAAATAAATAAACCAATCACAACCAATCAGTAAGCTTTGAATGACTGTGATTGGTCAATGATTGGTAAGTGTTGATGATTGCTATAGAAGCCAAATTTAGCCTAGACATAATATTGAGTAACACAGTTTCACCATGAGCACAGACTCTCCCTCCTGCTTCATATAGTTAAAAAATTTAGAACAGGGGGGAGTGTTTAAGTTCGCCCGAAAGAATCTGGTAAAAAATTTACATGGATGGTCAAACTGATTACAACATGAAGTTTTAAACACGAAGCTAAGCATCATTCTCAAATGAAAGTGAAATTTCAAAACATAAAATTTTCGTTTAGTCAATGACATCGCCACCATTAGACTTTAATACAGGGTTGTTATTTTCACAAACCTTTTCGTAAATATGTAAACATTCCAAACTCGTTGCATTCATCTTCTCCTGACAGATCCAACTCATTACATAGACCCTTTATCGCATCGTAACCGGTCTAGAGCATAAGTCAAGAAAAATATTTGAAAAATTCGAAGACTTCAGTGCAATTGACACTAAACAGGTTTTCACAGTTTAACTTACACTGCACGTTTGGACCTTTAAAACTTTTACTATACCACCAGGAAGATAAATTGGAAGTCGCTTCGTGCTTCGCCCTTGCTGTGAATGAATGAATTAGTGAGTAAATACATAAACGCCAGGGCCATGGCTGTAGTAAAAAACAGGGGCAGGGGAAACTTATTTTTAAAGGCTAAACTTGAGCCACCATTAACTCATAAGATAACGTTAAAGTGAATGCAGTGTATTGTAACTACAGATGACATTGCACGCTGGTTTACAAAATGTAAAACAAGCATACTTTCTAAATACAGTAAAACGAGTTACATGAGTTGAATAGCAAATATTTGCAAGGTTTCACCCCCCTCCTACACAACATCAATAGCAAAGCCTCTTATCTTCACCCTCTCCCACAACACCATCCATAGCAAAACCTCAAATCTTCACCCCCTCCCACAACACCATCCATAGCAAAACCTCAAATCTTCACCCCCTCCCACAACACCATCCATAGCAAAACCTCAAATCTTCACCCCTCCCACAACACCATCCATAGCAAAACCTCAAATCTTCACCCCTCCCACAACACCATCCATAGCAAAACCTCAAATCTTCACCCCTCCCACAACACCATCCATAGCAAAACCTCAAATCTTCACCCCTCCCACAACACCATTCATAGCAAAACCTCACACCTTCACCCCCTCCCACAACACCGTTCATAGCAAAGCCTCACATCTTTAACAATCGTTGTTAAGCTGTGGTTAAATGATAACATGATCATACTTACGATAAGTTGTTCCATTTCGTCAGGTCCAGGTTCAGTTCTACGTCCGCCATACTTCATCGTCTTTAATAAATTCATTTCAGCGTTTGAGGCAGCACCTTAATAGTCACACAGATATCTTTTATCACAAAATACAAAAATATTCATGAATATCAAAACTAATCTACAGTTAATTTTTTGTAGGAATTTTACATCTTTGCTTTGCCACTCTTCAGGTGAGGTAAAAAAAGGCAACACCCCCCCCGACAGGAATCAACAAATGTATTAATAGTTTGTTCTGTTATCAAAGCCAATACGGGGGGTAGGGGGACAGGAGGACATCCTAACCTGAAAAGGACTTCAAAAGTATGAGTTATGATTATAGCATTTTGACTTCAAATAAATTTTACTTTTGGTATTAAAGTTTGTTCAAGTCACTGTAGTAGTTTTGCTTTCATGTTCTTCGTTTCTTGTAGGCACTGATATTTGAAATGACGTCATACGTTGCCAGACAAAATTTTTCCCGCCACAATATCCGTAGGCGGCTCTGACTAATAGTTTATAACTAACCATGAAACTCTCGCTTGGGATCGTTCGAGATGGTCTGGAGAAAACGAAGTAGATAAGGTCGAAGAACTTCTGAACATTGAAGATAGGCAGTGAGAATAATGAACAATCTCCATCCTTTGACGCAACTGTCACTAAAAATGCGAAGAAATTCATTTTGTAAACAAATCAATTGCAAAAAATATCACTTTTGGACCACGGTCAAGAGATGGTAAAAAGCTGCCGGCTGCTGCAGCCAATCAGATTGCCCGCTGCTGCAGCCAATCAAATTGCGGAAAATAGAAAATAAAAAAAATAAACTACAGTATCTTGAGAATGAAAAGTGATATGAATAAACTTTTTTTAGAAAGTCCACTGTCAATTTTCAAATTTACCTTCAATGAAAATATAACCTAAATAGCACAATTTTCGAATCACGTGCCCTTTAAAATTTGTCATACACGTATTGTAAAGAAATGTGAAGTCAAAACAACATTTTGTCTTCATCGTTCATTTCTTGAGTTGACTTACGGTTTGTTGCTTTTGTTGCTGGTGACCTGTTTCATAATCTGACAGTAAATTTCGTCTTTTAATTGAGGATGCTCGTGACACGTCTGTATAAAAAAATTGAAGAACACATAGGCGTAAGAAGATCGAGAATTAAAAGAGCTCACATTCCTAAATGCATGGTATAATCCATTAAAAACAACGAACTTCAAGGGAGCTTAACACTATTCACATCTAATGGCCATTTATTAACATGAGCTCCCCATAAATATTGACTTTCCTACGCCTATGGAAAAAAATATGGATTACACAAACAAACAACTCTCACCTACTTAAAAAGAAATAGAGAACACTGTCAAGCAAAGTAAACGATTTCTTCAATAAAAGCGAATTGAGTTTAAACGAAATCAACCACGGAAATTTTCCTAAAAATGTTCATTTCCTTTTGTTTGTGCAGTAGGAACAGTGAAAAAGATCGTATCAAAGTTTGAAACTTACCACCAAGATGTATAAAACATAATCAGACATCCTTTCTCCTCGAGCTGTCCCAGTATCTCCCATAAATTTCATTATAGCTAAAGACGGCGCAGTGAAGGAAAGATGAGTGAGATTCATGGATAATGAAGCTCATAGAATCTCTTACCAAAGAAGCATTCCAAAGCCTTCTTGTTGAGCACAGAAGATTCAAGTTTTAGTAGGGAAGCTTGAATTGGCGACTATAGCAAAAGATTAGATTAGATTAGATAAGAATAGATCGGATTAGATAAGAATAGATTAGATTGGATTAAATTACGTTTTATACCCAGGGGCCGGTTGCTCGAAGCCTGGATAGCGCCTGGATATCCTTTGGATAGCGAAAATTTTCAAATTTGTGAAAAAAGGTGTTTATGTTTTTCTTACGACAAAGAAATTTTGTAATCTTCGAAACAATTTTTTATTTCAGAGATTGCACAGTTCAAATCGTACATTTTTCTCTTTTAAGAGATTTTATGAACGTTCAGAAATTTTCGCTATCCAATGGATAACGCTATCTAGGCTTCGTGCAACCTGCCCCTGATGTCTATCATTGATCCATATGACAAGGTATGTTTTACAGCGAATTGTAACTATCGAGTTTTTTACCTTTGAGAATTTAATGAGATCTGCCTGATTTTTCCAAGTCCAATCATTTTCCTTGCGACCACCTAAAAACCAAAAAACTATTAATTTAAGCAAATAATCCCCTACCAGCTGAACGTTTCGACAAAAATACAACGAAGGCTGTTCCATAATATTGACAATACACAAAAACACTTAAGACTTTATGTCTCAATTAAACTCCGAACCATCTTCAAAACTGTTTCCACAAGATCTTCATAGGTTAACCAGAGATAATGAAATATAAGTAGTTTTTTGCGGTAACGCAGGAAGGACGGTAAGGGAAATTGCACCCCAATCGGCAGAGGAACTTCTTTCGTTAAAAGATGAAGCTCCAGAAGAAATTAGGAAGTGTGTGGGGGTGGGAGGCGGTAACTTGATAATGTTGGGTATCTATGTTGCTACTGAATCATATGCAAAATCTACCATTATAGTATTAGCACATGAAATCATTATTCAAAGGACTTAAGATTCAAAATTTTCCCAAGTAAACATATCCCATGAACCTCAATTGGAAAAACTCACCCCTCCGGCATTCAATAATCCTCCCCATCCCTTCAAAAGCACATATTTGTGGATGCCTCTGCTTTGACAAACTTCTGAACATTTACTGGCATCATACCTTTAATAGCTCGGCCAATAGAGTCCATGATTTTTATCGTTCCTCGGACCGAACCATCTTTCTTTCTCTGCATAACATACCTGACAAAATATGCTCGTGTGGTTTTAAAAGAATTTTTTTAAACACGAGCAAGGATCAATAGGGTTGACGTTACCGTAAACAAGAACTCAAGGTTTACAATGATAAAACAGAATCACTTTATAGAACGTAACACCTACTACCACTATTATCACCCATTACCACTATTATCACCCATTACCACTATTATCATCCATCTATCTCACCACATACATGTCATGTCCATAGCGAAAATACTTCATAGCAAACTCTAACATGGAGTATCTACTTTCGTCTGCTGACTGTGAGGATTGTCGGCTGATTGAGCTCGGTGATGGAGGTCTGGTCAATGAACTTGAAGTAGATGATCTTGTTCCGTTCTTCGACATCGACCGACAGCGCTATTGTGTAAAATTATTATAACTTGCCAATGTTACCTGTGTATATATTTTTATAAAATTAAAACAACACAACGCTTGCGGTGATTGGTCTATAGCTTAGTTAGAATTAAAACAACACAACGCTTGCGGTGATTGGTCTATAGCTTAGTTAGAATTAAAACAACACAACGCTTGCGGTGATTGGTCTATAGCTTAGTTAGAATTAAAACAACACAACGCTTGCGGTGATTGGTCTATAGCTTAGTTAGAATTAAAACAACACAACGCTTGCGGTGATTGGTCTATAGCTTAGTTAGAATTAAAACAACACAACGCTTGCGGTGATTGGTCTATAGCTTAGTTAGAATTAAAACAACACAACGCTTGCGGTGATTGGTCTATAGCTTAGTTAGAATTAAAACAACACAACGCTCGCGGTGATTGGTCTATAGCTTAGTTAGAATTAAAACAACACAACGCTTGCGGTGATTGGTCTATAGCTTAGTTAGAATTAAAACAACACAACGCTTGCAGTGATTGGTCTATAGCTTAGTTAGAATTAAAACAACACAACGCTTGCGGTGATTGGCCTATAGCTTAGTTAGAATTAAAACAACACAACGCTTGCGGTGATTGGTCTATAGCATAGTAAGAATTAAAACAACACAACGCTCGCGGTGATTGGTCTATAGCTTAGTTAGAATTAAAACAACACAACGCTTGCGCTGATTGGTCTATAAATTAGTTAGAATTTGCAAATCAATCATGAATACATGTTAAAGAAAAAATTAAAACATTTGTTTTAAAGTTATCAGTTTCACATTATTGTTTTCACGTAAATGATATAAAAGATCTTTTTTGTCTGCACAGGCTTACGCAAACCTTGGAGACGTTTGTGAGAACTCTTGAAAAGATACAAATTTCTCCCTTCGATCTTAAGCTTTGTACTAATCTGCTCTAGAGTGTTTTTTCCCAAAGGTCTCCTCGGTTCACATAAGCCTGTGCAAACACAGAAAATATCTTTTATTTATAAAAAGATGCCTCAAGTCACCTCATTTAGATCCGTCACGTATTCCTCTGGGAAATAGCCTTCACCAGATCCAAGTTCACCATAAAGCCAACCTTCTGATTGGTTAGATTTTGCAACAAGTTTGATGACGTCACTTTTTTTAAAACTAAGTAGAGTGGCCTCGTTCGTGATGTGATCATACTTCGCTTTGACGTATTTCGAGTCCTGAAAGAAAAAAATTCCTCGCGTTTTCACGTATTTCGTGTACTGAAAGAAAAAAATTCCTCGCGTTTCCATGTATTTCGTGTGCTGAAACGAAAAAATTCCCGCGCTTTCACGTATTTCGTGTGCTGAAACGAAAAAATTCCCCGCGCTTTCACGTATTTTGTGTACTGAAATGAAAAACTTCCCCGCGCTTTCACGTATTTCGTGTCCTGAAATGAAAAAATTCCCTGCGTTCCATTGAAGTCTTAAAATGAACGATTTACGTTCTTGTTTTTGTCAATGTTGGAAAGAAACAATAAATTTTTGCAATGAAATAATCGTCACGTTACTAACTTTTATGATGAAATCATTTTTGGGAAGTTTATCGGAAATAGAGAAAAGAATTAACATAATTTTAAAAACATTCAAACATTTCATTGAAAATCATACATTTAACATTTATTAAGTCGTCTTTTGAGTGGTCAATTGACTTCGATAATAAATACAGAACATACCAGTGGGTAAAATAGAAATTTTAGGCAAAAGTCCAAAATTGAAAAAATTGATTTGTGGAAAAAAGTTCGTAACATGATTTCATGGACAAGCAATGAGCTTACATGGATACAACGGGCTAGCATAGATATAATGAGCAAGCAGGGACATAATGGGCAAGCATGGTGCTGCATGGATGTAATGGGCAAGCATGAATATAATGGACAAGCATAAATATAATGAGCAAGCATGGATACAATGGGCAAGCATAGATATAATGAGCAAGCATGGATACAATGGGCAAGCATAGATACAATGGGCAAGCATATATATAATGAGCAAGCATGGATATAATGGACAAGCATGGTGCTGCATGGATGTAATGGGCAAGCATGAGTATAATGGACAAGCATAGATATAATGGACAAGCATGGAAACAATGGGCATGCATAGATGTAATGGACAAGCATAGATTTAATGAGCAAGCATGGATATAATGGACAAGCATGGGGCTGCATGGATATAATGGGCAAGCATCAATATAATAGGAAAGCATGGGGCTGCATGGATATAATGGGCAAGCATGGATATAATGGGCAAGCATGGATATAATGGGAAAGCATGGGTATAATGGGCAAGCATGAATATAATCGGAAAGCAAGGATCAAATGGAGAATATATTGATAGTTCGCATTATAAGAAAAGACATTGACTCACAAAATACCTTTTCGTGAAGAACGGCCAAAAATGGATCAATAATTTTTTTCATTAATATTGCCTAAATAAAACATTAAATACAATAATATATCACCTCTGAAGATTTTAAACTAGACTTAAAATAAGAAAAGAAAGAACCTTCGCACTGTAAACATATATCTTTTTTGATTTTGTCTTTAGCGTCAGTTTGTCACTTGTGGCGCGAATTTTCGTTACATCTGTATATCTGTAGGTTACATGAAGTATTTAATATACATATTCTGAATATAAGGTCTATTTTGAACTTATATTAAAAACAAACAACAGAAGACAATTTTTACAACAGCTATTTGTTATTTTGAGTTCACCACCGAAATGTTATGTTAAATTTTACGACGGACTTACAAATATTTTTCAACTGTTTTCAATTCGCTCGTTATTCGTTCCCTCTTGATAAACTGAACTCCGGAATGAGAAACGGCAACGTATTGATAATCGACGCCGTCATTTTGTTTCTAAAACGAAGCAAATTACTTTGAATTCATTCAAAACAAACAAAGAACACGTTTGTAATTACATGTAAAGAAGTTTTGAGGTTTATAAAATAAATGAAATGCTTACAGAAACTTTGAAAATCGACAGAAATAATAAGGCAACTGTTTTGCAGCGTCAATGATAATTTCTTCAATGGGAGAGCTGGTGCTAGTTTTATCCACGTAAATATCATATTTTTCTGCGAAGAAACACAAACCTTCTTTAATATAATACAAAATCATTATTTATAAAATAACAACTGATTCGAGCTATATCAATTGAGTCAATCAATAGAACTTTCAAATCAATCATGAATATATGCAAGAGGAAAAATTAAAACATTTGTTTTAAATTTGTCTGTTTCGTATTATTTTTATTTTATAAAAGAAATAAAAGATGTTTTTCGTGTGCACAAGCACTCAGGCAAACTTCGGAGACGTTTGTGAGAACTCTCGTGCATGTGTAACCCTCGACCTTCGGTTTTGCACTTATCTGCTCTCGAGTTCTCACAAAGGTCTCCTCGGTTGGCATAAACCTGGGCAAACACAATGCACAGTATCTTTTATTTCTCAAATCAAATGATTCTTTGTATCACTATTCTGCAGGATTGTGATGGATTATCAGGAATATCTAAAGGATAAAGATGAACATCAATGAATATATCACCCAAAAGCTGCTTCATTGTGGATCTGTCTGATCTCGTCATTCTACATGAAGATGTTTTATATGTATCCCAAACAATCTAGATAAAAATTTGAAGAAAATAATTTTTATTTGATGATTTATAGTGCATGTATAGTAAATAGAAATCTTAAAGCTAACCTGTCTAAATACAAGATGTTGAGTTATTTTGCTGCTTAGATTCTCCTTCGCCATAAACACCTACATGAAATAGAGAAAGAGAGTGATTCATTTAAACTAAGAAAACTTATCTGAGGCTGAAACTTGATTCCTTGTACACTCTAGTTTAATGTCTTCATCAGGAGTGATCTGATGTTGAAACTTGAGTTCTTATATACTCCAGTCTAGTGTCTTCATCTGGAGTGATCTGATGTTGAAACTTGAGTCCTTATATACTCCAGTCTAGTGTCTTCATCTGGAGTGATCTGACGTTGAAACTTGAGTCCTCATATACTCCTGACTAGTGTCTTCATCTGGAGTGATCTGATATTGAAACTTGAGTTCTCATATACTCCAGTCTAGTGTCTTCATCTAAGGTGATCTAACGTTGAAACTTGAGTTCTTATATACTCTAGTCTAGTGTCTTCTTTAGGAGTGATCTGATATAAAAACTATCCTGTGCTCTGCTATAATGACTCAATCGACAGTGATTTCATGTCGAAACTCGAGTTTTTATATAAATATCAACTGTGTTCAACACTGTCCCTTTTACCTCTTTTCGTAAGAACATTTTCCACGAAACATTTTCGTAAGTCAAATATGGACCAGTACATTTCCTGTAAAGCTCTGTCCTTCCAACTTTCTCGTTCATAACGACTGCAAATGATGTATTGATCGGGCTGTGGTGTTCTCTTGTGTTAGTCTGCACACTTTTTTGGGATAACAGGCACAACATCCGTGGCAGGTCCCCCATCTGGTTTCGTTCTCAATCGTGAACTACTGATGTGCTCTCTTTTTGACTGATGAAGATGAGTTGGTCGTGTGAAGAACTTGAGAGAGTGTGAGAGAGTTTTGGTCTTGAAATTCTGGTGGCGGATTCAATTTGCCTTTTAACAAACAATGATCAAAGACATGGTTGCTTTCGGTAAAGTGCTTTTCCTTTTCATATTCTCCCTGTTTTTGCTGAGATTTTGATTGCTCTCGTCTCAAAGAATCCAGTTTCTCCGTGACCTTAGCGAGTTCTTTTTGTCTTTGGACTAATTTAAGTTCCTGTTCTTTAAGCTGCTGTTCAAATGCAAGGTCCTCCTGACGAGCAGGGTGGGCGGCCTGAGGCTGCTTTTGTTGGTGAAGATGACCGCTGACCGGAACGACGACGGGTATACATGGTGCAGCCATGGCGCCGCTAACTGGGTATGACATTGAAACATAACCGTTCATTCCTAGAATAAGAAAAGCCAATTTTCCAACTTTTTTAGTCATTTCCTTACAATACATGACTAATTAACATTTAAATGCATCAATTCATGTCATTAATAATGATCTAACAGTTGAATTCTGTAGATGTCCAGGTTAGTAGGGTCCTGAGAAGGACTGTTTCGACAACTAGTCAACATCAACAACAACAGTCATTCTTGGGATAGGGAAATCTACATCTGGAAAATCTACATCTACAAACATCCAACGATACTCCCTGGTCGAAACCATTCACTTTATGATCTGATATTTGCTCAACCAAAAGCATTTCGACGAGACACAAGAAATGTGACAATTAGTAAATCGTCTTGACAACAAATGTGAATTTTCTCCAACCTACAAATTCACTTCTACTTACAAAGTCAAATGAGAAGTAAGATACCACGCACCTGCAGGCATGAAAGTTGAATAAGGAAGTCCTCTTGCAGAAGCTACTGCACCATTTGCCATACTGTTGTTTAACAGAAACAAAGTTGGTTGCATTTCGCCATTTGTCGAACCATGTTGCTCACTGGTGTCTGATTTAGGCAGTGAACTAGAGGTTTGGGAGAGCCCAATGTTTTAGCGCGGTGCATTTTACCTCCGCCTAAATTACAAAGTATTTAAGCATAAAACTTGAGGAAATATGCACCATTATGAGTAAGTCATTAATTTCTTATGTATCATCCACACTATGACATAAGTATAAGAAAATAAGTACATTGATTTCTTATGTACCATCCTCACTATAACATAAGTATAAGGAGATCAAGTACATTGATTTCTTATGTACCATCCTCACTATGACATAAGTATAAGGAGATCAAGTACATTGATTTCTTATGTACCATCCTCACCATGACATAAGTATAAAGAGATCAAGTACATTGATTTCTTATGTACCATCCTCACTATGACATAAGTATAAGGAGATCAAGTACATTGATTTCTTATATACCTTCCTTACTATGACATAAGTATAAAGAGATCAAGTACATTGATTTCTTATGTACCATCCTCACTATGACATAAGTATAAAGAGATCAAGTACATTGATTTCTTATGTACCATCCTCACTATGACATAAGTATAAGGAGATCAAGTACATTGATTTCTTATATACCTTCCTTACTATGACATAAGTATAAGAAGATCAAGTACATTGATTTCTTATGTACCATCCTCAATATATACTTTGCAATAATAAACCAAATCACCTTTGATAGAGCGAGCTAAGTTAGGCGCATCAACGAGATTATTCACATCCGAGGAAAAAAGAGGATCAAACAAACTATCAACGAAATCATCAAGGTTGCGTTCAGCTGTCGGAATATCCACTGGCGACACTACAGACTCTTTTCTAGTTTCCACTTCACTCTCCACAGAAGCTAAAGAGCCAACACCAGCCTTTCCTGCACAACGTAACTCTATTTTCATTTCTTTGTTGGATTTTTTCATGCGCTCTGCACGTTTCTTTACAGCACCTTGAAAATTATAGCACACCACAAATATTTAAATAGAGTAAACGCTGTTTACGTAAATCTCAAACTTTATATCAATTCACAACTTGTACAAACGGTTTCATAACAAAATATCGTACCTTGTAGCTCTGAATGATACGCAAGATCTGGTCGTTGTTCCCTGGCAACAGCTCGTTGCTCAGCTGCTTTAACAATCCGCTGGTCAATAATATCTTCGCAACTCGTCGCTCGATCGTCGACAATCGTATTTTTCCGAATCTCTTGCATCGTGCTCGCCTTGTTACGGATCTCATCGAGAAGATGAACAGAAGCTTTCGTAGACCTCTCCGGCTTTGAGCACTCTCCCCTTAGTTGTTTAATCTTGCTAGCCATGGGATCTTGAATTGGTGGAGGAGGTGGTGGTGCAGGGGGAGGAGGGACATACAGGGATGTTCCTGGGTACAAAAAAACATAAAAATCGTCAGTCATACTTCTTCTGGAATGAAATTTAATTAAAATTAATCAATAGAGCTACAATACTCTGTTGATAAAATTATAAGTCAGCAATAATCACCAAAGTACATGTAAAATCAATCCTTAATCCTAATCTTTCTAATCCTAAACCTAATATCGGAGCGACAAAAAAACAGATCAAATTAAAAGAACAAAAGAAGCATTGACACAACCTTACCTGGTGGTGCCGTATTTTGAGATGATAAGGTAAACATTGCTGTAGAAGCAGGTTGAGGAACAAAAGGCTTTGAATATGGAGTGTTTGTTTCATGATTTGTTGAAGCTTTTGGAAAAGGTTGCGAAGCTTCTGAACGAGAAGAAATGTGCGTATGTTGTGATGCAGGTACAACTTGAGTAAATTTTTTATCTGCAAGAGGAAGACCCTTGTAGTTCCCATCTTGAAACGTCATTGATACATCAGCAAATGTTTGTGATCTTTCACGTTGTCTATGTAAACTTGAATGAAAATTTACAAGTTAAGAATTTAGATGTCTTTAAAAGTACATACTTATAAGCTAAAAGAATTCTGCATTTGAAATAAAGATAGTTTAGTTGGTAGAGACTATCTATACTGAAACCATAGGTAACATAGTTTATACATTATCTATCTGAAATCGTTTTAAAGATTGCAAATACCATGGTGAGTGGTAAATATAATAAGTTAATAGTTCTTAAAAGAACTGTTTTAAGCACAGAACATTAACCCAATAGTTCTAAAAGAACTGTTATGAAACTAAACGACACGATGCATTTCGGCAGACTACTCCTCAGGTGTCAACGTCTGCTAAATGAAAATTTACAATCTACCGATATTTATAATGCCAGGAAAGAGTGTACGTTATCTCCAAAAGGGGAGATGACGCTCAAAACAGGGATAAATTGAAAACATAAACCTTTTTGTCGGCAGAGGACGGGATTGGTTAACTTCATCAAAACAGCCTCCATGACGCGTAACATAGCAGACGTTGACACCTGAGGAGTAGTCTGCAGAAATGCATCGTGTGGTTTAATTTTATAACAGTTCTTTTAGAACTATTGGGTTAATGTTCTGTGCTTAAATTAGTACTTTAAAGAACTATAAACTTATTTCTTTTACCATTCACCATGGTATTTGTGATCTTTACAACAATTTTCACATTTGTCACCACGACAAAGTCTCTACTTTAACAATATTTATCGTTACATCAGTTTTAAATTGTTCATTCTGGAGACTGGAAAGTTATGAAAGAATGAAACGGAAAATTTAACTCGTTTCCATTTTGGTTAAGACATGATCTTACGTAAATTTTGTTTAGACACGACCTTTCGTAAATCATTACAAAACACAATATAAAACTGACAGAACTATCCAGTGTAAACAAAGATCACATTAACACAATATAAAACTGACAGAACTATCCAGTGTAAACAAAGATCACTTTAAAACAATATAAAACTGAAAGAACTATCCAGTGTAAACAAAGATCACTTTAACACAATATAAAACTGACATAACTATCCAGTGTAAACAAAGATCACTTTAAAACAATATAAAACTGACAAAACTATCCAGTGTGAACAAAGATCACTTTAACACAATATAAAACTGAAAGAACTATCCAGTGTGAACAAAGATCACTTTAACACAATATAAAACTGACAGAACTATCCAGTGTAAACAAAGATCACTTTAACACAATATAAAACTGACAGAACTATCCAGTGTGAACAAAGATCACTTTAACACAATATAAAACTGACAGAACTATCCAGTGTGAACAAAGATCACTTTAACACAATATAAAACTGACAGAACTATCCAGTGTGAACAAAGATCACTTTAAAACAATATAAAACTGACAGAACTATCCAGTGTGAACAAAGATCACTTTAACACAATATAAAACTGACAGAACTATCCAGTGTGAACAAAGATCACTTTAAAACAATATAAAACTGACAGAACTATCCAGTGTGAACAAAGATCACTTTAACACAATATAAAACTGACAGAACTATCCAGTGTAAACAAAGATCACTTTAACACAATATAAAACTGACAGAACTATCCAGTGTAAACAAAGATCACTTTAACACAATATAAAACTGACAGAACTATCCAGTGTAAACAAAGATCACTTTAAAACAATATAAAACTGACAGAACTATCCAGTGTAAACAAAGATCACTTTAAAACAATATAAAACTGACAGAACTATCCAGTGTAAACAGAGATCACTTTAAAACAATATAAAACTGACAGAACTATCCAGTGTAAACAAAGATCACTTTAAAACAATATAAAACTGACAGAACTATCCAGTGTAAACAAAGATCACTTTAACACAATATAAAACTGACAGAACTATCCAGTGTAAACAAAGATCACTTTAAAACAATATAAAACTGACAGAACTATCCAGTGTGAACAAAGATCACTTTAAAACAATATAAAACTGACAAAACTATCCAGTGTAAACAAAGATCACTTTAACACAATATAAAACTGACAGAACTATCCAGTGTAAACAAAGATCACTTTAACACAATATAAAACTGACAAAACTATCCAGTGTAAACAAAGATCACTTTAACACAATATAAAACTGACAGAACTATCCAGTGTAAACAAAGATCACTTTAACACAATATAAAACTGACAGAACTATCCAGTGTAAACAAAGATCACTTTAACACAATATAAAACTGACAGAACTATCCAGTGTAAACAAAGATCACTTTAACACAATATAAAACTGACAGAACTATCCAGTGTAAACAAAGATCACTTTAACACAATATAAAACTGACAATATAAAAGAACTATCCAGTGAACAAAGATCACTTTAAAACAATATAAAACTGACAGAACTATCCAGTGTAAACAAAGATCACTTTAACACAATATAAAACTGACAGAACTATCCAGTGTGAACAAAGATCACTTTAACACAATATAAAACTGACAAAACTATCCAGTGTAAACAAAGATCACTTTAACACAATATAAAACTGACAAAACTATCCAGTGTAAACAAAGATCACTTTAACACAATATAAAACTGACAAAACTATCCAGTGTAAACAAAGATCACTTTAACACAATATAAAACTGACAAAACTATCCAGTGTGAACAAAGATCACTTTAACACAATATAAAACTGACAAAACTATCCAGTGTGAACAAAGATCACTTTAACACAATATAAAACTGACAGAACTATCCAGTGTGAACAAAGATCACTTTAACACAATATAAAACTGACAGAACTATCCAGTGTAAACAAAGATCACTTTAACACAATATAAAACTGACAGAACTATCCAGTGTAAACAAAGATCACTTTAACACAATATAAAACTGACAAAACTATCCAGTGTAAACAAAGATCACTTTAACACAATATAAAACTGACAAAACTATCCAGTGTAAACAAAGATCACTTTAACACAATATAAAACTGACAAAACTATCCAGTGTGAACAAAGATCACTTTAACACAATATAAAACTGACAGAACTATCCAGTGTAAACAAAGATCACTTTAACACAATATAAAACTGACAAAACTATCCAGTGTAAACAAAGATCACTTTAACACAATATAAAACTGACAAAACTATCCAGTGTAAACAAAGATCACTTTAACACAATATAAAACTGACAGAACTATCCAGTGTAAACAAAGATCACTTTAAAACAATATAAAACTGACAGAACTATCCAGTGTAAACAAAGATCACTTTAACACAATATAAAACTGACAAAACTATCCAGTGTAAACAAAGATCACTTTAACACAATATAAAACTGACAAAACTATCCAGTGTAAACAAAGATCACTTTAAAACAATATAAAACTGACAGAACTATCCAGTGTAAACAAAGATCACTTTAAAACAATATAAAACTGACAGAACTATCCAGTGTGAACAAAGATCACTTTAAAACAATATAAAACTGACAGAACTATCCAGTGTAAACAAAGATCACTTTAACACAATATAAAACTGACAAAACTATCCAGTGTAAACAAAGATCACTTTAACACAATATAAAACTGACAGAACTATCCAGTGTAAACAAAGATCACTTTAAAACAATATAAAACTGACAGAACTATCCAGTGTAAACAAAGATCACTTTAAAACAATATAAAACTGACAGAACTATCCAGTGTAAACAAAGATCACTTTAACACAATATAAAACTGACAGAACTATCCAGTGTAAACAAAGATCACTTTAAAACAATATAAAACTGACAAAACTATCCAGTGTAAACAAAGATCACTTTAACACAATATAAAACTGACAGAACTATCCAGTGTAAACAAAGATCACTTTAAAACAATATAAAACTGACAGAACTATCCAGTGTAAACAAAGATCACTTTAAAACAATATAAAACTGACAGAACTATCCAGTGTAAACAAAGATCACTTTAACACAATATAAAACTGACAGAACTATCCAGTGTGAACAAAGATCACTTTAACACAATATAAAACTGACAGAACTATCCAGTGTAAACAAAGATCACTTTAACACAATATAAAACTGACAGAACTATCCAGTGTAAACAAAGATCACTTTAAAACAATATAAAACTGACAGAACTATCCAGTGTGAACAAAGATCACTTTAACACAATATAAAACTGACAGAACTATCCAGTGTAAACAAAGATCACTTTAACACAATATAAAACTGACAGAACTATCCAGTGTAAACAAAGATCACTTTAACACAATATAAAACTGACAAAACTATCCAGTGTAAACAAAGATCACTTTAACACAATATAAAACTGACAAACTATCCAGTGTGAACAAAGATCACTTTAACACAATATAAAACTGACAGAACTATCCAGTGTAAACAAAGATCACTTTAACACAATATAAAACTGACAGAACTATCCAGTGTAAACAAAGATCACTTTAACACAATATAAAACTGACAAAACTATCCAGTGTAAACAAAGATCACTTTAACACAATATAAAACTGACAGAACTATCCAGTGTAAACAAAGATCACTTTAACACAATATAAAACTGACAGAACTATCCAGTGTAAACAAAGATCACTTTAAAACAATATAAAACTGACAGAACTATCCAGTGTAAACAAAGATCACTTTAACACAATATAAAACTGACAAAACTATCCAGTGTAAACAAAGATCACTTTAACACAATATAAAACTGACAGAACTATCCAGTGTAAACAAAGATCACTTTAACACAATATAAAACTGACAAAACTATCCAGTGTAAACAAAGATCACTTTAACACAATATAAAACTGACAAAACTATCCAGTGTAAACAAAGATCACTTTAAAACAATATAAAACTGACAGAACTATCCAGTGTAAACAAAGATCACTTTAAAACAATATAAAACTGACAGAACTATCCAGTGTAAACAAAGATCACTTTAAAACAATATAAAACTGACAGAACTATCCAGTGTAAACAAAGATCACTTTAACACAATATAAAACTGACAGAACTATCCAGTGTAAACAAAGATCACTTTAAAACAATATAAAACTGACAGAACTATCCAGTGTAAACAAAGATCACTTTAAAACAATATAAAACTGACAGAACTATCCAGTGTAAACAAAGATCACTTTAAAACAATATAAAACTGACAGAACTATCCAGTGTGAACAAAGATCACTTTAACACAATATAAAACTGACAGAACTATCCAGTGTGAACAAAGATCACTTTAACACAATATAAAACTGACAGAACTATCCAGTGTAAACAAAGATCACTTTAACACAATATAAAACTGACAGAACTATCCAGTGTAAACAAAGATCACTTTAAAACAATATAAAACTGACAGAACTATCCAGTGTAAACAAAGATCACTTTAAAACAATATAAAACTGACAGAACTATCCAGTGTGAACAAAGATCACTTTAACACAATATAAAACTGACAGAACTATCCAGTGTAAACAAAGATCACTTTAAAACAATATAAAACTGACAGAACTATCCAGTGTAAACAAAGATCACTTTAACACAATATAAAACTGACAGAACTATCCAGTGTAAACAAAGATCACTTTAACACAATATAAAACTGACAGAACTATCCAGTGTAAACAAAGATCACTTTAAAACAATATAAAACTGACAGAACTATCCAGTGTAAACAAAGATCACTTTAAAACAATATAAAACTGACAGAACTATCCAGTGTAAACAAAGATCACTTTAACACAATATAAAACTGACAGAACTATCCAGTGTAAACAAAGATCACTTTAAAACAATATAAAACTGACAGAACTATCCAGTGTAAACAAAGATCACTTTAACACAATATAAAACTGACAGAACTATCCAGTGTAAACAAAGATCACTTTAACACAATATAAAACTGACAGAACTATCCAGTGTAAACAAAGATCACTTTAACACAATATAAAACTGACAGAACTATCCAGTGTAAACAAAGATCACTTTAAAACAATATAAAACTGACAGAACTATCCAGTGTAAACAAAGATCACTTTAACACAATATAAAACTGACAGAACTATCCAGTGTAAACAAAGATCACTTTAACACAATATAAAACTGACAGAACTATCCAGTGTGAACAAAGATCACTTTAACACAATATAAAACTGACAGAACTATCCAGTGTAAACAAAGATCACTTTAAAACAATATAAAACTGACAGAACTATCCAGTGTAAACAAAGATCACTTTAACACAATATAAAACTGACAGAACTATCCAGTGTAAACAAAGATCACTTTAACACAATATAAAACTGACAGAACTATCCAGTGTAAACAAAGATCACTTTAACACAATATAAAACTGACAGAACTATCCAGTGTAAACAAAGATCACTTTAACACAATATAAAACTGAAAGAACTATCCAGTGTAAACAAAGATCACTTTAACACAATATAAAACTGACAGAACTATCCAGTGTAAACAAAGATCACTTTAACACAATATAAAACTGAAAGAACTATCCAGTGTAAACAAAGATCACTTTAACACAATATAAAACTGACAGAACTATCCAGTGTAAACAAAGATCACTTTAACACAATATAAAACTGACAGAACTATCCAGTGTAAACAAAGATCACTTTAACACAATATAAAACTGACAGAACTATCCAGTGTAAACAAAGATCACTTTAACACAATATAAAACTGACAAAACTATCCAGTGTAAACAAAGATCACTTTAACACAATATAAAACTGACAGAACTATCCAGTGTAAACAAAGATCACTTTAACACAATATAAAACTGACAGAACTATCCAGTGTGAACAAAGATCACTTTAACACAATATAAAACTGAAAGAACTATCCAGTGTAAACAAAGATCACTTTAACACAATATAAAACTGACAGAACTATCCAGTGTGAACAAAGATCACTTTAACACAATATAAAACTGACAGAACTATCCAGTGTAAACAAAGATCACTTTAACACAATATAAAACTGAAAGAACTATCCAGTGTAAACAAAGATCACTTTAACACAATATAAAACTGACAGAACTATCCAGTGTAAACAAAGATCACTTTAACACAATATAAAACTGAAAGAACTATCCAGTGTAAACAAAGATCACTTTAACACAATATAAAACTGAAAGAACTATCCAGTGTAAACAAAGATCACTTTAACACAATATAAAACTGAAAGAACTATCCAGTGTAAACAAAGATCACTTTAACACAATATAAAACTGACAGAACTATCCAGTGTGAACAAAGATCACTTTAACACAATATAAAACTGACAGAACTATCCAGTGTAAACAAAGATCACTTTAAAACAATATAAAAATGACAGAACTATCCAGTGTAAACAAAGATCACTTTAACACAATATAAAACTGAAAGAACTATCCAGTGTAAACAAAGATCACTTTAACACAATATAAAACTGAAAGAACTATCCAGTGTAAACAAAGATCACTTTAACACAATATAAAACTGAAAGAACTATCCAGTGTAAACAGAGATCACTTTAACACAATATAAAACTGACAGAACTATCCAGTGTGAACAAAGATCACTTTAACACAATATAAAACTGACAGAACTATCCAGTGTAAACAAAGATCACTTTAACACAATATAAAACTGACAGAACTATCCAGTGTAAACAAAGATCACTTTAACACAATATAAAACTGAAAGAACTATCCAGTGTAAACAAAGATCACTTTAACACAATATAAAACTGACAGAACTATCCAGTGTAAACAAAGATCACTTTAACACAATATAAAACTGACAGAACTATCCAGTGTAAACAAAGATCACTTTAACACAATATAAAACTGACAAAACTATCCAGTGTGAACAAAGATCACTTTAACACAATATAAAACTGACAGAACTATCCAGTGTGAACAAAGATCACTTTAACACAATATAAAACTGAAAGAACTATCCAGTGTAAACAAAGATCACTTTAACACAATATAAAACTGACAGAACTATCCAGTGTAAACAAAGATCACTTTAACACAATATAAAACTGACAGAACTATCCAGTGTAAACAAAGATCACTTTAACACAGTATAAAACCATTGAACTAAAATACCTGGAACGCTACCTGTAATAGAAAACCCTAATAATTTCTTGAAGCTGTGATTTTACACCCAGACACGCGAGATTACACCCAGACACGCGTATGTAATCAATCAACTTTCACTCCGCGAGAGAATCTCGAAACACTACACACGCGTGTCTGCGTGTAATCTCGCGTGTCTGGGCGTAAGATTTGGCTTCAATCCTTTGCTTTAGGTTGCGTTCCATGTGTACTTTAGTTCATTGTATAAAACTAACAGAACTATCCAGTGTAAACAGAGATCACTTTAACTCACTCTTCTAACAGTCTCATTTTATTTGGTCCAACATCATACGACATATCCGTAGAAATGACACTCGGAGAGCAAGAGACTGGGAACGAGGGTGGATACTCCAGTTCAGCTATCATATCAAGGACATAATCGCAGCCGGCCAGAGAATATTGACAATGTTCGTTCATCATATCAAGACTCCATCCTCCTTCATACTCACCAAGACCTCTGAACAACGAAATAACGTTTTATTACCTAAGGTTCTAGTGTTGCAGCGGGTTAAAATATCAGCCTTTCTCGCAATCTGATTGGCTGGAACAGCGGGCAGAACTTTAGGATGTTTGAATGCGGTCCAGAATCATATAGCCAAATACTTAAGAAAATACTCTGACTTGTTTTGTTTTGTTTTTGTTTTAGAAGGAAATCATCAGAAAACTTTTGATTGTAATTATCTATTTTAAGTAAATTTCGAGTTTTCCAAAGTACATTGATTGACAAAGATTTGATTGTTTACTTTGCCGCCATTGATGAATATAGAAGTACAATAAAAAAAGACTGTTTTCTTTGGCAAAAAATAAAAGCGTTATTTACCTCAGGCCGCTTTCGAGACCTCAGGAAAATATTTTTCCATCCAAACCTCAAAGAGGGTATAAATAACATATATTTAATCACTCACTTATCTTTCAAGATCTTTGACGCAACTTGATCACCTGTGCTTGTTGAATTCACTTCTATTAAAACTTTTTCTCCTACACAAACATCGTTGATACAAAGATAATTTGCACTATCATAATAATCCATTGTTACTCACTCGGGGCCGTAGCAAGTTCAATAATTGGGAAAAGGTGGAGCTTAAATTCATAAATGCATGATTTGCCGAATCGATTTCCTTAGAAATCCACTGTTTGCTACGGATTATAACATGCATAAATGAACACCCACCCACCCCTCCCTCCCAATCATCGATGCTAGCTATGGCCCTGGAACAAATCAAACGTTTAATCCGAAGCAGACGATTCATAATTTAAGATGAGGCATTTATTTCCAAACTATTTTCCAATAGCCAATCACCATCTTCATAAACAGTCCCTTACCGTCAGACAAATGAATATCGATAGCCATGTTTGCTTTCTCTTTAACAGACGTCCATTCAAGTAAACATGGAGGATGGCAACGCGGTTCAACATGTCGTTCATTATCCCATGATAACAACTTGTGTTGGCAAAAACTCTTAAAGCCATCGTAAGCATTATCCGAGCTATGTCTACAAAAGATTCGTTCGATTACTTTTTCACACAACTATCAACTGTCATTGGTTAGATCGTGTTCACGTGATCCCAAACGAAATGTGTCGAGAAACTTGCTGCCTTTCACTATGTATAGAATTGGCAAAAAATATCTGTACGAATGTAAAGCAACATATCTACAAAACAAAAAGTCTTCTTTTGGATGGTTCAGTCAATATTTAGAGCTACTTTTATTTCGAATGTGAAGTGCCTCGCTCAAATGTATCTCGAAAAACCTCATTCATCTTGGATAATATCTCCAGGAGAAAAGTGCAATAAACAGTTCAGCTTACTTTATCAAGTACTTTTCCAAAGCGTCAGTTGGTCTAAAGCAACATATACATAATGCAATAAGCCACCAACAGCGTTCTATGCTCGCCTCGATCCCATTCCCCCACGTCTGGTTCACCAACTGAACATATATTTCATCTCGAAGATCAGGATTTAGAATTCCCTTAAATGAAGTACATCACTGTTACATTACTGTACCTTTCGATTGCATAAAAAGGCAAAGTATTGTTTTAGTTGAATTATGCATGGCGGATCAATTCTCGTGAGACCGGAGGGGTGCAGATTTTCCAAGTGAAGTGAAGCATTGTCCTCGTTAAAGTTGCCTGGGCCTCGGCCTATTGTAGATTTGTAGGCTTAAAGTTGCATGAATCTTGCAAAATGTAAGTGGTATCAGCATGTTTATGAATTTTTTACAAAGTTTAGTAAATTATGAATCCTAGTTGTATAGAGTGTACATCACACCCTTTAAATAATCTACAAAGTTTCATAAATTATGAAATGAAATATTGCCTACGTTGAGTGGAACACGAATACAACAGTTGCGCTTTCACACAAGAAAAACCAGGGGAGAAGAAAATAAGCGGTAAAACGAGTTTAGATGACAAAGTAACAGGTTATTTTGCGTTTTCTAATTTATTTCTATTTTAATGTTCGATAAAAACGCGCATGGTAGCAGCTCCATTGTAAATGGTGGTAGTGAATAATATGTAATTGTCGATGTAACGATAAATTCCACTTTTTATACGGTCTTAGTGTACAATTTCTTAACCTCTAATACTATTATGATACTAATCTACAATCTACAGTACGTCATATCATTTTGAAATGTTTCTTGGGGGCTGCTGGAGAATATAGAGGTGGGTGAGGTGGGGTGTGCACCCCCCTCTCAACCCCCAGAAAACTCACCCTTAGAATTACGATAAGAATATTGTTACCAACATACTCACCTTTTGAACTATATAATTTCCCAAAGCAAATTGTCTAGCATCGACCATGGACCAATCATTCATGAAACGCAAAATCTATCATAAACACAAGTAAATGCTGCGTGAACGAGGTGAAAAATTTTTTAGAACGAAATCTCGAGAAGCCTACAAGTTTGAAAGTTGTGACGGCTTGTGCGCTATCTTCCTCTTTTAACTTCAAAAATGAACTTCTGATTGGGACTCTTGTGAATTTCCAATCTTTTTGATCCTTCAGTAGGCGCAGAGAAACAAAGTTAATTATATTGCATAAATGTTTGACGTTTTGTCAATGATGAAAAAAGATGTCAAAAACTGTTTACAAGTTAATTATGGCCCGATTTAAAATCTTTGGTCGTTGTTATATATTCAAAATTTAAAAGTATGAAAAAGACAGCAGGAAAATTTGGCAAGTGGGAAACCCTTTTCCCAGCGATTTGGTGAACTAGAGATGACGAGTTGAGCTTTTTTTGGCCAGTAGTCATAGAAACTATGCGACCTGTCAAAACAAATAACAATCTTAAAAGTCTCCAACACTGACCTGAAAATATAAGTGAACATATTTGGAAAACTGGAAAGCATCGATATCATCAGGTAGATGCGATGAGCGATAGGTTTGCTTTGAAACGTGACGGGATGTAGAAATAACGGACTTTCGTAAGATATCATAGTTCCAAGCTAAATTTAATGACAAATAAAAAATTACTAAACATGGTTAAAAAGTAGATACTGCAGAACTTTTGATAAAAGTAGAAGCGCTTACAAATGACCATCAGGATTTATGGTACAATTATCCCAGATTCATATGCTACTGTTCATGATAACTTTGTAAAAACATGCAAAAAGGCCGACAAATGGCTTACAGGGATTAAGGTACAACTAAAGCAGATTTTTACACCACCGTACCTGATAACTTTGTGAAAACGAGTGCTAACTCAGGAGTTATTTCAAGTTGAGTAACGTCAATATGTGACTGTTGTTCTTTCGCTTTTTGTTCTTGTCTTGAACTTTCTTCTTCATATTTATTTGTGTTTTTTCCACAGGATTCCTCTTTTAACTTTAAAATATAAAATAAAACCATTTGATTTGCATTGACGGTGCGTAAATTTAGTCTAGCTGTGTAAATTTTTCTGTGTTCAGACACTGTGAAAACAATAAATTTCTAAAGAAATGAATAAAGATAATGCTCTGAAATTTACATTTCTTGACCAAAACTTGCACACTGTGCAATGGTAATATTGAACAACACTACAATGACAATTTCATTGCTAAATATTATCATACATACAAAGACAAACAACGTTCACTCAAAATGTGGAATATAAAACAAAATAGTCAAGAGGAGACAGTCTGAAAATCCCCCCTCCCCCCAGCGATAGCCTGGGACTGAGTTTCTCAGTGATGGTCTGGAACTGAGTTTTTCAGAGATGGCCTGGGAGTGAGCTTCCCAGTGATGACCTGGGAGTGAGCTTCCCAGTGATAGCCTGGGAGTGAGCTTCCCAGTGATGACCTGGGAGTGAGCTTCCCAGTGATAGCCTGGGAGTGAGCTTCCCAGTGATGACCTGGGAGTGAGCTTCCCAGTGATGACCTGGGAGTGAGCTTCCCAGTGATGACCTGGGAGTGAGCTTCTCAGTGATAGCCTGGGAGTGAGCTTCCCAGTGATGACCTGGGAGTGAGCTTCCCAATGATGACCTGGGAGTGAGCTTCCCAGTGATCACCTGGGGGTGAGCTTCCCAGTGATGGCCTGGGGGCGAGTTTCCCAGTGATGGCCCGGGATGAGTAAAAGATACTAAAAAATTCAAAACACACTAGCTTCATTCAACCTTCACGTTGTTCTTCTTTTGTGATCTAGCTCTATAGCAAGCCTGAATTTTGATAAACCCTGTCCGTATTTTACGATAATGCCGCCTAAAAAATATAAAATTTCAAATTTACATAAAAGATATACAGTATTTAAGCTTAATTCCAAAGTAAGCAATAAGTTCTTAATCATAGATAATAAGAATGTTTTAAAGCAACATTCGAGCTATCAACCTCTGTTGCCATCCTCGAAAATGACTTTGAATAAGCAAGGCAGATTTTTGCATTTCAGTGTATCTTCTACGGCAAAACATGCACCGTGCCTAAAAAAACATTATTTAGATTCGTTGAAGTTGAAATAACAGATTAAAGCATGGAAAATCCCAACTGAATAAAGAACTGACATGTTTTTGAAGTATGACTGTAGCTTTCTCGATCACTCTGTGACGCATTTCTTCTAACTTCTGTGACAAGTCTTCACTAAGAAATACCTAAACGATCCATGGAAAACGAGACATGACTACAAAATAAATACTTCATCTAAGAAATATAAGATGTTTACTGTGTTTGCACAGGCTTATGCAAACCGAGGAGACCTTTGGGAGGACTCGAGGAAAGATCAGTGCAAGCCCGAGACCGAAGGTCGAAGGTTGCACATGCTCGAGAGTTCTCACAAACGTCTCCGAGGTTTGCATAAGCTAGTGCAAACACGAAAAACATCTTTTATTTCTTTTATAAAATAAAATAATACGAAAAAGACAAACATTTTAATTTTTCCTCTAAAATGTATTCATGATCGATTTGCAAATTCTCTTTGACTGATTGATTGTTTTGATTGGTTGAGCTCAGATGTGCTTTGCACAGCCTAATGCAAACACAGCTCTAGACCAATCAGCGCACGCGTTTCATTGAGTTTATTTTAACACTGTATAAAATCATCAACCATAATTTCTTACTTTAGTCAAACCAAGTTGATAGGTATTTGTCTTTCTAGGGTCGACACAAAGGAGTAAAATTTGTGAACACTGTTCTTTTATTTGCCATTCGCTACTGACATGGAACGACGACAAACAATGGTACCTAAGGTTAGATGCAATGACATGTATTTCAAAATTTACATGAAAATGGGAAAAAAATTTCAATTGACGAAGAGTTGTAATTCTACAGAAAAGTGAAAAAAATATGTCGAATACTTTCCAACAATTTGAATATTTTATAATTTATAGAATTTCATAACTTCCGGGCAGCCACATTGAATTCTTAATGAGCTTCAAATAACGATTCTTTCTCCATTTCTTCAAGCAAGAAGGAAGGATTTAGTGTAAAGCTATGGTTCATCCATCCTTTAGAAGGTGTTTTATAGGTTTCACACAACATCAATAAACGCTTGTTCGAAATAACTTTTCACTTTAATATGACCTACATAATATTTTGACTGCTCCAGCAAATCAAAAACCTGTTCGACGGTTCTTTATAGCCAATCACACGAGCTACGTTTTTATACGAACATACCAACCAATCAAATGTCAAGTAGCGACAGTATTACCTCCTAAAGAAGTCTGTATACTGGTATCTGATTGGATAGCCGAGCTTTCGTATTCTCACAGTCTCTAGGACACCGTTATATCGTAGTTGCTCCAGAACCAAGGGGGTCTGTAACATCATTGGAGTCTACAAGTAAAACGAAAAGGACATTGATGTTCATTTAATATAGACGATGAGTTTTTTTAGTATAGACATGTTTCGGCATCTCATCTTCAGTATACGTGAATAATTATATAAATAATACAAAATTTATATAAAAGTAATATGATACATAAATTATAACAATAATAAGGAAATTAGATGAATTAATGGCGAGCGTGTTACAAACTAAATGATGACATTGATGGTATTGTGGACATTTAAACTTCCATAAAGATTTTCCTGTATCGTAAAGCCTCATTCGCATTTAATGATTGGAGCTTCAAAATCACCTCATAAATATTTCAAGACGGTATTTTCACTTGACTGTTTTTGCTTGACTCGAAATATTTTAGCAAATGTATTGCCTCAAAGAAAAAAACGTTTGCCGTTGATCAATTGAAGTGCGCTGACTTGCACTCAATAAGTATGAGTGAGGTTTTAGAATACAGGTGTTAGAGTTAAAAAAAAGACACGAACAAACCTTTTCGTTGTTTGGTTTAATACAGCGAATGAAGTAAGGATTACACCTACAGAAGAAACCATAATTGAACTTATTGAGAAGCATTATTTCCAAAGAATTTTCCACTATAGGTAAGTCAGAAAATCTGCCACAAGGTAAGTCAGAGAATTTGCCACTATAGGGTAAGTCGGAGAATTTGCCACTAGGTAAGTCTGAGAATTTGTCACTAGTTAAGTCAGAGAATTTGTCACTAGGTAAGTCAGAGAATTTGTCACTAGGTAAGTCAGAGAATTTGTCACTAGGTAAGTCAGAGAATTTGTCACTAGGTAAGTCAGAGAATTTGTCACTAGGTAAGTCAGAGAATTTGCCACTAGGTAAGTCAGAGAATTTGCCACTAGGTAAGTCAGAGAATTTTCCACTATAGGGTAAGTCAGAGAATTTGCCACTAGGTAAGTCTGAGAATTTGCCACTAGGTAAGTCAGAGAATTTGCCACTAGGTAAGTCAGAGAATTTGTCACTAGGTAAGTCAGAGAATTTGCCACTAGGTAAGTCAGAGAATTTGCCACTAGGTAAGTCAGAGAATTTGCCACTAGGTAAGTCAAGAGTTCATCTTTAGTTAAGTCAAATAGTTCATCTCTAAGTAAGTTAGTTCATCTCTAAGTAAGCTCATTTTAACTTAAGTATAACACATTGCTGTAGATATTCCTACAATCATGTCAATGTACATATCTAATTTTAATTCCAAAGTACATATGTTGTTGAGAATAAAAACAATACTTTGACTGAAATAAAAACAACAAGTTTACTCAAAATATCTTACCGTCGCATTTTCTGTAATAGGGTCGCCAGTGATTCGTGGAATTTTGCCGCAACCGTAGACTTTTGGGGTGAATTGGGATTAAGCAAGTGACCGCGGGATTGTGAATGATTATGAGCCTGACTTAGATCCGTCACTTGGATCATACCCGTATAAGATTTCCGTATAAGTTCAGGAAATAACTTGAATACAAACTGAACCAAAAAGCAACGTTACAAAAATAAAATAGCGGAAATACATGAAAGTTTTTATGCAAAGTAGAAATATAGTTATGTAAAATAACAAACCGGCTTTCTGCAGGACGCAACTAAATCTACGATATCTTTACGTAGCCCATCTCTGTTCTTGTCTAAGAATTTTTCAACCTGGCAACAATGGAGAATGCAATTAAATCTGCAATATCTTTATGTACGTACTCAGGTGCTGTCTAAGAATTTGTTAACCTAGCTACAATGGAGAATGCAATTGAATCTGCAATATCTTTATGTACGTACTCAGATGCTGTCTAAGAATTTGTCAACCTAGCTACAATGGAGAATGCAATTAAATCTGCAATATCTTTATGTACGTACTCAGATGCAGTGTAAGAATTTGTCAACCTAGCTACAATGGAGAATGCAATTAAATCTGCAATATCTTTATGTACGTACTCAGATGCAGTCTAAGAATTTGTCAACCTAGCTACAATGGAGAATGCAATTAAATCTGCAATATCTTTATGTACGTACTCAGATGCTGTCTAAGAATTTGTCAACCTAGCTACAATGGAGAATGCAATTAAATCTGCAATATCTTTATCTACGTACTCAGATGCTGTCTAAGAATTTGTCAACCTAGCTACAATGGAGAATGCAATTAAATCTGCATTATCTTTATCTACGTACTCAGATGCTGTCTAAGAATTTGTCAACCTAGCTACAAAGGAGAATGAAAAATAGCCCATCTATGAATCAGAAAGACTGAAACCTGCTAACGATGCCAATAAAAGATATACGACGAATAGTTTTAAAGGAAATATTTCATGCATATTGAATTTTCCTTTACTTACACTGTACCAAACAGTCCCAGCGTAGTGTATTATACCAAACTGCATCGTTCGAGTCTTTGGTTTTTCAAAACATTTGTTGTTTTTGTAACGATGGAAACTCTTGTCCAAAAACGTGTGATCGGTCGACTGTGAAAATAAAACACAACAAAAATTAACGAGCCACAGGTAGAAACCGCCAATGGATAAACAAACAAAGCAAGGAACAGATGTTTACCTTAGGGAATGTTGTTTCATCTGATAGAAGATGAAGAAGACCGTAGTTACTTGCACCAATCAAATCAATACATGTTGTGTTATCTGAGTATTTAATCCATTTCCATTTGATTCCCTCTTTTTGGTACAGTTCCTGAAATATCAAGATGAAATATTCAAGTTCCGTCGGACATTTAATGGTTCGCATATCAAATCTCTATCATTTAAGAAATAAAAGATGTTTACTGTGTTTGCACAAGCTTATATGCAAACCGAGATGATCTTTGGGAGACCGAAGGTGGAAGGTTGCAAAAGCTCGAGAGTTCTCACTGACGTCTTTGATAAAATAACAATAATGAGAAACAGACAACTTTAAAAAACAAATATTAAAATTCTCTTTTTATAATGTATTCATGATTGATTTGCAAATTTTTTTGATTCGTTGATTGATTAATTTGTTGAGATCAGATCGGTTAGCGCGGACTAACGCAAACAAGGCTATAGACCTCTCTAGCGTACGCGTTTTATTGTTATTTTATACTGAATAAATTCTACAAAGCTCAAGAACACCTTCCCTACGTACCTGTTCAAGAAAAAAAACTGACTGATTGAAAAAATACTGAAGGCTCTCGTTAGCATAGTTTATGCATAACTGCTCGAAGCTATTTCGGCGAAAATCCTAAAGAAATGAATAATATAGCATTAGCTGTTACTTGTAAAAGAATGTTCTCTTACAAATAAATATCTCAAACCTCAAAACCAAATATATCCAGAATAGCCAACGACATTGCTTTATCTGATTTGCTTATCACGGAGTTTGTTTTTTCGACAATCCAACAGAACAGTCTTGAATACAACGCTTTACTGAGAGCATCTCTAATAAAGAATAACGATAAAATTACAGAGTATTGACTGCATCAGAGAATAGAATTTCAACGGTAAATAATGTCTTTTTAAACAGGGCGTTCATTTGAATGGGGGAACAAAGGAAGCATTTTGACAGGCTTAAGAAGGGGGGGATGTGTTAAGGCAGGCTTAAGAAAAGGGGGGTGTTGAGAAAGTGGAAAAATGTGTCCAATGGTCACAGAGAAAAAGCTCCAAAACTTTACTGCGGGGTCCTAATTTTTCTGAAAAAGGTCCTTTTTTTTTAACTAAGAAAGACTAACTAGTATACCGAGATTCATATGCTTGTTCTTGAGAACGGGGAGTCGTGAACTGTTCTCTTCTCGCCTCCTAAAAGCATAATAGGATTCTTAAAGTTTGATGGCACGGTCTCTTGTCGCAAGGCTTTGTCAAACGCTTCAATACTTCATGTAGTTATAATTTTGACGATATTGAATGACATCACAAGTAAAAGTAATCTATTCTTACCGTAATTTTATGGGTCAAAGCAAGCAAGAGATTGTCTACTTTTAAGCCCAGTAACTCAGACGCGATATTTGCCGCTTCATCATCTTGAACGAAGGCCACATCCAGACCGCTGACCTGTTCCATTATGAAAGAAATATTCACAATCAGTATAAAATACCGCATACACCGCTGACTGGCGGCGCAACTATTTTTCATGTCTACAGGGAACAAATGTAGCAATTTGATGAAATATTTGAAAAACAAAATTAGAAAAACAGTAGCCGCTACAGTTAAGAAATAAAAGATATTTACTGTGTTTGCACAGGCTTGTACAAACCGAGGAGACCTTTGGGATGAGTGCAAGCCCAAGATCGAAAGTCGAGAGTTCTCACAAACGTCTCCAAGGTTTGCATAAACGAATGTTTAAATTTTTCCTCCAATATGTATTCATGATTGTTTTGCAAATTCTCTTTGATTGATTTAATTGATTGATAGAGCATAGATCAGTTTGCACAAACTAATGTAAACTCAGCTATCGACCAATCAGCGTACACGTTCAATTGTTTTTATTTTATAACATTGATTAAAAGCTTTTGATATGTCAAAATTAAGATCAGAAAAAAACACAGTTAAAAGAAAAAGTAAAAACTCATAATGTATTACTTGTATTTAGATTATGTACACTGCATTTCTGTTAACACGCATTTACCACTAAGATAAACAGTATGGACGGATGATTTTTAGGTTGGGACTTCATAATTTTGCCGTTGGTCGTATTAAAGAGGCCGTATTAATTGGTTAGCTTTTATATAAAGAGCATCTTTGTTTTTCTTGGAAAAAACTCGTGAGTGTATTATTGAGGTGACTGTATCAATAGGTTACCCTGAGGCAGTGTTACAGTACTTTAGTTGCAAATACAAACTAGTTCGTAATGAAACCTAATTACTCTCGCATTTCAATAAGTTCCAGAAATTATATCCCAAGCGTAAACATAAATTTTCTTTCATAGCTGTAAACATATATTTCATATTCCGAATAGCTCCCAAAATTTATCCTAGCAGGGTAAACATAATTTGTATATATATATAGCCATCAATATACCTGTTTGATTCCAAAGACAATATTTCCAAGGTGAAGTATGGTTGATAATATTCCAAATATACCATCTTGATCGTCTTTCTGTAAAAGGGTATATCATCATTGACAAGAAAGCAACCGTGTGCATCGTAAGTACCAGGATACAATATTAAAAACCAAACCTCGATCTTAAGAACTTCCATCGCTGCGAGCAAACGGTAAAAGTCTTGAACGTCATTTTTACTTTGAACAACACAACATTCACCCTACATAAAATTATATCTTCGTCAATGTTTTTACTTTCAATAATCTTTAGGACATGTATTCACGGGATCTATCAATTTCATCTATTCTTTCCAAAATAAAGAAAGTGATAAAGTGAATGGTTTGAACCCGAGAGTATCGTTACATGTTTGTGGATGTAGATCGTCCAGGTTGGTATAGTCCTGAGAATGACTGTTGATGTTGTTGTAGACTGACGTTTCGAAAACCTTAGCGGTAGTCATCTTTAGAGTCATTACAGAACATTAGCGGTGGTAATCTTCAGAGTCAACATTAGCTGTGGTCATTTTCAGAGTCAAATGAGGAGTGAAAATGTTGACAGTGAATATGACTACAGCTAAAGATGTGTAAACAATAGCCAACATCAACACCAACAGTTCTTTTCAAGACTCTACTAACCCAAGACAAAATTTACAGTTTTTCATCGTTGGACTCAAAAGAGTCCAACGATGAAAACGCTGTCATAGAAATGGTATTATAGTAAGGGATGTCGATTAGAGACACTAAGGGGAGACGTTTATTAGACGAGGCGTTTATTTAAAAAGGGGCGTTTATTTGAAAGTGGCGTTTATTTGAATGGAGGCGTTTATTGGAGTATATATGGCATGCATGATTTAGTAAGAAATATCTTAAGATTTCACCTGACTTAGATAAATGTAATCCTCAGAGTTCTTCAGAGAATATTTTCCTTTTTCATTTGGCGAAAGTCCCGCCAACAATTCATAAAACACGTGATAATTCCGCTCTCCATACGCCTGTGATGGGAAGCTCAAAATTCTACATTTCTACGCATGCGTAGTACATAAAATTGCGTCAAATCAATTTTTAAGATTAAAGAGATTACCTGACCAACTATTCTTGATCGTTCGAGGAGATATTCAGAGATCTGGGCACCACATATACATCCAACTCTGATAAATTAAAGGGGAATAGTAAAACAAAAACTTGATTGTTGTTACAAATTGAAAATGTTGCTCTGAACAACGTCGTGGTGAATGACAATTGAGAAGTTCTTAAAAGGACTTTTGCTAACCAAAATGAAGATATGAAATTAATTGACACAATGCATTTCTGCAGACTTGTCAAGAAATTCATTTGTATCATTTAATTTCATATCTATGTTTATTTTGGTTTTCAACATTTTTAAAAAACTACCCAATTCTCATCTTCCATGACGAATACGTACGCTGCCATAGCAACAAAAAAAACACTCGTGAATAGCGACTATTTGAATGTATACCCTTGTCTTAAGTTAAAACTTGTACGTACCTCAATTCTTTGTTATGGCTGTCAAGTTTATATTGAAAGTTTGCTTACCCCCCCCTCCCCTGCAAATCTCCAACCCGTCTTAAGTTAAAACTTGTACGTACCTCAATTCTTTGTTGTGGCTGTCAAGTTTATATTGAAAGTTTGCTTACCCCCTCCCTGCAAATCTCCAACCCGTCTTAAGTTAAAACTTGTACGTACCTCAATTCTTTGTTATGGCTGTCAAGTTTAAATTGAAAGTTTGCTTACCCCCCCCCTCCCCTCCCCTGCAAATCTCCAACCCGAGTTCTATTTCAATAAAAAAATCAGTGACGTACTTGTCAAAATGCATCTCAAGATATTTTCCAAAACGACTCGAGTTGTCATTCTTCACCGTTTTTGCATTTCCAAACGACTCCAAAAGGGGAGTTGCTTCGATTATCTATGGTGTACATACAAAAACCACCAGTAAACTTAACAACGGATAGAAAAAAATCAGCGCCGTTTCAGCAATCTTTATTTCTCAAACCTGTTCAGTAATGAGGCTTCCCTTTGCTTCGTTAACAGCAGCAAGATATTGCAGTAGAAGTTTGGAGCATTCTGTTTTACCAGCGCCACTTTCACCGCTGAAACAATAAAAATGCCGTGAGCATTTCATACATGCTTCTTGATGGAAGCTATAGCCAGTGCCCCCCCCTCCTACAAATTCCCCCTTCTCCGTCAGTAAATTTTAAATTTCAAACAACTTTCTGCCCCCAGTGATAGTCTCTATAATCAGTAGCCTGCCCTGAAGAAAACATTAAATTTTTTAAAAAACTGCAACATTTTTACACTCCTCAGTAACTGTCTCTAGGCTTGTCTTCTCCCAGTAGCAAAGACCTGAGGAGTCAAGCAGACCTCATAATTCATTTGGTTCAATCGTTCGTACCTAATCACAACAACTTGGTTTAATCCTGTCATCAACATTTGATAATATCCAGCGTTACCAATAGCAAATATATGCCTAAAATAAAATAGCTCGTGAAGATACATACCTCTTGAAATACTTAGAAAAAAAGCTAAAGCAAAGCTGATGTTTAAATTATTCAAAAAATGCAGGACCAAATTCACTTACTAGATTGTTTACCTATAGAAAAGACATCACTGATTACTATCTACGCAATATTACAAGTTGTCTGAATGTTCCTATGCCTAGTACTAACTCCTTGAAGAAAAGCTTTGCGTATGATGGGGCTTCTGTTTGGAATTCAATTCCAGCAGAAATCAGAAATAACAAAAGCGTGTCACTTTTTCAAAAGAAAATTGCTGCTTGCATTTTATGATTGAGCTTAACATGTAACTGATTGAATAAACTAAACTCTGTAAATATTTAAACTCATTTTTCTCTTCTATAGTTATTTTATTTCTTAGTAAATTTTGTAATCGCTTTTGAACAAAAGCACGCCCTTCGTGGAAATCAACCCCAGTTGACGAGGCCAGCGTGTCAAAATAAAGATTTTCATTCATTCATTCATACACACTAAACTTATCATAAAAGATATTTCCAATTATAGTAATTACAAATGCGTTAACCAAGACGTAAAAAGTACTTTGGGATGGACGCGCATCATCCGTCATTAGTAGAAGTCTGGGTTCTAGCTAATTTTAATTCCTAGTTTTAAAAGGGATCCAATGATATTTTACAACCAGTAAGTGCAGGTAGGTTGGAGTCAAAATATAACCAGTGAACTTTCAACTACTCAATCTCCCGTTTCTCAAAGTGAAATAAAACCATTTTTTTGATTCCGTTCAAATAAATAATGATAAACAATGGTATGTTGAGAAAAATGAATGACCACACAACTGAAATTGAATAACTTAAACATATCTCTCAAAACTTGAATCCGCGCATCGAATCTTTAAAAAACACAGTATTTACTTACGGCGGGAGTTTTCCTATCGATTTTCCTTCGTATTCCTTAACTTTATCGAGACCATAAATATCAAACATTCTGTAAGGATTGATCGACATTAAAATTTGACCAATGTACGTCTATTAAAGAAAAGTAAAAAATTGAAGATTGTGCTGAATTGTGTAGCTAAATAAGAAAGAATTAAACTAGCAGGCTACATTTTAGGAAAATATTCCTTTTTTACATTAAATGAAATTTCATATGCACATTTTTGCTTACAAACGGAATGATATTTCTTTTGGTCGTGCGTCCTTTCTCAGGTTGGGAATGGGATTAGTTAAATCACTGGCTCAGGTTGGGAATGGGATTAGTTAAATCACTGGCTCAGGTTAGGAATGGGATTAGTTAAATCACTGGCTCAGGTTGGGAATGGGATTAGTTAAATCGCTGGCTCAGGTTAGGAATGGGATTAGTTAAATCACTGGCTTCATATTTCGTCGGAAATCAATCTTTACTGTTATAATTAATACAATGGCTTTGACTCACATAGAATGAACCATTATTATATCTCTTCTTGATGTTATAAAGTATGGAACCTTCGTGAAGATCACTGAAAAGGAACGGAAATTAAATAAACGACACGAACCCGAATTGAAACAGTAAAACCATGCTGAAATGATTTTATTGTATAAACTTGTGAAGACATTGAGCTTAATAGACAACAAACTGAAATAAATATTTCACTTAAGAAATAAAAGATGTTTACTGTTTTTGCACAGGCTTATGCAAACCAAGGAGACCTTTAGACAAGATCAGTGTAAGCTCAAAACCGAAGGTCGAGAGTTCTCACCAACGTAGAATATTGCGAAACAGATAAAATTAAAACAAACGTTTTCATTTTTCATTTAAGATGTACTTATGATTGATTTGCAAATTCTCTTTCATTGATTTAGCTCAGATCTGTTTTGCACAGGCTAATAAAACTGAGCTAAAGACAAGTCACTGCACGCGTTTTACTGTCGTTATTTTCTAAATATTTTTGTTCCTAAAACATACTTACTCAATTTTTATCATATCATCGTAACCATTGGGTCCATTGATGATCATTGGTTTCACCAGGTGTGAATCAACGGTGTACACCTGAAAACATCACAGTACATAATATACCCTTAAAATCCTTATCTGTCATCAGGTGAAATCATGGCGTAGTGCAACACATTTTATCAGTTGAAGCCACCTTTCCGACGGTAAACACACGTGTCAAAAATACGAGATCAAATTAACAAATTCGGACAGTCAAATGGTTGGACATTGTATTGCCTTTGTAGACTAGTTACAATAAAATAGAAAAAGGATGCTCATGGGGCATTTGTAAGTCTTATTTTAGAAATCTAGAACGTCTAATTATAAATGAGGAAGGTGTAAATAAAAATTTTCCCTCAGATGAAAGAAAAACTTGGATATGACATGCAATATGCAAATACAAAGTTATAGAGAAAATAAAAACATTTCAAACGTTGTCGCGGTAACAAAGTTTTGATGAGTTTAATATGCATTTGTTAAAACAAGCTTAACACAAAGATCATGCCAAAAAATATATGATTGAAAACTTGCTCAGCGCATCTACAAGCACCGATTTCAGAGCTCGCTCTCTCACAAACTAATTGAAAATTAATCTGAGCATGTGCAGTCTATTCCACCAACTTTCCAAGTTCATGGTCATGGCAATGACCAACTGGATATACTGGTACCGATTATGGAGTAATTAGCTCGCTCGGTCATAAATTTGCAGATAAATCATTTGTGCATGCGCAGTTTTCCCGAGCATGTGCAGTCAACTTGACCAAGTTCATGGTCATGGCAACGACCAACTGAATCTACTGGCACCGATTTTCAAGTAAATAGATGCTTAGCAACAATTTAAATAGAGAAATCATATGCGCATGCGCAGTTCTCTAGACTAATTGTTCATAGTCATGGCAACGACTAAGTATACGTACTTGCTCTACATTTGTGGCAATTAGCTCAAATAGTCGCAAATTATCAAAGAAATCATCTGGGCATGCGCAGTAGTGACTTTAATAATACCATAACTTTCGTAAGCCTTTGAATTTATGAATAAAGCTAAAACTTCATATAGTAGATGTCAACCAGCAGTGGAAGCTGGGTGCGATATAGTATGCAGTGGCTTAGGGGCCCACACTTCGGTGGCGACCGCACTCTCCCTTCGCACTCTCCCAAAGCCTAACGCAGGCGATCTCGGGGTCTGAGGGGCGGAAGCTTGCTATTGGCATCTCCCAAGTAGGATAGCGTGGAGGGGCCGAAATCTCCTACCGAAACGTTAACATCCGGCGTTCTAGTGCCTTGCGCTTGAGAAGGTATCGGGACGCATGGACCGAAAACGGGGTTTTTTGCTTTCGAATTTTATCTTTTTGTTTATCTCATAAAACAAGCTACAACATCCAAGGATACTGCAAAGATTCAAAACAACTTCTGCCTTTTTGATTTATAACTTAAACCAACTCTAAGCATGTTTATACGTTTTTTACTTGTTACCTTTTACAATGCAACATTCTCATAACTCTCTCGTGATGAACGACAGCCTCCTTATACAATATAACTCTCTTGTTATGAATGAAAGCCTCCATGGGCTTCGTGGAGAAAAAGGATTTTCTACTTTTTTGAAATAGTTTTTACGAAGATAACATAAGCCAAGCAATTTGTATCGTCTAAATTGAGCCCTTATGTCATAAAATTTCAATTCATTCCAGTGGATAGTAAATTTCTTTTTACCTTCACTTCTCGACTAATTTAGTAATTAAACAGTACACTTTTCGGATTCAAAGGACTTCTTTTGATCGTATAGAGACAGCCGTCCAATTTATTACGTACGTGCATGTAGTCTGCATTTCACTGCAAGAAACCATCCTTCCAAAGTATATCCAGATCCCATTTTAGCTGCATCTAAGTCAGGCCGAAAAAAGCCCGTAACGATCCTTACATAAAAAGTCGTTTGCGAGACAACTTGCCAGTATTCAAGCTTTCCTTTGATCGCTATGCTTTTTTCTAACCCAAAATGGTTAATATTTACTGTCATGCCTTCTGCCTTTACAATTAATCGCTCTGAATAACTAGAATCGGATTCAAAAATGCCCCAAAACTCAAAAGCATCTCCCAACCATTTTATTGCCACTATTCTACATAAACAATACTATCTCTGACCATTTGATTGTCAGAATTTTGTAATTTGATCTCGTATTTTTGACACGTGTGTCTATCGTCGGAAAGGTGGATTAAGAAGATAAGCTGTCAATAATCATGACCAGCCGACAATTTAAAAGAATACAGTATAAAACTCAAAGTCATAATACAGTATAAAATTTCAAAGTCATCCTCAGACAGAGTGACTTTGAAATAAAGTCGAAAATTTACAGTTCACTTCTCGTCTTGTTTTGATGCATATTTTGCAATCTCAAGCTATCAATACTCTCAATAATATTTTAGCTACTGAAATTATCCGGAGGGGGCAAAACTTAAAAGAAAGGATCCAAAAGCCAATATCTGCTGTAGGAATACTGTAATAATTCACTCATTTCTGTGACGAGTAAAGTATGAATAAAAATAGTAGCTCTCCACACTATTTGTTGACTGTATATAATTGTGCTCCATTGAAAACAATCCGTAATTTTAACCAAAGCACAAAAAGGGTAAAAAACAGTTTTAAACGCAAAGTACCTTTAGGTTGTCGTCCACTCGAACCTTCAACTGAGACCCAACAACGGATATAACCTTTCCAGGTAGCAGATAACCAATTTTCACATCGATCCATATCGTTGATCCCTAAATGAAGTAACACAAAATGTATAAGAATAATTCACATTCAATTTAATTTAATAATAAACTGTCCACTGGGAAATGTCGATTTTCTTTATTTTCGTAAAACATTTAAGCGGTTGTCTTCTAACTGCAACCGATGAGAATGACAGAATTTAACACAAAATTTGCCACCTTAATTTGGCCACATATTTTGTTCGCCAATGCAAAAAGCGCCCCAACTAAAATCACATGTTTTTCAATGTCAAACATTCAAAATTATTTTTAGAAATTTTAGTGCCCACTTTGTTTGACAACTGTGGGAATAATAACCTGTAACGTCACAAAAATATATGACGTCACGGTAATATATGACGTCACAGCCTCAGTGACCAGTTTCGTGGGTAAAGAACCATTGGTGAGAGCGTGCAGGTTTCTTGCACTTATTGGAGTTAGTAATCCATTTATCATGTGCAGCCACCTCAAGTTAACAACAGAAACGACAAAACCGATTCTGACCAATGAGACGCAAGCTTGAAATTAATGTTTACTAATAAACATTGCCAAAATGGTCGTCGATATGAAAAATTGTCTTCCACCAAGTTTGTTTGATAATATTGAAAAAATCGCGTCAAAAATCGCTTGTGTAGCCCCGGCTTATAGAAGTCGAAATTCATCACTTAACGACAAGTGTTTGATAGCTAATTAAATACACTTTGTCTCACAATGACATTCAATTTGACATGAGAATATTTTAAGAATTTCAACGACAATCACATCAAATTACCATTCCATATGAGGCGTGTGAAAAAAGAACACTTTGTGTGAAAATTATAATAAACAAAACAGCATTGTTTATTTTCCAAAGAGCACCGCAAGCAATAATAAAACTATGGCGAAAAAAATTTTAATCAGGGTTCGACCATTTGGAACAGAGTAGCTGTTAAAATATAGTTTGTTTTGCAGAGTGAAGACTTTATTCATATTTTCGTATGGTATTGAGTTAATCTAGTATGAGCCAGGGCTTCATTTAACGGTGTTTAAGACCGAAGAAAACTATATTTCAACACTTGCACTTCATGTGGGAAGATTTTTTTATTAGCGTTGGCGTATAAAATGAAAACTTTTCTTCTCTCAGACTACATTGGCCACTGAAAGCCTGGCGAAAACTTTTGTTTCACCACGCTGTGAATAATTGCTTTTCTTTAGAACACCAAAATCGAATTCTAGACACCTCGACAGCACAGTTGAAATTGCGATTATAGTTTTTCTTTGGCACTTTAGTTCAAAAACAAAACATCAAGTAAATATTACGAACACAGATATAAGTTCATCGATTTTCTTATCAATTCATCAACTATAAAACGCTCAAATGCGAAATGTCTTATGATAATATTGGTCAGTTACGGTGGAAAGTTCTCGAAGATTGCAACGTTGACAAATGAACATGCAAAGTACATTGATGCAGCATGCTAAGGCATAATGTGAAGTCGACCCGATCTGACAGCTGCAGTAATTAGTTGAAATAAATACAACATTTCTTCTTCATATTAATTCAACACAATCCACTTAAAATAAAGACTAAATAACTATATCTAATTTAGTCTACCACAGACTGTTGTCGAATCGCGACGTTAAAGATGAAATTCGGATCGTCAACCAAATTTGACAACGCCAAGGCTTCGTCTTGAGATTAATACTTTAACATTACAACTCGGTTAATGATTAAATCGAAGTAATTATGACAACACAATAAAATATTAACTTTAAAGACATTCAAGTCTTCTAAAACAAACCGGTATTTTATATATATATATGTATTTCTGGTGTTATAGTTTGACAACGAAGTTAGGATCTCAATAAATATGTCAATAAACGTACTTACAATGTCAATAAACTCCATATCAATGTTGCGCTTTAAGACAGGTCTGTTCTTTTATCCTTTGCAGGAGAAAGGATATCCTTCATTTTGTTTAATCATTGAGCAGAGAGTATTTCGATGCACGTTTCGGAAATACCGCCGGTTAATTTTAAACGAAGGACGATAACTTGTTTAATATTTTTAGATGTTAATTTCACAGCGTGAAAACGCGAAACTCTCGCGTGGGTATTTAAACACACAACATAAAACAAAAAATTTCTTATTTTCATTAAATTAATTCAGCAATTATGTATTTAAATGAATTACATACGTCAATGGCAATTTTTATCGAAGAAACTCGAGAAAGTGCCTCGAAAACTCAAAAGTATTTGTTAAAGTCGATATAATACACATCAGTAATACGGAAAGCTAATAAAATGAAAATAAGTTAGTATTATACATCTAGGATAAATTCGAAATACTTTATGCATGTGTAATTTAGTAATTATAGACTTTGGGTAAGTCTGGTAAATTACAGCTTGTCATTCTTTGAATATTTACATTTCCAAAGAAAAATTATTCCTTAGAAATATGCGTTGTTCTGAAGTTATTTTCACTATTTTGAATTTAAAATTGAGCAGTCAGCTATGACTTATATTGACTATAACGCTGGATCCCTACGGCGTAATTTAGCAAACCTTTCTTTCAAGCAAAACACTTGAAAATATATATCATTGAAAGTGAGAATAATACGCAAAGTTTTGTTTTCATTTGTTATTGTAAAAATCATGTAGTTATAAGTACATGGTTTTTACAATAACAAATCAAAACAAAACTTTGCTTATTATTCTCACTTGCAATGATAAAAAAGCTAACTCGTTTTTTACTACCGTGGTTTAAAAATTCTCGAGTTCATTCACTGGGAGAACAATGAATATCAATAAATTTCTATAGATGGACTGTCGTAGGTAACTCACAAAAAACAAATTTGGTCGTGATATGTAAATTTAACAGTGATTGAACACTGCAATACAACGACCAAACTTTTGAGCTGGCTTTGCTTCTGGACGTTTATGATAAACGTGCTTAATATTTGCATACCTAGCTGGTTAGCGCTTTCCTCGCTGCTTATTCTTTTGGTTTTGTTTGATTGTTTTGAGAATTAAAATCCCGCCATTTAATTTAAATCGACCGCTAGAGACTGGGTTCTAGTTAATGAGCTTCTTAATCCAACATGGCGTCCGATGGAGACTTGGCGGACGCCGAGCAAAGCGAACCAAAATTTGTCCTGCAACCTACATTAAACGATAAACTTCGCGAAATAGGACACCAAGCTGTATGGTCTCTGTCCTCCTGTAAGCCAGGGTATGGCGTTGAACAATTAAGAGACGGAAATCTCGATACTTATTGGCAAAGTGATGGACCGCAACCACATTTGGTGAATATAAAATTTCGTCGCAAAACTCTTGTCCAAAACGTTTGTATATTCGTGGATTACAAATCAGATGAAAGCTACACGCCAAGCAAGCTGTGCATACGGGCGGGAAATTGTTTAGATAGTCTTAGACAAGTCGATGTCATTGAGTTGTTAGATGAACCTAGCGGTTGGTTAGTTGTGCCGGTCGGTGGAAAGACAAAGTTACCATTAAAGACTTTTATGATACAAATTGCAGTGTTGACGAACCATCAGAATGGACGGGACACTCATCTTCGGCAGATCAAACTTCATGCTCCACCAAATGAAATGGTTTCGCAGAAGATGCCAAATTACACAACAGTTGAATTTTCGATGTATAGCACAATTAGATAGGGAAAACTAGCCGGGATATTTTACCGTATATCTGAGTTAATGGCATGAATTTACATTACAATTTCACATTCAAAAAGTTCAACTGTGGTTAGTTAATTCAAGTATAAACTATCGGCATTCAAGACAGATTGTAAAGCTTTATTTTGAAGGTCTATAAATATTCAACCTTGGGATTTTAATTTATTGAATGAATAATAATACTATAGGAAGTTTCATTTTACACTGAAATCTTGCAATTGACAACAACCTATATCTCAAAATTGTGCTTTAAATTTATGCTTTGTATTTCACAGTGCAAGAACACTGTCACACAACAGACGTCATTACGTACTGAACTCTAAAAACACTGGAATGCGATTAATAAATTACTGCTTTCACTAAGCAAAAAGCACTCACTAAAAAATGCATATCTATACGTGGAACACTATGTTAAAGTTCTTTCGGATAAATTTGTTTTCAATGAGAGCAAATCAGTTCCACTTGCTGGCTATAAATCTGGGCGAAATGATTCTGTTACAGCTCAGGTCAAAATAATTGGATTCTTATTTCATAATTTCTGCAAAATGATCTTTTGACCAGCGTTCAGTTAATTGTTCAAGTGATTTGACAGATAATTCAAATTTCTTCATTAAGTCGGCAGTCTTCTCCAGCAAAATGTCGTCTTCAGTGAAAAGATATTTCTCTTTGCGACCAATTTGGCGCCACCTCGAATTAGCAGGAGTTTTCTGTCACGAGAAAAATGACGATAATTATTATTAATTCATCATTACCTACACTGACAAATGTTATCTTATTTCTTACATATTTTAGTTAGAGTAAAGACTGTTCTTGTTCTCTGTTGTTCATTTATCACTACCTACACTGACATACGTTATCTTATTTCTTATATATTTTAGATAGTGTAAAGACTGTTCTTGTTCTCTGTTGTTCATTCATCACTACCTACACTGACAAACGTTCTCTTATTTCTTATATATTTTAGTTAGTGTAAAGACTGTTCTTGTTCTCTGTTGTTCATTCATCACTACCTACACTGACACACGTTATCTTATTTCTTATATATTTTAGTTAGTGTAAAGACTGTTCTTGTACTCTGTTGTTCATTCATCACTACCTACACTGACACACGTTATCTTATTTCTTATATATTTTAGTTAGTGTAAAGACTGTTCTTGTTCTCTGTTGTTCATTTATCACTACCTACACTGACACACGTTATCTTATTTCTTATAGATTTTAGTTAGTGTAAAGACTGTTCTTGTTCTCTGTTGTTCATTTATCACTACCTACACTGACACACGTTATCTTATTTCTTATATATTTTATGTAGTGTAAAGACTGTTCTCATTCTCTGTTGTTCATTCGTCACTACCAACATTGACACACGTTATCTTATTTCTTATATATTTTAGTTAGTATAAAGACTGTTCTCGTTCCCTGTTGTTCATTCATCACTACCTACACTGACACATGTTATCTTATTTCTTATATATTTTAAAAAATTAAAAGATGTTGCTGACGGAACACCACCCCATACAGACCTTTTTCAAGCCAAAACCAGACCACGATTTCAACCAAGCTAAAAAGAAATCTACAACTTCATAATCGTTACTCTTTCCGTAAGTTTTATCTCGTACATCGTGATAAGAATCATTTATTATCGCCACAAACATAGTCATCAAAATCCACGAAACAAAGAGGACAAAAGTAAAGAAAAACAACGGCCCAAGGAAACGATCTGTATGAATAAGTTCCATGAATTGATTCTTCCCCAAAATAACACGACCAAGAGACAACATTGACGATGGAATATTCCTGAATTGGTACACGTCATATCCAAATACGAGGACGCCAACTATGACATACGCAAAAAATACGATTCCAAACTGCAGAAAGTATCCAGCCAGTGCCGGTTTAGATGCCTGGAGAGTCTGAGTGAACAGCGATACGCGAATATTGAAACGCAAAAGTTTCGTCAGTTTCACCGTTACCAAAGTTACGACAATGGCAAAGAAAATGTTTAACAACTGAAAAACGAAATGGAAACACGCAATGTTATGATTTTGAAAAAAAATAAGCGGGAAAACTCGCTCAAACTTTGTTATTCTAGTAGGGGCAGTCTTAGTTTTTGTGAATTCAATGTATAACTGAAAGTTCTCAATTAAGACGATACTTTGAGACAAGGGGACATAAGATACAACAAAGACTTAACGAACAGGGGAAGTATTGGGCTTTAAGATACTTCAAAAACATGCAGAGTAAGAGGACCTATGTAGATGGAGGAATTTAATTTTACTGGTTAGGTGACATAACGGATATAGGATTCAACAAAGATCTACTAACTAAAGGATACAACGAAATGCAAGGGATAATTGATTCTACGAAGACCTCTTCAGTAATGTAAAAGATATAGGATTTAAAAAGGACCTGTTAAGTAGGTAATATAATAAGATATAGGGGATATATGGCTTAAAAATGACCTCGTAAGTAAGGGATGTATTGGGATGAATGTTTTAACAAAGACCTCGTAAGTAAGGGATGTATTGGGATGAATGATTCAACGAAGACCTCTTATATAAGGGATGTATTGGGATGAATGATTTAACAAAGACCTCTTAAGTAAGGGATGTATTGGGATGAATGATTTAACAAAGACCTCGTAAGTAAGGGATGTATTGGGATGAATGATTTAACAAAGACCTCGTAAGTAATGGATGTATTGGGATGAATGTTTTAACAAAGACCTCGTAAGTAAGGGATGTATTGGGATGAATGTTTTAACAAAGACCTCGTAAGTAAGGGATGTATTGGGATGAATGTTTTAACAAAGACCTCGTAAGTAAGGGATGTATTGGGATGAATGTTTTAACAAAGACCTCGTAAGTAAGGGATGTATTGGGATGAATGTTTTAACAAAGACCTCGTAAGTAAAGGATGTATTGGGATGAATGTTTTAACAAAGATTTCGTAAGTAAGGGATGTATTGGGATGAATGATTCAACAAAGACCTCGTAAGTAAGGGATGTATTGGGATGAATGTTTTAACAAAGACCTCGTAAGTAAGGGATGTATTGGGATGAATGATTTAATAAAGACCTCTTACGTAAGGGATGTATTGGGATGAATGTTTTAACAAAGATTTCGTAAGTAAGGGATGTATTGGGATGAATGATTTAACAAAGACCTCGTAAGTAAGGGATGTATTGGGATGAATGTTTTAACAAAGATTTCGTAAGTAAGGGATGTATTGGGATGAATGATTTAATAAAGACCTCTTAAGTAAGGGATGTATTGGGATGAATGATTTAACAAAGACCTCTTAAGTAAGGGATGTATTGGGATGAATGATTTAACAAAGACCTTATGAAGAGAAATTATATCGTAACGAGAAGGAAATAATCGTATGTCAAACGCAAACAAAAGAATTCTTAGCACTATACAAATGTTAGTCTCACCTCATTCCAAAACGTGACGGACTGAAAGTTGACGAAGTGTCCTTGTCGTTGTTTCACCTGTCTCATGAGATCTGTCGTCAAATGAATGCGATAAATGTACACTGCTATAGCTGCACACGAGCTGATAAGAACAAGAAAGTCAATGATATTCCAAAAGTTAAGAAAATATCCCAATCTTTTTCGATAACATTTCCTTATTGCTTGGTACGTGTACGCAAGTATAAAGAGTGTAAAGATTATTTCACAAGCAAAAACGAAGAAAGCAAAACCGCCCACATAAAGTTTTAAACGCACGGGCACGATAAGACGTCGATAATGAACTCCTCCAAGTTCAGGAAACTCGAATAGAAGAGAGATGACGGTGTAGAGATTCACGTTTGCGTTGTAGGTCGTCATTTCAATAAATACTGCACGAGTTTGTCGATCCAACCAGTCGTCTTCTTCTAATTCATTAAATGTGCTGTTGATGTCTCTTCCTATAAAAATCATCAAAATTATATTTCTTAAAAGAGTACCATTATACTGGATCTCTTAAAAGAAAGGCGTAGAGGTTAAAATGAAAAAAGTTATTGGAAAGGATGCTCGTTCGTAGTTCTACAAAGAAAACCAATTTCAAACCGACAGACACATCAAATATGTATGAAATAAAAATAATGTAAAGCATAGGTAATACTAACCGGGAATTAATCTTTTCACAAACCCACTACCAGCATAGGTTTCGAAGGTCCCCCATGTTGGATAACCATGGAGTTTTTTCCTGTTCTTGAAACACCACGATGAATCAATATCACCGCGAACCTTCCTCCAGTTTTTCTTATAGCAGTTTTCATCTTGATGAAAGATCGAGTAATGCTCAAAACAAACATCGATCGTCCTTTTCATATCATCAGGAACCTGACATGATTCTAAAAAAAGAGAAAGTCATTAAAAACATGACAAGTCACAAGGACCGTGAAAGATAGAAAATTGGGAGGCTCATATGGTTAGGGTTAGAGTTAGGATTAGGGTTAGGATTAGGGTTAGGACTAGGATTAGGGTTAGGGTTAGGTCCCTGAATCAGTCAATTTTTTCCTTTATTCATTCGCTTTCGTTCTACTTATTCTTTCAGAAAATATCATGCGATTGTTAATGTGTTTGCAGCAGCAAAATTTTTTATCGGATCAATTAAAACTAGGCGTGATTAAAAACGTGTTTGTAAAAAAGTTTTCAATGTGGTCAAGTCGTCGTCGTCTTTTTACAGCCATTTTAAAGCTGCCTTTCAATGGACCTTCTATGCCGTAGCAGGAAGTCTGGGTCTAGCCAAATTCTGACGTCATCCAATGAAGTTGGTATGGTTGGTATATATATTCTGTATTGCCAACTCCCTTGCATGACGTCATATAAGTAAGTTGTTCCGTACTTTTCTGACGAAGGACAAGGTCCACGAAAAAGAGCGTTTTTGCCAAATATAGAGCACCATAAAAATGGAACTACCGAGCCAAATTTAAAACTTTTTTTCAATGACGAGTTAAAAGTCACACCTATGGATTTAACATCGCAGACAAAAATTTTTGCCGTACTGGGCACTTTAAGTTTAATTTTTATTCAATGTCTTCAACTTATTAGATATGTACGACTATTTTCCTTGTATAGACCACTGACCATTTTTCACACGAAGAAGGCGCAATCTTGCTCTAGAAATAATGTTATTATATCCATCAATCATAAAACCAGCTCTTGGAACATATTCGTCGTTGTACAGTTTCTCGGGGAACGCTTTTGGTAGAAGAATGTTGCGTGTCCAATTCCAAAACTCGCGAATGTTGTGTACCTACAATTATGAAAAGAAATGTAGTGCTACGTTTGGTTTTTTTTCGTTATTTCAATTAATCGGACTGGACCAATAATTCTTTTTCTGTGGCAGATTATACCGTAGCAATATGCTTTCTTTTTAGTGGCAGTAGAAGATGAAAGTGACAAACCTTGTTTGTCTTCGAGCTTAATTTGTCGATCTGTTGATAAAGTTGAAAGGATCTGGTATCTTTATGTCCGTATGTGACCAATACAACAATGACAGTAAAAATCAAATGTACAGTGATTTCTTGAAGCAGGAAGAACATCTTTCTTTCTTTCATTTTTGCTTTGCGCATAATGGCGAGTTGATGGTCCGAGGGTCTTGAAGGCAGACTTAAGGGAAAATAATGAAAAACAATTTAGCACAAAGCCATTATTATAAAGTTTGAAGGATTCAATTTATTTAAAAACTACCTGGAGCTTCCATGCAACCCAGCTTTGATAGGACGTTCACTAAAAAAATAAAAATTTTTTTAGTTTTTAAGTCGTAGTATAGCCATTCTGCAAGTTTTACTCCTGCTATGTAAATATCTCAAGACAATATATTTACTTATTTCTTTGGAGATAAATTGTTTTGACAGTGCGTGAACAGGAACAGTGCCACGTTGCTTAATCCGAGATATCGGAGATTTGTTTTATGTAATAAAGTAAATGGTTTGAACCCGGGAGTATCGTTACATGTTTGTAAATGTAGATCGTCCAGGTTGGTATAGTCCTGAGAAGGACCGTTTTTACTCTGAAGATGACTACCGCTACGGTTATCGAAACGTCAGTCAACAACAACAAAAACAGTCCTTCTCAGGACTATACCAACCTGGACGATCTACATTTACAAACATTTGTTTCATGTGTTGAAGTTAAAGATACCATGAAAGCAGTTTCAAAACACGTTAGCCAAACAAAACTATCTCCTTAAAAGGACTTTGAATGCGCGCTGAAAACGTTAGCAACCCTGCCAACACTTTCAAAGAAATGCTAAATATAAGCTCCCTGATAAGACCTTTTAAGAAATGCTAAACACGAGCAGTTCAACGAAAGAAACTTTCAAAACAGGCTTCCACGACTTAACCTAAACATGACTTTCAGATCATTCTAAAGGCCACACAAAATAATGCATACAAGACACGAAACAAACCTTTCAATTTGAAATGTCGTTTTACTAGAGTCGTTATCATTAAATTTCAATGTATCTTCTGGTGTTTTATCATCTTCTTTTTCATGGTAAGAGTTCGACTCAAACTCCCCTTCATCAGGTTTTTTCACGATCAAGGCAAAGCCAAGGGCAAAAATCAACACTTTTAAAGGTTGTGTAACAAATATATCTTGAAAAATCGAGATAAAAATGGATAAAAGCCATTTTAATGATTTGCCGTTTCCAAACTGCATTCCATACAGAATAATAACGGTTGCCGAACCTAAAGATATGAAGATATACACGTTAACGTTCTGTTTGATAAAAAAACAAACAAACACGTAATACTTTTTATGTATTCATGTACAACAATAATAGCATAGTTTAATCTAAAAAACTATAATCGTACAAACTCCCCAACTAAAGATGCATGGGGTCCTGGGTATGAGCTCTCAACTAGAGATGCATAAAGGTGAATTCTTAACTACAGATGCATGAGGGTTCTGGATATGAACTCTCAACTAGAGATGCATAAAGGTGAACTCTTAACTACAGATGCATGAGGGTTCGGGATATGAACTCTCAACTAGAGATGCATAAAGGTGAATTCTTAACTACAGATGCATGAGGGTTCTGGATATGAACTCTCAACTAGAGATGCATAAAGGTGAATTCTTAACTACAGATGCATGAGGGTTCGGGATATGAACTCTCAACTAGAGATGCATAAAGGTGAACTCTTAACTAAAGATGCATGAGGGTTCTGGGTATGAACTCTCAACTAGAGATGCATAAAGGTGAATTCTTAACTACAGATGCATGAGGGTTCTGGGTATGAACTCTCAACTAGAGATGCATAAAGGTGAACTGTTAACTACAGATGCATGAGGGTTCTGGGTATGAACTCTCAACTAGAGATGCATAAAGGTGAACTGTTAACTACAGATGCATGAGGGTTCTGGGTATGAACTCTCAACTAGAGATGCATAAAGGTGAACTGTTAACTACAGATGCATGAGGGTTCTGGGTATGAACTCTCAACTAGAGATGCATAAAGGTGAATTCTTAACTACAGATGCATGAGGGTTCTGGATATGAACTCTCAACTAGAGATGCATAAAGGTGAACTCTTAACTACAGATACATGAGGGTTCGTATCGCTTACATTCAGGTACATACAAAGTTAGATTGAAGCCACGAATAGCTTGTTAGCCAGATCAAAGACCCTTAAAGGTGTTGATCATTAAAAACAAATGATAAAACCAAATAACATGAAAAATATGTTTGCACCTAAGGTTACGACAACCAAAATTGCCCAACCAACATAGACAAACCAATGAGGATAACTTGAAGGAAATATATTCTTAAATCTTGCCCAGCAAGATAAATTATTGCTTTCTTCTTTTAGTAGTCCGGTTTTGAATTGGTGAAGACTTGAGTCGTAGGAGTTTTCGGGGGAAATTGCTTTAAACGATCCCGGTGTACCCGTCGTTTCAAAACTCTCGCGATTAGGAACGATCTCACCGCTTTCAATGGATGTTTTTGAGTTGAGGACTTTCGGTCGAACATTTCGAAATATATTTAATATGATGAGATTGATAGGAACGACTATCAGGGCACTGACGATACCAACGTACATCTGAGGGATGGAATGTGGGATAGTAAGAGAAGTTTCAAATACGGCAAACGCATGAAGTATAGGGAGGGAAATTGTTTTTCGTCTCAGAAAAGAAAAAACCCTTCTATTTAGAGTTCAGTTATACATATAATTCTACCGACTCTTCTAAGTGTTTTTCTAGCAATTACAGACAGCAAAAAGCCAGTAGAATTGTTTATATTACTTAAACGTCACAGTAAAAGAAGGCAGAAGACTTCCAAAATTACTCCAGTGGCGAAGCCAATCTGATCTTTTACACATACAATGCAGATTTTTCATCAAAAAATTTTTCGTTTCTTTAGAAAATTAATTCCATTCATTGTTCCTCCAGTGATTGAAGACAGAAATGTTTGCATCGAGGAGGTGTAAAAAACAGAGTGGCATCGCCATTGCTGAGTTTCTCATCGCCTGAATAACATGAACTCGTCCCCTATTAGCCCCAGTCTCTTTCGAATGTACGACCACTATAGACCATGGTTGCTAAGCTACCAGAATCAGCACTGGCATGACGCCATATGTGGTTGTTCAATTCCTATACTTTTTGCTTTTTAAAACGTTTTATAAAAGTTAAAAAAAACTTGCCACCCAAGATTCCTGCAACCGTACCCAGTGCTATACATAAAGCAAAGTCAACTGGGGAACAGCGTGCTGTAGCCGAGAGAAAAACAGTAGACGAGTTGCATGACAAAACGACGAGAAAAGCAGAAATTTATGCGAAAAATAAGTACTAAATGATACAAAATACCAACCTCAGTCCAAGTAAACGAATAAGAACCAATATAATTCGTTGAGTCTGGTGTCGGTTCACCTTCTCTATCGTAAAACATAGCACTTACAACCATGGAAGTCATTATAAGACAAACACAACAAGATAATCTTTGAACGCGAGTAAATTTACTTTGCGGAGGGCGATTAAGCACAGAGAACCAGAGATGTGTATCGTTCAGACCGCGCTTTGTCTTGGAGTAAAACAAACGATAAAAGTCAATAAGTTCCTCTTGGCTTGCAACGGGAAGCAATCTTTCGATCTAAAAAAAAAAACACAGTTCTTGTCAAAAATATTCAATCATAATAGTCCAAACGAACGGTGTATAGCCTGTCCGCTTATTTAGACTTGCTATGTTCATTTTTTGTTTAACATACTGTCGTAGCCATCATCAGAGAATAACATAATATTCATCCTAGGGTTTAATATTACTGTCATAACAAGAGCAAAACATTCGGGTTGACAATACCAATGCATGAAACAAATAATTACGAACTACTACATTGTGATTTATGATTATGCGGATAGTTGAGGACAGTTTAGTTGAACATCGACTACAGTACTAACCCGTGTATAATAACTTAGATTTTAAGAGCCTGTTTGGCTGAAATTTTCATTTTCAGCCCATTTCTCATAGGAACCCGCTTATATAAGGCAAAAATGACGTTCTTATCAGCTCAAGGTATGAACATGATTTCATTTGCTGTGATTTGTTAGTGATATGCAGTTGATGTATCATTGTTTGCAGTCACTGTTTAATGGGTACTATATTATAAGATGATTGTATATTAATAATATTATAATTAGTGGAGATTTATATGAAAATGCAAGAACATAAAAGCCTATTATAAAGAAACTTGGTAGATTGGATTTGCTTTAAGTACTATTCATATAAAATCCCATGTAGACTGAATTGAAAAACTCAGATTTTATATGAACTGGATATTATTGTATCTTGACAAATGACTACGTCATTCAATCACGTGAACATACAAATCACGTGAGCACACAGTGGCAGGATTGAGGAACTCAGATTTTTATATGAACTGGATACTATTGCATCTTAACAAATGACTGCGTCATTAAATCACGTGAGCACACAGTGAAGTTCTTGGTCAAATAAAATTTCCCCAATCTACAGTATCCAGAAATGTTTTTTTAAGAAGATATTAAAATAGAAATGAACAGGTCAAATCGAACAAAATATAATTAGGGCAACCCAAGTTAATTTAGCTCAAGCTAGCAGACGATGGCACAACTAAAATCAAAGGAGATTTCGCCGTACCTGACCGTCATCTTCATCGACGGCAAACCATCTATCACAGATAAAATAGTATCGTTTATTGTTCTGTAGATCTGTGACCATCACTCTACTCAAGAACCAAGATCCATGGCTGTTATCATGCCAAATACGGATACAATACAGGTCACCCAAATCCTGGAAAGTTGTAGAAGATAATGTTACTGCTGTGTAGTAAGTGAAATTGTGATAGATGTTAACGATTTTACGTCGGGGACACGGAAAAAAAACAAGTTTAAAACGGCAGCTAAGATATACACGCAACATAAAAGAAATTTTATGGTAAAATAAGCACAAATACATCTGCAACACTTAGTAACTCTTTCATCTAAGCATTCTTTCCGCTCTGTCATGTAGATGACGACATCAGAAAAATTGCAACTTTTCTTTTGAAACTTAGGTTATTAATTAATTATAAATCTATGGAAGAGATTTTCATTTCTTGAGCGTTGAGGATGAAGAGTATGATTAGACGTTTAACAGAATGTTGTATTTCAGATGGTCAAGAAAGAGACTTTGTCATCCTCGCTTCATGAAATTTCTGATTAAAACTTTCAAGTTAGGTTTACATTTATAAAGTCAAAAATAAATCAAATGAAAAAAAATACAATAAAATTTATACATCATACAAAGCAAACAAACAACTGCGAGCGGTGAAAATAATAAATTATATCAAAAAATTATGTGAACAAACTATTCATTAAGACATACATTCTCAGCTCCGTATATAAACACTAAACAACACGAAGTCCCTATGTGTACCATGCTATCCATAAACATTACCTGTGACGTCCTAAGGAGAAATTTTTCCAAGCTGCCCCGGTGAAACATCGGGTTTTGCGGGTTCGTAAGGCACCTTGGCCGAGTATCACCTTCATCGCCAGACAAAATTACGGTAACTTTAGATTTTGTACCCGCATTTCTGCGCATGCCCGTCCACAATGCAATCTCGTAGCGATATCTGTGATGTGGAGAATTGTCTTGCAAGGGGCAAATACTCGTCTGTAAACATACATCACAAATAATGGTGAAATCCAACAGTAGTTTGTTTAATAAAATTATTGAACATTTCCATTCAAATTTACAACAAGAGCACACTGAAACTAAACCGAATTCGTTTGCAAAAGAAGCTCTAGGCTTTTCTGACGACAGACAATGCCCACGAGAAAGAGTATTTTTGCCATGTTTAAGCCGCCATTAAAATGAAACGACGTGACAAAATTTAAAAAATTTTTCAATGATAATGTAGAAATCATATATAAAGTAAATATGGCAAATAAAACCTTTTGCTGAAAAGGACACTTAAAAATGAAATTATTGTACAATAAATCTAGCATAAAAGATACTCTAAACGAAAATACCCGTGTTGTTTACCTTAACTGAGACACTTAAAAATGAAATTATTATGCAATAAATCTAGCATAAAACATACTTTAAACGAAAATACCCGTGTTGTTTACCTTAACTGAGACACTTAAAAATGAAATTATTATCCAATAAATCTAGCATAAAACATACTTTAAACGAAAATACTCGTGTTGTTTACCTTAACTGAGACACTTAAAAATGAAATTATTATGCAATAAATCTAGCATAAAACATACTTTAAACGAAAATACTCGTGTTGTTTACCTTAACTGAGACACTTAAAAATGAAATTATTATGCAATAAATCTAGCATAAAACATACTTTAAACGAAAATACCCGTGTTGTTTACCTTAACTGAGACACTTAAAAATGAAATTATTATCCAATAAATCTAGCATAAAACATACTTTAAACGAAAATACCCGTGTTGTTTACCTTAACTGAGACACTTAAAAATGAAATTATTATACAATAAATCTAGCATAAAAGATACTCTAAACGAAAATACCCGTGTTGTTTACCTTAAAGGCTCTTACAGACGAGCAAATTTTCTATGACAAAACTCTATGTTACAAGTTTTATACGCCCGTCTGTACGCGTCACTTTGCCATATTTTTCTGTGACAAATGCATTTGTTCAAAAGCTAGCATGCCAGCTTTTGAACAAATGCATTTGTCATAGAAAAATGGGCCAAATGACGAACTTTGTTCGTCTGTACGGCCAACAAAGAAAATATAACAAATGACGTGCCAGTGATGAACCTAGTCAGCGGAATTTTTCGGCGTACTCAGTGTTGTGGCCACAAAGGTCTCTGTCTTAGCGGCCAACATGGCGGCAGCCAACAACGTGCGTTGGACTGACGCAGCCACAAGTCACCTCCTTGAGTTACTTAGAACAAGGGAGAGTTTGTGGAATTTAAAATCAGAATGCTACAAAGACAGAAATAAAAAGAAAAAAGACTATCAAGAGATCCTGAACATAATGAACCAACGGCGATTTAAGTGCCTCTTTGAGTACTCGTATTGCATAAGTAGTGTTATGCCAATGCCACAAGCAAGCATCCGTTTGTGTTTACTCAAATATGGCATCGTTGAACAGCCGACGATTGTTTACTTTGATTATCGCTGATTTTCCCGCGTATTCTCTTTGATATATGCTGTGCTATTATATCGCGGGCCACAACATTTGTCACACAAAATTTGTTGATAGGTACAGACGGTCAAAGAAAATATGCCACATGAAAAACTTGCCATAGAAAATTTGCTGCACGTACACATGGACATTTGTCACAAAAAAATGGTAACATAGAGTTTTGTCATAGAAAATTTGTTCGTCTGTAAGAGCCTTAACTGAGACACTTAAAAATGAAATTATTATGCAATAAATCTAGCATAAAACATACTTTAAACGAAAATACCCGTGTTGTTTACCTTAACTGAGACACTTAAAAATGAAATTATTATACAATAAATCTAGAATAAAACATACTTTAAACGAAAATACTCGTGTTGTTTACCTTAACTGAGACACTTAAAAATGAAATTATTATACAATAAATCTAGCATAAAACATACTTTAAACGAAAATACCCGTGTTGTTTACCTTAACTGAGACACTTAAAAATGAAATTATTATACAATAAATCTAGCATAAAACATACTTTAAACGAAAATACCCGTGTTGTTTACCTTAACTGAATCAAAACCATCTGCACGTCTTGCCCAAATGAAAAGAAAAATGTAAAAGGTAAAAATAAGGGAAACAGCGACAAATGAAGCATAACCTCTTTTGAAGTCGTCGATTGAAAATCTTGTTAATGGATTCGGTGAGACGATGTAAGAACTGAACGATGTAAGATGGTTGCAGAGGCATTTCGTTTGAAGAGAATTTGATACGTTGCTAAGCTTCGGAAAACAAAAAACAAAAAACAAAAAACAGGGATTAATTTAAAGTTATTGGCTTTGGCTTCTCATTAAGATAAAAGTAAAATAACACAAAACTAAACCAAACTCTCGACTGCGAATCACTTTGAGCTGACGGTCCTGAAATTGTTGACTTGACTCGTATTATCAACATTGCATATACTAGATCACTTTATTTGTGATGGTTGACTAAAGTAATAATCAAACAAAGCTCACACTAATTATAAAGGAAAATCTCCAAATGTTTCAGTTTTACCATTACTAAACTCGAACCGTACTATACTTTTACTGGATTGTTCAAAAACATCAAACAAATGAACGTAAGTGCTAAATGAAAGAATCCCAGCCAGTCTCTAAAAGGCCGCTGGCGATTCCTCTGTTTTCGGAAAAGTTCTAAAAAGAACTGTTAGAGAACACAAACCATAGACTTCAGAGCTCTTTTCAGAGTTCTCACAGTTGAACAACATTTCACCCTTTTCAAAACAAGTATCTTCGTTAAAATAGGTACTTACACGACAACCTTTTGTCATCCAATTTGAGTTATTCCAAAACCTACATGACTTCAACTGTACGACGGCTTTGAAAGTCTCCGCGTTCAAATCACAAGGCTTTTTCGTTGGTCCATCACCTTTGTCAGGACAAGGCAACAGACCAATCGACACGACACCCTTTGCTTGTTTAAGTCGAGTAGAATCTCGAAGAATGATAACATTTCGTACAACATCGATATGGCTATCTTCATAACTCGCATTTTTCCATAGAAAATACTTAAAATCTTTTGTTTTCGGCGAAACCTTAACAAAAACAGAAACAAATTGATGGTAAGGTTTACTGGCAGCTGGAAAATGACATTATGTTAAGTGAGAGTGATCTGATGTTGAAACTTGAGTCCTATATACTCCAGTCTAGTGTCTTCATCAGAAGTGATCTGATGTTGAAACTTGAGTCCTTATATACTCCAGTCTAGTGTCTTCATCAGAAGTGATCTGATGCTACCAGAAAATAGATAGATTTAAGCTCAGAAAGTTATGTAAAGTTACTTTTTTCCCATATTTAACGAGAAACTGTGCTCTCTTGTATTTTTCTTCCTGTATTTGTATCTCGATCAAGATTTGTTCTTCAAAATGGTCTTCATTCACTCGAATATTACAAATATAGATATTTGAATCTTCTGATGATCTGTTCATGAATAAATCCGATGCATTTAAACTTTTCGGCAAAATGATTTCAATGTCTTGTGATAGGTTCTCCAGGACAACCTCGTTACCATTTCTTCGTCGAAATTTGATAGAAAATACTTCCGGTTGAATAAAATATGCATTCCTGACGTCCGAAATATACGGATTCTCTTTGAAAGACATTAACTAAAATACAAAGTTAAGTTTCATCATTGATTGACAATGTACTATATTTATACTGGATTGTTCTATCTCCAGTAAAAACGTCTGTTATAGATCTAGTGTTACTGAAGAAGGAAACCTGAACTGTACTATATTTATACTGGATTGTTCTATCTCCAGTAAAACGTCTGTCATAGATCTAGTGTTACTGAAGAAGGAAACCTGAACTGTACTATATTTATACTGGATTGTTCTACTTCCAGTAAAGAACATCTGTCATAGATCTAGTGTTACTGAAGAAGGAAACCTGAACTGTACTATATTTATACTGGATTGTTCTATCTCCAGTAAAGAACATCTATCATAGATCTAGTGTTACTGAAGAAGGAAACCTGAACTGTACTATATTTATACTGGATTGTTCTATCTCCAGTAAAGAACATCTGTCATAGATCTAGTGTTACTGAAGAAGGAAACCTGAACTGTACTATATTTATACTGGATTGTTCTATCTCCAGTAAAGAACATCTGTCATAGATCTAGTGTTACTGAATAAGGAAACCTGAACTGTACTATATTTATACTGGATTGTTCTACTTCCAGTAAAGAACATCTGTCAACGGTGCACACATTCTGGAGAAGATCTTAATCAGTTTCCGTATATTCAATTTTAGCATTCCTCACCTCAAGAAAAATATCATTACTACCATTATGACTTAAAAAAGGTAAAGCATCTTTCTGAAGAGAAACAGAAGGACTGCGCCGTTTGTCGTTATCATTACTAAAAGCCTTTTGCACAATGCGTTCTTGTTTCAGGTCAAAATCCTTGCTTATCTTAACATCGACCAATGGTGTACTGATGTTGGTGGACTGTTCTCTAAACAACTTCAAACTTGCCATGGCTTTCGTGATGGTCTGCATTGTCTTGTCCAAACGTTCAACGACTTTTTTCGTTTCTTCCGCAATCTAAGTGATAAAATTGTGACATAATGGTCAATGGTGGTGCCAGACACATACATTATTATAATGGACATTATGGTTAATGGTAGTACCAGACACATACATTATTATAATGGACATTATGGTTAATGGTAGTACCAGACACAAACATCATTATAATGGACATTATGGTTAATGGTAGTACCAGACACAAACATCATTATAATTGACATTATGGTTAATGGCAGTTACATAGTTTTATAAGCACATGCCAGCACGTTGAAATTTTGATAAATGACCAGAGAACAGATGGCAATCACTTGTAGTCTGGAAAAGACAAGTTTAATACGCCATTCATTGACTTCTTCTTTCTCTCTTTTACGACATTTTATCATTTACAAAAGATCTTGAGTTTTACATTGCTTGATAATTATACTGAATGTCAAATGCTGCTTTAATTAAACCCAAAACGAAAAAATCTTAATTTCGTCATCACCTTTTCTAAGGATTTTCCTTTTCTAGATAGTACACCATAAAAATTTTCTTTGATGTCATCAGGTGCTAAAAGTGATAAAAATTCAGTAGGTTTTTCATTGAATTTTTGAATGATTATTTCGTTGATTTCAACAGAAAACATCTCCAAATACCGCAACTGCTAAATACTGAAAATGGAGTTGAATGTTAATACACGTGAAATGCATGAACAATGCACGTGCAATGCATGTGAAATGAATGCACCATGCATGTATACTTCACGTGAAATGAAGGCACAATGCAAGTACAATGCACGTGAAATGAATGCACAATACACGTACAATGCACGTGAAATGAATGCACAATGCACGTACAATGCACGTGGAATGAATGCACAATGCACGTAGTACAATCCACGTGAAATGATTGCACTATACATGCACAATGCACGTGCAACTTTCAATGAAAATTCGTTTAAAAAAATAAAACGAACCATATCATTCAAAAACCGTATAGTTGTAAACATACAATTACCAAGGTTTGAAACTTTTTGGAGCTTAATAAACAAACAGACAAACAAAGCAGTAGTGAATGTATCATTGACAACGTCATTCGTCAAGCTTACCATTTTCTTTGGTCGTGTCCTTTCCACTGAAAAGAGACGCGTTTAATATCTTGGTTACTGCAGATAACAATATTGTTCCAGTTTTGTCAACTTCATCTCCTGATTGTGTCCCTCGATCCGTGGAGATGTTCAAAAAACTGTCCGACATGGTTTGAAGTCTTTCAGCGGCAAACACCTGTGAGAAAACACATGACTATGTGAAAAAATAGGCACGCACTTCGTACACGTTGGTAGCTTGTTGAATTTAGGGCAATAAAATAAAGTAGATGTAAAAACTATATTTTAAAACTTCAAATAATACTACATGTTTAATATCAGTCACACAAAACTTCCTTGAGAATCTAAAATGTGTTTTCTGCTCACTGCTTACAATGAAATGACGCAGTATTTGTGAAACTCATTATGCATTTACACATGTAGTAACACGTGACCAACTTGTACTTACACGTGTAGTACCACGTGACTAACCTGTGTATCATGAACAACTTGTGTCTCGTCATAAGCAGCCAACTTTAGTGCGTCAGATGTTTGTTGAATTGATGGAAGTGTATTCGTTTCAACTTTCTTCAGATTCTTGATAAATGCCCTCCGGATCTAAACATATAAAAAATAACCTTGCTTGTTTATCGAGAATTCTTTAAATAAAATGGTGGACAAAAAATTGAATAGAAAATTTTAACACAAAACAGCTATATATTAAAAACATTCTCTTGTTCTATAAGTTTGGTGTGCATTAAATCTTACATTAATTCACTCTAAAATGAATGGTTTGAGCGCAGGAGTATCGTTACATATCTATAAATGCATAGATCGTCAACGATTTCGTGAAGCTCTTAAAAAGACTGTTGGTGTTAGTGTTGACTGATGTTTCCATTTCTTTAGCTACAAACTCAGTTCTAAAAGTATTTATACACTTCCTTTACAGACACTAAACATTCATTTACTACAATCTAAAGATAGTTGTGCGCATGACTGATGTTTCCATTTCCTTAGCTACAAAATCAGTTCTAAAAGTATTTATACGCTTCCTTTACAGACACTCAACATTCATTTACTCCAATCTAAAGATAGTTGTGCGCATGACTGATGTTTCCATTTCTTTAGCTACAAACTCAGTTCTAAAAGTATTTATACGCTTCCTTTACAGACACTCAACATTCATTTACTCCAATCTAAAGATAGTTGTGCGCATGACTGATGTTTCCATTTCCTTAGCTACAAACTCAGTTCTAAAAGTATTTATACGCTTCCTTTACAGACACTCAACATTCATTTACTCCAATCTAAAGATAGTTGTGCGCATGACTGATGTTTCCATTTCCTTAGCTACAAACTCAGTTCTAAAAGTATTTATACGCTTCCTTTACAGACACTCAACATTCATTTACTCCAATCTAAAGATAGTTGTGCGCATGAGTGATGTTTCCATTTCCTTAGCTACAAACTCAGTTCTAAAAGTATTTATACGCTTCTTTTACAGACACTCAACATTCATTTACTCCAATCTAAAGATAGTTGTGCGCATGACTGACTGATAATTGACATTAATTCACAAACCTTCTTTGGATCTTCTTTAAAGGAATCTTGGTTGTGGTTCAGAACTTGAGAGTAGATTATGATTTGTTGTGTAATTTCTCCTGGATAATCTTCGCTGAGCTCATTTATATTCTCTACTACATTATCCAATGATTCCGAAGTAGAATTTACAGGATTGACCTGAAAAATATATTTACAAAAATTTTTAAATTTTTCCTCATTACTTTGTTTACTTTATAGTTCTCCGTTGTTCATTCATCACTACCTACACTGACAAACGTTATCTTATTTCTTATATATTTTAGTTAGTGTAAAGACTGTTCTTGTTCTCTGTTGTTCATTCATCACTACCTACACTGACATACGTTATCTTATTTATTATATATTTTAGTTAGTGTAAAGACTGTTCTTGTTCTCTGTTGTTCATTCATCACTACCTACACACACGTTATCTTATTTCTTATATATTTTAGTTAGTGTAAAGACTGTTCTTGTTCTCTGTTGTTCATTCATCACTACCTACACTGACACACGTTATCTTATTTCTTATCTATTTTAGTTAGTGTAAAGACTGTTCTTGTTCTCTGTTGTTCATTCATCACTACCTACACTGACATACGTTATCTTATTTATTATATATTTTAGTTAGTGTAAAGACTGTTCTTGTTCTCTGTTGTTCATTCATCACTACCTACACTGACATACGTTATCTTATTTCTTATATATTTTAGTTAGTGTAAAGACTGTTCTTGTTCTCTGTTGTTTATTCATCACTACTACACTGACACACGTTATCTTTATTTTATCTATTTTAGTTAGTGTAAAGACTGTTCTTGTTCTCTGTTGTTCATTCATCACTACCTACACTGACACACGTTATCTTATTTCTTATCTATTTTAGTTAGTGTAGACTGTTCTTGTTCTCTGTTGTTCATTCATCACTACCCACTGACACACGTTATCTTATTTATTATATTTTAGTTAGTGTAAAGACTATTCTGTTCTCTATTGTTTATTCATCACTACCTACACTGACACACGTTATCTTATTTCTTATCTATTTTAGTTAGTGTAAAGACTGTTCTTGTTCTCTGTTGTTCATTCATCACTACCTACACTGACATACGTTATCTTATTTATTATATATTTTAGTTAGTGTAAAGACTGTTCTTGTTCTCTGTTGTTTATTCATCACTACCTACACTGACACACGTTATCTTATTTCTTATCTATTTTAGTTAGTGTAAAGACTGTTCTTGTTCTCTGTTGTTCATTTATCACTACCTACACTGACACACGTTATCTTATTTCTTATATATTTAGTTAGTGTAAAGACTGTTCTTGTTCCCTGTTGTTCATTCATCACTACCTACACTGACAAATGTTATCTTATTTCTTATATATTTTAGTTAGTGTAAAGACTGTTCTTGTTCTCTGTTGTTCATTCATCACTACCTACAATGACACACGTTATCTTGCGCTCTAAAGACGGCTTTCTCAAACTCATTTAATAAAAAATCAACAATACCACAACATGTAGCGTTAGTTTTGTATATTCTCCCAGTGCACTTGTTATTTCGACTTCAATTGCAATGCTGCCGTTCTTTTCTCCAGCAGGAAGTTGACTTTGTGAGGATTTCTGTTGTTCACCAGTGTACCATAATATCAACTGATCACCCTCGCTATCCTTTGCTTCAAATGGCGGGATGTAGCGTACACTGTAGGTCAGAGGAGGATATTCACTTTTCCATTTCTCGCATTCGACGTGAAATTCTGTTCTAGCAGCTTCGCCTTTGTCAGGACTGATGAAGATAAAGCAGAAAGGAAAATCAACTCAAGAAAAGTTCTAAGATGATTGGTAAATAATTTTATTTTAAGAATTTAAGTTGAAAACGTTGCACAGGACAACATAGCCACTTAAGAAAAAAGCAAATCGTTGTTAACTTTGACTTTGAAATTGTTGAATATACTTTTCCTATATTTAACCTCATAAGGCTGGACAAGACAGGTTTTCTTACAGGAGTCCCTTTCAGGAGACCTAAAGAGAAGCGGGGGAATTTCTTCGCACTTTATTTTCCGTTTCCGATTTCATTGTTCCGGTTCCGTTTCCGATTTCCGATGTCACTAGTGAGCAGCCCGTTTTTGACAGCGACAATACAGATATTTTTGTGTTTACTGCAAACACTATGAATTGATTTAATTTCCAACAGACAACATAAATTTGCCGATAAATTACTAACATCTGGGAAATTTGCATAAAAGATGTGACAATTCGAGCTGGCTTCGATAGTCACCTTCATCAAAAATACCTTAAAAAAATTTCAGCGAGTTCTTCATCATATTTTAAGCTTTAACAAACATGAAAATTCTAAATTTTTTGTCGTCGGAGAAAACTATAACGGCTTTATTTTAAAGGGCGAAATTTGAGGTGGTGGAGGAAGGCGCAATTTGAGGTGGGAGAGAAGGCGATTTTTGATGTGAAAGGGGGAGAGGAAGGTACATTTCGAGGTGGAGGGAGACGAAGGCGCAATTTGAGGTGGAGGGGGAGAGGAAGGCGCAATTTGAGGTGGAGGGGGAAGTAGTCACAATTTGAGGTGGAAGGGGAGTGGGGAGGAGGGAAGAACAGTGGCGAATCTAAGGAAGGTCAAAATAAATTCTAGAAGCTCATTTTAAATTCAAAAGATGTTTTCAAAAATGTTGCTGGTTAAAAATTTGAAAAGAATATTTAAGAGTAAAACACTCCACATAGGATTCGCTCCAAAAGTATTCTAAAATGAAAATATATTTTCAGTACTGTACTCTGACTTATCCTGGATTCGCTAATGAAGAAGTAGTGTTTTTATGGTAGGGATGAGGGAAATGACTTAAAATAAAATCTTTTAAAGGATGCCAACAAATATTTTCTTACCTCACGTTACATGTACCACCAGAAAGATGACCAACTGTTTCAAATTTATAAACAGACAGCGTTTCGGTTAAATTCTCGCTCTTAACTCTAAGTTCAACACGATAGAAAGTTTTTGGTTCAAGAGTATAAGCAGATATAATTAAGTTCTGTCTATCTAAAACAGCCGATACGTTCGCCACTGAACCATTTTTATAAAATAATTTCCACTTGTAGATAATTTCTTTTGTGGGTAAACATGCTTCACATTGTCCTTGAAGAGACAGTCTACTTGTGAGGGTAACACGAGCCAAGCAATTTACTCGACAACTAAAGACGAATAAACAAAATGCTTCAGTACACATTTTTTAAATTCAAGGGCATAGTTTAAAAGTCAAGAGTGAAGGTCAAGACTCGACAAGTACAGCCTCGGATTAGGAGTAGAGCCAAAAGTTCAGTTTGAAAGTCGAGAATAGCTACAGTTTTGGCGAAGAGCGTGTATTTGAAAGCCAAAAGTTCAGTTTGAAGTCAGAATAGCTACAGTTTTGGTGAAGAGTGTGTATTTGAAAGCCAAAAGTTCAGTTTGAAAGTCGAGAATAGCTACAGTTTTGGTGAAGAGTGTGTATTTGAAAGCCAAAAGTTCAGTTTGAAAGTCGAGAATAGCTACAGTTTTGGTGAAGAGTGTGTATTTGAAAGCCAAAAGTTCAGTTTGAAAGTCGAGAATAGCTACAGTTTTGGTGAAGAGTGTGTATTTGAAAGGCAAAAGTTCAGTTTGAAAGTCGAGAATAGCTACAGTTTTAGTGTAGAGTATGTATTTGAAAGACAAAAGTAAAGTTTGAGAGTCATGAGTATAATTTCAGAATCAAAAGTATATTTTGAAAGTCAAGAATACATCTTTTGAGTTATGAGAATAGTTTGAAAGAAAGTCAAAGAAAAATAAAGTTTAAGCACAGAATAAGAAAATACAGAAGAGTCACTCGTGTCGGAACCTTTGATGTTTTTGTCCTCGCGCATGTCGTGCTGCGCATGGTGGCCGCCATTATTCCAGCCAGATGATTAAGGTTTTTGACTGTTTCCTAACCTTCAAAATGATCCGAAGTCATTTCTTAAGTCAAAATATACTTGAATTCATTATTAAGTATTGACGTCATGTAACTTTAATGGTTGGAAACAAGTGAGAAATCCTAATCATCTCTGGCTGGAATAATGGCCGACACGAGGACGCATTGTACACCTGAGTGACCATTCTGTATAATCATTATTCTGTGGTTTAAGAGAATAAGGGTAAAGTTTGGGTCAGAGCTCTGTGAATGTTAGATATTACCCATTTTCACGCCTTTGCATTATAAATAACACCTAACTCTCGTTCTTAGGACTTTATAACGATGACATCCACTTACATAATTTTTGTGACAAGAGAACCATTTGCGACAATGCGAATCTTCTGCGTAACGTACGTACATTTCTCACGAAGGGAAACGTTGACGGAAAACTCAAAACGATCGCCCACCTTTAACAAACTCACATTTACTGTGACAATGGAGCTAACATTCTGCCAACTAATATTAGAACAATTAGCCACGCATTGCCAACGAAATACAAGATTAGATGAATCGAAAGTTTTGTCATCTGGGTCATAAGATTTGCTTGCATTTATGATCAATTTATTACTTCGCTCTACCACATCACGGCGAGATCCACCTGACAACAACAAAAAATACAGAAAAATGGTCAGTATACAAATAAATGTTTGAGCAATATGTAGTTTTTGTAGGCGGAAGCATTCCAACTTTTGTGTCATTTTATAATTTAAGATGATCAATACCTTTTAAATTACACTTCAGACTGGGACCCAACCTTAAACTACACTACAGACTGGGACCTAACCTTAAATTACACTTCAGACTGGGACCTAATCTTAAATTACACTACAGACTGGGACCTAACCTTAAATTACACTTCAGACTGGGACCTAACTTTAAACTACACTACAGACTGGGACCTAACCTTAAACTACACTACAGACTGGGACCTAACCTTAAATTACACTACAGACTGGGACCTAACCTTAAACTACACTACAGACTGGGACCTAACGTTAAGCTACACTACAGACTGGGAGCTAACCTTAAACTACACTACAGACTGGGACCTAATCTAAAAGTACAATACAGACTGGGACCTAACCTAAGACTACACTACAGACTGGGACCTAACCTTAAACTACACTACAGACTGGGACCTAACCTTAAACTACACTACAGACTGGGACCTAACCTTAAACTACACTACAGACTGGGACCTAACCTTAAACTACACTACAGACTAGGACATAACCTTAAACTACACTGCAGACTGGGACCTATCCTTAAACTACACTACAGACTGGGACCTAACCTTAAACTACACTACAGACTGGACCTAACCTTAAACTACACTACAGACTGGGACCTAACCTTAAACTACACTACAGACTAGGACCTAACCTTAAACTACACTACAGACTAGGACCTAACCTTAAACTACACTACAGACTACAGACTACAGACTAGGACCTAACCTAAGACTACACTACAGACTGGGACCTAACCTTTGAATACCTTTAGAGTAAGGCCTGAGTTTAAAGTATAATCTAAGCGTAGACGAAACCACAGTCCAAAGAACAAATGTGTATATTTTTACCATCAATAATAGCAACAGGATTGCTCGCTTCAATTTTTATGTATGTTTTGTCCACACTTGTATTCTCTCTGCGACCAGTTTCATTGCAGAAGGCGTTTACCTGAACTCTATATGAACCTGGATTGAATGTGCGTTTTTTGATGAAAAGAAATGAATTGTTAGGGAACGATAAATTAATTCTTTTATCTTCTTCATACACGCTCCAGTGGTAGGTCCAACAATCAGCACTTTTTTGTTCCTTTTTACATGACGTATTTCTAAGATATTCGACAGCATTGATACGAATATCGTGGCCGTATGTTGTAACGAAGGGTTCATCTTTCTCTCGTTGATCATAGATTTCAATAGCAGACTCACAATTGTGCGGTATTGTAAAATTTACGCTGGCAGATTCGTTGTTTAGATCATTGTTTGCAGTGACAATAATTTCCCATAATCCACCAGTGTCTGGAGTAAAATTCATAATATTACCATTTATGGTTTTATGTACGTCATCATTCGTTTCACCGTCCGTCTTTATTTCCCAAGTGTAGTCTACGTCAGAACCTGCATTCACATTAGCAGAAAACGTCAGACGCTTGCCGAAATAGTCATTTCCGATTAATCCATTTGAATCATCTAGATGCAAATTTAAGTTGACAATACGTTGAAGAATCTTTACTGAAGATGATTTGCGGAGTTTTCTTCTTTCAACGAGGAAAAAGGCCGTGATAGTGATGTTATATGTTCCTGTAACGTTGTATCTGTTTAAAGAAAATGTACATAAGTTGATGAAATATGATCTGATGAAACTGAAAACTTATCTACTTTATGATCTGATGAAACTGAAATCTTATCTACTTTAGTCAAATGTGTTTATTACGAACGATCTAATTTTGAAATCTGCAATAGCGTAGCCAGCCTTTTACAACATCATTCCCTTCTTTGGAAATCTACAGTTTTTACAGTAAATGATCATCACACAATTTTCACAGCCAGACCACATAAACGGGTTGGCAACTCCAGTAACAACTTAATACTCTATGTACACGACACCAACGTATTTATTAGGGCCTGATTATATGGAGACGAGCTGGCCCGGATAGCGAGCTAGCCCGATGATTTCAAGGGATTGAAAGAAGCCAAAACTTCAACTTTAAAAATTTCAACTGTTTGCGAAGCGCCACACGCCACTCCGATTGTAATTCTCAAATTAGGGAAATTGGTTGTTTTAATTTTAAATGGTTTGAGAAATTTATTAAATGAGAGTATTGTGAAATTGCTTGAGAAGATTTATCTGATGATAAGTATTCAACCTTTCCATTTGCCAAAACATTTAACGCCTGGCTGAATCCCGGCTACCGTGTTCTTGTAATCAGCCACTTAGAAATGTTCTGAGGTTGAAAGTTGAGTCTTTATATAATCCAGTTCTATCTGAAGTGATAAAACTTGAAACCTGTGAGCTGTGTGTGTGAGACATAAAGTAAGAGTTAAAATATATAAAACTTACGTCACAGTTGCGTTAAAGATCTTCGTCGTCGATTTACCACATGAGAACAACGCACTCTTATCATTGCCAAATTCAATGTTTATAAAAGATTTATCACCGGGTACAAAAAAAAATTGTACAGTGTACGGTAGGCTAACTTCTCCAGGATTTTCATCAGGAGATAGGTTAAATTTGAGATTCATGATGTCGCTACTACTAATGTTCACGCTGTTACGAATTTCATTCTCAAAAATAGACAGAAATGATTTACTTGGATCATAGAATGCAGCAGTTTCACAATTGTACGATATTGTAAAATTTACGCTGGCAGATTCGTTGTTTAGATCATTGTTTGCAGTGACAATAATTTCCCATAATCCACCAGTGTCTGGAGTTAAATTCATAATACTTCCATTTATGGTTTTACGTACGTCATCATTCGTTTCACCGTCCGTTTTTATTTCCCAAGTGTATTCTACGTCAGAACCTGCACTCACATAAGTAAAAAACGTCAGACGCTTGCCGAAATAGTCATTTCCGATTAATCCATTTGAATCATCTAGATGCAAAGTTAAGTTAACAATACGTTGAAGAATCTTTACTGAAGATGATTTGTGGAGTTTTCTCCTTTCAACGAGGCCAAGAGCCGTGATAGTGATGTTATATGTTCCTGTAACGTTGTATCTGTTTAAAGAAAATATACATAAGTTGATGAAATATGAATGTAAACATGTATGTACTCAAAAGAGATCTGATGTTGAAACTTGATTTCTTATATACTCCAGTCTAGTGTCTTCATCAGGATTGATCTGATGTCGAAACTTGAGTTCTTGTATATTCCAATATATTGTCTTCATCAGGAGTGATCAGATATTGAAACTGAAATCTTATCTACTTTAGTCAAATGTGTTCATTAGGAGCGATCTAATTTTGAAATTTGCAATAGCGTACCCAGCCTTTTACAACATTATTCACTTCTTTGGAAATCTACAGTTTTTACAGTAAATGATCATCACACAATTTTCACAGCCAGACCACATAAACGGGTCAGCAACTCCAGTAGCAACTTAATACCTTATGTACACGACACCAACGTATTTATTAGGGACTGATTATATGGAGACGAGCTGGCCCGGATAGCGAGCTAGCCCGATGATTTCAAGGGATTGAAAGAAGCCAAAACTTCAAGGTTAAAAATTACAACTGTTTGCAAAGCACCACAAGTCACTGCGATTGTAATTCTCAAATTAGGGAAATTGGTTGTTTTAATTTTAAATGGTTTGAGAAATTTATTAAATGAGAATATTGTGAAATTGCTTGAGAAGATTTATTTGATGATAAGTATTCAACCTTTCCATTTGCCAAAACATTTAACGCTTGGCTGAATCCCGGCTACCGGGCTCTTGTAATCAGCCACTTAGAAATGATCCGAGGTTGAAAGTTGAGTCTTTATACAATCCAGTTTTATCTGAAGTGATAAAACTGGAAACCTGTGAGCTGTGTGTGTGAGACATAAAGTAAGAGTTAAAATATATAAAACTTACGTCACAGTTGCGTTAAAGATCTTATTCGGCGATTTACCACATGAGAACAACGCACTCTTATCATTGCCAAATTCAATGTTTATAAAAGATTTATCACCAGATTCAATAGAAAATTGTACGGTGTACGGTAGGCCAACTTCTCCAGGATTTTCATCAGGAGATAGGTTAAATGTGAGATTCATGATGTCGCTACTACTAGTGTTCACGCTGTTACGAATTTCATTCTCAAAAATAGACAGAAATGATTTACTTGGATCATAGAAGGCAGCAGTTTCACAATTGTACGATATTGTAAAATTTACGCTGGCTGATTCGTTGTTTAGATCATTGTTTGCAGTGACAATAACTTCCCACAATCCACCAGTGTCTGGAGTAAAATTCATAATACTACCATTTATGGTTTTACGTACGTCATCATTCGTTTCACCGTCCGTCTTTATTTCCCACGTGTAGTCTACGTCAGAACCTGCACTCACATTAGCAGAAAACGTCAGACGCTTGCCGAAATAGTCATTTTCGATTAATCCACTTTCAAAAATTGGTCGTATCTTAGCGTTTGAATCAACTTGATATAAAGTTAAGCCAGCAATACGTTGGAGAATCTTTACTGAAGATGATATGTTAAGTTTTCTCCTCTCGACGAGGCCAAAGGCCGTGATAGTGATGTTATATGTTCCTGTAACGTTGTACCTATTTAAATAAAATATAAATAAGTTGATGAAATATGAATGTAAACATGTATGTACCCAAAAGATATCTGATGTTGAAACTTGAGTTCTTATATACTCCAGTCTAGTGTCTTCATCAGGAGTGATCTGATGTTGAAACTTGAGTTCTTATATACTCCAGTCTAGTGTCTTCATCAAAAGTGATCTGATGTTGAAACTTGAGTTCTTATATACTCCAGTCTAGTGTCTTCATCAGGAGTGATCTGATGTTGAAACTTGAGTTCTTATATACTCCAGTCTAGTGTCTTCATCAGGAGTGATCTGATGTTGAAACTTGAGTTCTTATATACTCCAGTCTAGTGTCTTCATCAAAAGTGATCTGATGTTGAAACTTGAGTTCTTATATACTCCAGTCTAGTGTCTTCATCAGGAGTGATCTGATGTTGAAACTTAGTTCTTATATACTCCAGTCTAGTGTCTTCATCAGGAGTGATCTGATGTTGAAACTTGAGTTCTTATATACTCCAGTCTAGTGTCTTCATCAGAGTGATCTGATGTTGAAACTTGAGTTCTTATATACTCCAGTCTAGTGTCTTCATCAGGAGTGATCTGATGTTGAAACTTGAGTTCTTATATACTCCAGTCTAGTGTCTTCATCAGAAGTGATCTGATGTTGAAACTTGAGTTCTTATATACTCCAATCTATTGTCTTCATCAGAAGTGATCTGATGTTGAAACTTGAGTTCTTATATACTCCAATCTATTGTCTTCATCAGAAGTGATCAGATGTTGAAACTTGAGTTCTTATATACTCCAATCTATTGTCTTCATCAGAAGTGATCTGATGTTGAAACTTGAGTTCTTATATACTCCAATCTATTGTCTTCATCAGAAGTGATCTGATGTTGAAACTCGAGTTCTTATATACTTTATTCAAATGTGTTTATTAGGAGCGATTTTGAAATCTGCAATAGCGTAGCCAGCCTTTACAACATCATTCCCTTCTTTGGAAATCTACAGTTTTCACAGTAAATGATCATCACACAATTTTCACAGCCAGACCACATAAACGGGTCAGCAACTACAGTAGCAACTTAATACTTTATGTACACGACACCAACGTATTTATTAGGGCCAGATTATATGAAGACAAGCTGGCCCGGATAGCGATAGCCCGATGATTTCAAGGGATTGAAAGGAGCCAAAACTTCAAGGTTAAAAATTACAACTGTTTGCAAAGCACCACAAGTCACTGCGATTGTAATTCTCAAATTAGGGAAATTGGTTGTTTTAATTTTAAATGGTTTGAGAAATTTATTAAATGAGAATATTGTGAAATTGCTTGAGAAGATTTATTTGATGATAAGTATTCAACCTTTCCATTTGCCAAAACATTTAACGCTTGGCTGAATCCCGGCTACCGGGCTCTTGTAATCAGCCACTTAGAAATGATCCGAGGTTGAAAGTTGAGTCTTTATACAATCCAGTTTTATCTGAAGTGATAAAACTTGAAACCTGTGAGCTGTGTGTTTGAGACATAAAGTAAGAGTTAAAAATATATAAAACTTACGTCACAGTTGCGTTAAAGATCTTCTTCGTCGATTTACCACATGAGAACAACGCACTCTTATCATTGCCAAATTCAATGTTTATAAAAGATTTATCACCGGATTCAACAAAAAATTGTACAGTGTACGGTAGGCTAACTTCTCCAGGATTTTCATCAGGATATAGGTCAAATTCGAGATTCATGATGTCGCTACTACTAGTGTTCACGCTGTTACGAATTTCATTCTCAAAAGTAGACAGAAATGATTTACTTGGATCGTAGAAGGCAGCAGTTTCACAATTGTACGATATTGTAAAATTTACGCTGGCAGATTCGTTGTTTAGATCGTTGTTTGCAGTGACAATAACTTCCCACAATCCACCAGTGTCTGGAGTAAAATTCATAATACTACCATTTATGGTTTTATGTACGTCATCATTCGTTTCACCGTCCGTTTTTATTTCCCAAGTGTATTCTACGTCAGAACCTGCACTCACATTAGTAAAAAGCGTAAGACGCTGGCCGAAAAATTCATTTTCGATTAATCCACTTTCAAAAATTGGTCGTATCTTAGCGTTTGAATCAACTTGATATAAAGTTAAGCCAGCAATACGTTGGAGAATCTTCACTGAAGATGATATGTTAAGTTTTCTCCTCTCGACGAGGCCAAAGGCCGTGATAGTGATGTTATATGTTCCTGAAACGTTGTACCTGTTTAAAGAAAATGTACATAAGTTGATGAATTAAAGATGTAATTGTAAATTGACAATTAAAGGTTTCAACAGCGGAGAAAAAATCCTTTATCATGCGTAACCTTAGGTTAAAACTTTAAGTTCGATTGTACACTTCAGTGTAGTGTCTTCATCAAAAGTTTGAAACCAACGAGTTGTGGCAGACTTTATGTAAGTGCAGTTTAAAATATAAAAACTTACGTCACGTTGGCTTGAAAAATCTCATTCGTCACGTTACCACACGAGAAAAAAGAACTGTGATTATTGCCAAACTTGATGTTTATACGTGACTGATCACCAGATTCAAGAAAAAATCGTATGGTGTATAATACACCAACTTCGCCTGGGTTTTCAGCTGGATTCTGGAGAAATGTAAGGTTCTTGACGGGCACAACCACGGCAACAACATGGCTAGCGTTTACCTTGTTGATCATATTGTACGCAGTGATGTTTAAGGCGTACTGTCCTAGAAAAAATGAAAACAGAAAACAGTGCAACAGAGAACGATAAGAATCTTTATTATTCATAAAATATATAAAAATTCATTAGATTCATGGATTGAGTTTTTACCTCTCAAATGGTATCTATGTTTTAATTGTGTTAAAGAGGTTTCTGTCAATCCACCATCGTCACCGAAGTCGACGATGTAGGTGACGTTGGTGCCATTTGATACGTTAAAGGAAAATGTTAAATTTTCCATTGTCGGATAGTATACATTAGCGAGAGGCGAGAATATTTGCAATCCGGTAATGCGTTCCTGTCAAAATTAAATATAGTAAATGAAATCAATCTTTGTAAACTATTGTTAATAAAACGTATATTTCATATAAAATCATTCTTATATTACTACTAATGTTAATCAAATGTGTATTTAAAGCAAAATTAGTCTTTATAAACTGATGTTAATACAACGTATATTTAATATAAAATTACACTTTGTATGGCTACTAATGTTAATATAACGTATGTTTAAGATAGAATTATGCTTTATAAATTGATGTTAATAAAACGTATATTTAATGTAAAAATATTTTTATATAGCTACTAATGTTAATCAAATGTTTATTTAAAATAAAATCATTCTTTATAAACTGATGTTAATAAAACGTATATTTAATAAAATGATTCTCTAAATACTGATGTTAATAAAACGTATAAATTTAACAGGATATTTTGTCTACATACTGATGAGTGTATAAATGTAAAATCTCACCAACACAAACCTGAACAAGAATAGTTTGACTGACAAGAGCGAATGTCGAAACAGCAGAAACGTTAAGATTAAAAATCACATTAAATTTTCTTGCGATAATTGGCATTTGAAAAACGACACCAGACATTACATGAACACGAAACCAAATAAGAGAGCTGTTAAAGCGTTGGGTGGCATTCGTGATCTTCACACTTTGATTTCTTTTGAATTTCTGCCCACAAAATATACGAAGACCAGAGCCTGCCATATCGACACCGCTGACCGTTGTTATATTGCTGAAGTGCAGAGCAATGACGTCACCACGACGAACTTGGACAGGATACGGGAGTTTATAGACATGAAGATTGATATTTGCATCAACCTGAAATTCTACAAAAATTTCGTTTTATTTGCTACAAAAGCAAAATTTACTATATTTCTTTAAATTGTCGCCTGGTCATGGTTTATAAAGCAACACTTGTTGTTTGAAATTGGAAATAGATTGTTTGAATAATTCTAAAACCGCCATTACCGATGGAAATATGTATGTTATACTGTAGTCAATCATAGAGAAGTGTATGTTATACTGTAGTCAGTCATAGAGAAGTGTATGCTATACTGTAGTCAGTCATAGAGAAGTGTATGTTATACTGTAGTCAGTCATAGAGAAGTGTATGTTATACTGTAGTCAGTCATAGAGAAGTGTATGTTATACTGTAGTCAGTCATAGAGAAGTGTATGCTATACTGTAGTCAATCATAGAGAAGTGTATGTTATACTGTAGTCAGTCATAGAGAAGTGTATGTTATACTGTAGTCAATCATAGAGAAGTGTACGTTATACTGTAGTCAGTCATAGAGTGTATGTTATACTGTAGTCAGTCATAGAAGTGTATGTTATACTGTAATCAGTCATAGAGAAGTGTATGTTATACTGTAATCAGTCATAGAGAAGTGTACGTTATACTGTAGTCAATCCTAGAGAAGTGTATGTTATACTGTAGTCAATCATAGAGAAGTGTATGTTATACTGTAGTCAATCATAGAAGTGTATGTTATACTGTAGTCAGTCATAGAGAAGTGTATGTTATACTGTAGTCAGTCATAGAGAAGTGTATGTTATACTGTAGTCAGTCATAGAGAAGTGTATGTTATACTGTAGTCAGTCATAGAGAAGTGTATGTTATACTGTAGTCAGTCATAGAGAAGTGTACGTTATACTGTAGTCAGTCATAGAGTGTATGTTATACTGTAGTCAGTCATAGAGAAGTGTATGTTATACTGTAGTCAGTCATAGAGAAGTGTATGTTATACTGTAGTCAGTCATAGAGAAGTGTATGTTATACTGTAGTCAGTCATAGAGAAGTGTATGTTATACTGTAGTCAGTCATAGAGAAGTGTATGTTATACTGTAGTCAGTCATAGAGAAGTGTACGTTATACTGTAGTCAATCATAGAGAAGTGTATGTTATACTGTAGTCAGTCATAGAGAAGTGTATGTTATACTGTAGTCAGTCATAGAGAAGTGTATGTTATACTGTAGTCAGTCATAGAGAAGTGTATGTTATACTGTAGTCAATCATAGAGAAGTGTATGTTATACTGTAGTCAATCCTAGAGAAGTGTATGTTATACTGTAGTCAGTCATAGAGAAGTGTACGTTATACTGTAGTCAATCATAGAGAAGTGTATGTTATACTGTAGTCAGTCATAGAGAAGTGTATGTTATACTGTAGTCAATCCTAGAAAAGTGTATGTTATACTGTAGTCAGTCATAGGGAAGTGTAAGCTTCACTGTAGTAAGTCATGAAAAAGGGCATGCTATACTGCAGTCTATGACAGAGAGATTTCATACACTGTTAAATGTTAAAGACGAGTGCAGTTTATGAATTATCAAATACACTATGTTCATTGTACCTTCACTGACAATGTATTCAGTATAATTGACTTCCACATTAGATTTTAGACAACAATATTTGGATTTCATCTGTTGTTCTGTCAACAAAATACCACTGCAAATCTCAGTCGATGGAACACATTCACCACGACAAGCTTTTGTACCCGACAAACAGCGAGGAGACCAAACCTTAAAACAAATTGTAATTTTCTCTCCAACTCCTGTCAGTGTCAGATTGATACACAAAAAATCAATGTACTTGATCACTATATACTTATGTCATAGTGAGGATGGTACATAAGAAATCAATGTACTTGATCTACTTATATTTATGTCATAGTGAGGATGGTACATAAGAAATCAATGTACTTGATCTCCTTATACTTATGTCATAGTGACGATGGTACATAAGAAATCAATGTACTTGATCTCCTATACTTATGTCATAGTGAGGATGGTACATAAGAAATCAATGTATTTGATCTCCTATACTTATGTCATAGTTAGGATGGTACATAAGAAATCAATGTACTTGATCTCCTTATACTTATGTCATAGTGACGATGTTACATAAGAAATCAATGTATTTGATCTCCTTATACCTATGTCATAGTTAGGATGGTACATAAGAAATCAATGTACTTGATCTCCTTATACTTATGTCATAGTGATGATGGTACATAAGAAATCAATGTATTTGATCTCCTTATACTTATGTCATAGTGAGAATGGTACATAAGAAATCAATGTACTTGATCTCCTTATACTTATGTCATAGTGAGAATGGTACATAAGAAATCAATGTACTTGATCTCCTTATACTTATGTCATAGTGACGATGGTACATAAGAAATCAATGTACTTGATCTCCTTATACTTATGTCATAGTGAGAATGGTACATAAGAAATCAATGTACTAGATCTCCTTATACTTATGTCATAGTAAGGATGGTACATAAGAAATCTATGTACACGGTCCAAAGTATTTAACAAACCTGAACAGTAACAGTCCCATTGGTATAAATACCATACTGCACTGACTGTATATAACCATCGTTTATCACAGACAAGTAAGGCATAAAGTACGTCCCCTCTTGAAGAACAAAAAGTTTGTTTAACGAGTCAGACTTCAATATACCAATCGACTCGACAACGGTATCTAAACGAAAAGGTAACAGCAAAAAGATGAAAATTTAAAACCAGTCCACAAGACGTGACATTATGTTTAAATAAGAAACTACAAAGCTCCCAAACGGAGTACAAGTCTTAATATACGATACTCCTAGTATATGCATAGTAATTATGTACGTCCTAACTGTGCAGTCAGTAATAGTTTAGAAAAAAGGAAAACAAAATTTTTAGTTCATTTCTCGTTTAATTTTTATCCAAATTCAACAAAACTTAAGCACTTTTCCTTTACCGATGAGAAATGAACTCCAAAATTTCGACATAAATAAAAAATACAATTAAAATAAAATACATATTTATGGAGTTATCCTGCTCACAAATAACACACATATACACATACAAACTAGGGGTGAAAACATGACCTTTTTGCGAAGATGATGGATTGTGTTATGTTAGCACTTACCAGGAAGTAAATAATTTGAATTTGCATTGTTTAGATCCACTACACGAAGGTTAGAACCTTTGAGCACAGTCAACATGCATGACGAACTGTCATCGTACGCTTCAAGAATCTGGTAAGGAAACAAGGAATTTAAAACAAATGTAAAATTATGATACCAGGAGGCGTGGAGATGGTAAATAAAGTAAAAGTCACCCCTATTCACACGACATTAACTCAGCCTGGGTTCGATCCGGGTTAAAAATTAACCCATGTTAATTTCTTTGCGTGTAAAGGTTTGACCAGGGTTTAACTTTACCTATCTCTTGTGATGCGTTGCGTTTCTCTGAAGAGGTAGGTTGAGTTGAACCTCAAGTTACAGACAAACACAAGCTGCGTTACTCTACGGAGGTAGGTTGAGTTGAACCTCAAGTTACAAACAAACGCAAGTTGCGTTACTCTAAGGAGGTAGGTTGAGTTGAACCTGAAGTTACAAACAAACGCAAGTTGCGTTACTCTACGGAGGTAGGTTGAGTTGAACCTCAAGTTACAAACAAACGCAAGTTGCGTTACTCTACGGAGGTAGGTTGAGTTGAACCTCAAGTTACAAACAAACGCAAGTTGCGTTACTCTACGGAGGTAGGTTGAGTTGAACCTCAAGGTACAAGCAAACGCATGTTGCGTTACTCTAAAGGGTAGGTTGAGTTGAACCTCAAGTTACAAACAAACACAAGTTGCGTTACTCTAAAGGGGTAGGTTGAGTTGAACCTCAAGGTACAAGCAAACGCATGTTGCGTTACTCTAAAGAGGTTGAGTTGAACCTCAAGTTACAAACAAACACAAGTTGCGTTACTCTAAAGAGGTAGGTTGAGTTGAACCTCAAGTTACAAACAAACACAAGTTGCGTTACTCTAAAGAGATAGGTTGAGTTGAACCTCAAGTTACAAACAAACACAAGTTGCGTTACTCTAAAGAGGTAGGTTGAGTTGAACCTCAAGTTACAAACAAACACAAGTTGCGTTACTCTAAAGGGGTAGGTTGAGTTGAACCTCAAGGTACAAGCAAACGCATGTTGCGTTACTCTAAAGAGATAGGTTGAGTTGAACCTCAAGTTACAAACAAAGACAAGTTGCGTTACTCTACGGAGGTAGGTTGAGTTGAACCTCAAGTTACAAACAAACACATGTTGCGTTACTCTAAGGAGGTAGGTTGAGTTGAACCTCAAGTTACAAACAAACGCAAGTTGCGTTACTCTACGGAGGTAGGTTGAGTTGAACCTCAAGTTACAAGCAAACGCATGTTGCGTTACTCTAAAGAGATAGGTTGAGTTGAACATCAAGTTACAAACAAACACAAGTTGCGTTACTCTAAAGGGGTAGGTTGAGTTGAACCTCAAGGTACAAGCAAACACATGTTGCGTTACTCTAAAGAGATAAGTTGAGTTGAACCTCAAGTTACAAACAAACACAAGTTGCGTTACTCTAAAGAGGTAGGTTGAGTTGAACCTCAAGTTACAAACAAACACAAGTTGCGTTACTCTAAAGGGTAGGTTGAGTTGAACCTCAAGTTACAAACAAACACAAGTTGCGTTACTCTAAAGAGGTAGGTTGAGTTGAACCTCAAGGTACAAGCAAACACATGTTGCGTTACTCTAAAGAGATAGGTTGAGTTGAACCTCAAGTTACAAACAAACACAAGTTGCGTTACTCTAAAGGGGTAGGTTGAGTTGAACCTCAAGTTACAAACAAACACAAGTTGCGTTACTCTAAAGAGGTAGGTTGAGTTGAACCTCAAGGTACAAGCAAACGCATGTTGCGTTACTCTAAAGAGGTAGGTTGAGTTGAACCTCAAGTTACAAACAAACACAAGTTGCGTTACTCTAAAGGGGTAGGTTGAGTTGAACCTCAAGTTACAAACAAACGCAAGTTGCGTTACTCTAAAGAGGTAGGTTGAGTTGAACCTCAAAGTACAAGCAAACGCATGTTGATAAAATCTAAAGAGGTAGGTTGAGTTGAACCTCAAGTTACAAACAAACACAAGTTGCGTTACTCTAAAGGGGTAGGTTGAGTTGAACCTCAAGTTACAAACAAACGCAAGTTGCGTTACTCTAAAGAGGTAGGTTGAGTTGAACCTCAAGTTACAAACAAACGCAAGTTGCGTTACTCTAAAGAGGTAGGTTGAGTTGAACCTCAAGGTACAAGCAAACGCATGTTGATAAAATCTAAAGAGGTAGGTTGAGTTGAACCTCAAGTTACAAACAAACACAAGTTGCGTTACTCTAAAGGGGTAGGTTGAGTTGAACCTCAAGTTACAAACAAACGCAAGTTGCGTTACTCTAAAAAGGTAGATTGAGTTGAACCTCAAGTTACAGACAAACACAAGTTGCGTTATTCTAAAGAGGTAGATTGAGTTGAACCTCAAGTTACAAACAAACACAAGTTGATAAAATCTAAAACAAAGTCCAATAATCCTGCCTATACTGAAGCCTATACCTGTGCAAGAACTAATTGAGAATTCTTTTCATTTATTTTCAAAGTCTTACCTCGGGACAATGAAGACTAACATTGGATAACTCTTCTTCGACGACCTTGATCATAGTTGACACGCTCTTTGCCAAGCATTGAGAAGATAACGTGATCTTGAAGTTTCCGGAAGTCGCATACCAATGTGTTGTTTTCCCAGTGAAAGATGACGGTAAAGTTGTCACGCTGTCACCATAATCCAACGTGTATAAACAGTTGAGAACTGAAAACAGAATACGTTTTTTATAACTACAAAAATAGCTAAGAAAATGTTGCTCACAAACATCATAGTTTGTAAAGACAACGTCTACGAAAATAACAGAAACGGCAACATAAACTTGCAAGATAACGCTAATCAACAGCCATCAATCATGATGTCAGATCAATGTGGGCTCACAGCCGTCAAAGGTTGAAGGTCGAAGTTCAGTCCAAGGTTGAAGGTCAGTCGAAGGTCAATCGAAGGTCGAAGGTCAATCGCAGGTCAGTCGAAGGTTGAAGGTCACAAGAAGTCATCAAACAAACGTTCAAGAGCACGGATAAAATTTTACATACCCTCCCCCCCGAATAAAATAATATAAACTGATAACGTGTACAAGCTAGATCTTTACATATACAGAGAAATGATGTGTTCATCGCTAGCGTTATGTTCATAGATTTAACTTTGGGAACTCTGGTGACTCGTGTTTAATTCTTACCATTCACCGCAATATGGTGAATGGTAAGAATGAAATGATGTGTTCATCGCTAGAGAAATGATGTGTTCATCGCTAGCGTTATGTTCATAGATTTAACTTTGGGAACTCTGGTGACTCGTGTTTAATTCTTACCATTCACCGCAATATGGTCGAGGGCCACAAGTTTTTCACACTTGTTGTGTCACGTGTTACCCTCTTTTAATAAAGTTTAATCAATCAATAATCAATCAATATGGTCAAAATCTGAATTCAAATCACAATTCTGTACATTTGCAATTCTGAAAACTACTATATTTAGCTATTAGCAAATCAAATCTCCATATTTAGTTGTTCTCCAATTAAATCTCTGTATTCAGCTATTAGCCAATCAAGTCATTCCGAAATGTCTAAACCTAACATTAACATTACACAACGCATACAAACAAGGCATTTCCTAAATATGGATAGGGAAATGGTAATTCAACATGATTTTCATCCCTAGATAAAATTTAGATTTTTGGCTTCAAACCGTTGCAGACGACGTGAGACGGGTAATTCAATAAAGTTTGAAAAACTACTGCTTACGCAAACTTAGAAAATACAAAAGTTTTAATCAAAAACAACACAACTACGAAAAATGACTTACCAAGAGGATTCATACTCAATTCAAACAAACTGAACGTGGAGACAACCTTTGGTACGGTCAGAGTTGGTAAATTATTGACACGATAGACTTTATAATACAATGATTCACTTGCTGGATAAGAACATTGAGCATTATTCACTTTCGTGCCGCAAAAGTCAGTACTTCGACTGCAGACGCACACGCCATTTGATATCCCAGCAAGCTTTTGGCCCTGATTAAGGTCTGAGCATGCGCCAATGCATTTATTTACATCAATAGATATAGAAGGCACGTAATCACCAGCAGTTGTGTTAAAACAATCACTCGAGTTTGGTTTAAAACATCCCAAGAACAGCACTATAAATGGAAGTTGGTAAATATATTGATGAATATGTATTACATGAAGTAATTCATGCTAAGTTCTAAAGCACGTGACCTTGAAAGACGGTCATTTCTTGCATTCATAAAAACAGATGCAATGTTGGTCATAAAAAGATTATGTTGGTATTGTCTTGCAATCAAACCCACGTTGATCATGGTTGTTAACAATATTGAAGAATGTTGTTCAAAATTGTGCATAACAGGTGCAACGCAACATGTTTTGATCTTCCTGAACTGCGAGCTCAGACATTTAACCCAAGTATAAGAAACTATAGCTTTTTGACAAATTAAACAGAGTGTCGCTTTTTTTTGTCGCAGTAACAAATCGTAACACACATTTTTTCATACACAGAAACACCGCTCACTGTATCACAGTAATTTCTGTGTCGACAGTGCATAATTTATTAAGTTATTTAACTGAAAAATTACCTTCATTGCTGTCGGCACGTTTGAAAGTCGACACCAAAAACAGCAGCTGAAAGCAAAGAAGTTTAGAAAGAAAGTTTGCGGGTTGATTATTAATACACAAGTAAAATTCTTTTTAAGCGTCATTGGTTAAAATAACCCATGTTCGAAGAACCGTTTCTAGAATAGCTTATACATATATAAGTTTTGAAGTTTAAGAAATATTTATGCCACAGTTGCCCAAATGAACAAGTGCAAAATTGGAGGATGCCATTCGTACGTACAGCCATTTAAAATAGTTTAAATAATTTTAATATTTATGTGAGAAATGAAGGGGATGTTATACATTTTGTGACATGGAGATTAAGCATTTTTATGTTGTTAAAATAGCAATTTTTATTCCATCAGAGGCAGCAAGATTGTTATGAAAAACTCCACTTCTAAAAGGACATAAACCTTTGCCAATTGTTGAACGGCAGTTACCAACTCCAAGAGATCGAAACATTACTTGTGTACAAAGTTACAGACAAGACTGAATTCGGACATGCAGAAAGATAGCATTAAGAGTTTAAGAATTCGATTTTTTATCGTGGACATGAATTTACTGCAGTGCTAATGAAAAAAAAGTCGTATAACATAAAACAAAACTTTTAAAACGCGTATAAAACCTATTTGGAAAGGGTGCTTTGTGACTTTTAAGGTTTGTGTTTTCAGTTTCAGGTTAATTATACAGTACATGTAGCTAGTTAATGCTCTAGAAATAAGTTTTTAATTCAAAGTTTCGTTGAAAAACGTCTACACTATAGCACAAAAATTGTGTGTATATTTTCTGCCTCTTGGCAACGAAAACAAAGACAGGTGACTGTAGTTGCCAGTTAGCTATACATCAAGAGAAAAAGTAATATAATGTACATGTATTGCCAAATGGTTTCAAAAATAGCGGCGTAGTTGCGGAAAAAGTATTTTATTAGTCGTAAAAAACCTCAATAGATGACAAACTTTGTCTTTCATTATATTGATGGGTGCTCAATGGCTGAAAGAAATTTTCATTTTTCCCAAGGGTTACTTTGATAGGACGTATTATTTGGTAGAACATAACAAAATCGACATAATTCATAAAAGAGCAACACAAGACGAAGAAAATATAAAAAAACCACAAAACACATACATACATATTCACAAGACAAAACAAAACAAAAATAATGACGATTCGCTAAGCCAATTAAACTTACTGAAACAAGCGAAACACTTCTAAAAGATCTTTCGTCCATTGCTTTCCAAAACGTTCCTTTAAACATCAATAGTTTAATACTTTCTAGGCTTCTTAATACGTCTTTAATTCACACTATATCATAGAGAAAAACATGTTTCATTATAAACAATCACACAGTAAATGAGACTTCGTTTGTACAGCTCACATATATATATATATGAAAGAATCTAGTTACAACAGCTGCCTGAGTACTTTAAACAAACCGGCGGAAGAAAACGCTTGCAATTGTAAACAAGTCACGATCGCCCATTAGTAAGCTACAAAATTAGCAATATTCAATATGAATGTCTACGGCGATAACATTTTCTCCTAAATTATAATAACTATAAGCCACATGCATTAAAAAAATTTTTAAAAACTGCTTTAAGTAGCTAATCGTTATCAGGGTATTTATAACGACGTTAGGCGCCAATGATAGCTAGGTGTTTATCAGTAATTAAGAAAAGAGACTGTATCAAGATTAAAAGATAGCTTATGACAAGACATATGGCAAAATAAAGGCCTTGATTATTGAGAAAATAGAAGTTACTGGGATGACGAAAACTTTTAGGCGAGAGTACATGGCTTACACTGTTGAAGAAAGCGCTTTTTTCATGCTCGGTCAGGCATATTCTTTATTAAAAAGCATTGACTTCATTAATATTATATGATTCAAAACTCTTTAGAATTAACAAGAAAGAGAAGCCGCTCCTGTTGAATATCAACTTCTCGAAAGTTTCAAAAATCTTGTGAAAGGTATAAAGCTGTTGGTGAAAGGTATAAAGGTATATGACTTCAACTTTGAGTCATAGCTAATACAAATAAAACGTTTATGAACAAACAGCATAAAAATAAAACACAGTTTAATAAAAACAAAAGTGTTTTTTTCTATACTTCGTTCTACTCCATGCAGAATGGTTACGTTTAAACAAAAATACAACTGTAAACACATTATATTAAGAGCATACGACCTTAGCCAAAATGTAGCTACAAAAACAGCTAAGCTTTTCAAATCAAAAATAAAAACATATTACAAAAAACGAGAATAGATTTTTTATTTTAACAGTAATTAAATCGCTCAAAGGCTTCCAAAAAGCACACAAGTTACAAGACACTTGCACATTTTATATGAAATTAAAAATTGTAAATTTTCTACATATATCTTGATCCAAACGACTAATAAAATGCGTCACGAAAAAACACCCGGGTAGAACAGAAGAAAAGTGTGCATGCTAGAAACGATGTGATTCTGTTTGATAAATCCTCTTTTAATATGAAGAAGTTTCTGTTAAGTTATAAAATGAGAATTTATATACAAACGACAGCGCTCTTTCTAGTCATGAATCATACGTAGATGCGTGCATGTTGTATAATTAAGTAAACAGCTAAATAGCTCGCACGTTCTGTATATTTTGCTAAAAAGCAAAAAACCTTCAAAAAAATCCTTCTTTGAACTAAAACATAGCTATATACTTGCTCGTGCAATGCTTAATGATAAAAAATCGCCACATCCAACGAAATATAGCGAATTTTACAATGTTAAATTTCATGTCATTTTTGATAAACTTACCTTTAATGTTGGTTATACGGTAAAAAGTCGATACAATTTCTACAACTTTTTCATCATCAAGAATGATGTTTATACACAATGTTCAACGAAGAAAAATCTCCCAGCAAATGTGTTAATGATCAACTGGAAATACGAACAGGAGATTTTATCAATGAATAACAAGGTGTTTCTGACAATTATTTAGCATATCATGAAACATTTTCTTAAATTGACAGGTGTTTAGCTGGTTCAGAGAGCGTGATAGCTATAATGACATACACTAACGACACTTTACTTAACTATAGCTACTTCAATAAAAACATCTTTGTATAGCAGCGAGAAATGAGTACAAAACGATGACCTAGCTTCTCAAAGAAGCAAGAGTTTACACAAAACTTGTAGCAAAATATGACCAAAGTGGACAAAATACAGAATTCAATTACATTTTACATATAAAAAATTGCAACGACAAAAAATAGATTTAAATACAAAACAATTTTCATTCATTTGGTTGATTTTTCACATTTCCTCGCGAGATATCGTTTTCTGGACGCGTCAAATTGACTCTGAAGATGACTACCGCTAAGGTTGTCAAAACGTCAGTCGACAACAACAAAAACAGTCCTTCTCAGGACTATACTAACCTGGACGTTCTACATTTACAAACATATATTCTATAATGGTAAATTTCATGTCGTTTCTGATAAACTTACCTTTAATGTTGACTATACGGTAAAAAGTCGATATTTCTACAACTTTTTCGTGATCAAGAATGATGTTTATACACCACGTTCGACAAAGAAAAATCTTCCAGCAAATGTGTTAATGATCAACTAGAAACACGAACAGGAGAGTTCAGAAATGAAGAGCAAGATGTTTCAAGCTATTGTTAAAATATAGTCAAACATTTTCTCAAGTGTATAGGTGAACAGCTGGTTCAATAATATAGGTTCAATCCATTAGACCCTATAATCACGAGAACACTTCACTGTTTTCAAATAAAGAGCAAAACGATTGGGCGGATATCTCCGAAAAAGTAATAATAGAGAAATTAAGACAAGAGTTTCTACGAAACCCGTAAACATACTCCAATAAAAAAATTATCAAAGACTATATAACATAAATATAATTTACCTTTACATTTAAAAAATCTTGATGCCAAAAATGAACAGACATAGATAAAACAATTTCAATTCATTTAGCTGATTTCCCAAATTTTCTTGCGAAATATCTTTCTCTAGCTGCATTAATAGATTCGTCGTCGTTTCTTCGTGAAGAGGAGAAAGCGTTTGAGCTCTTGCAAAATGATGCTGTAACATTAAAACACGTACATGTTTAAGCCTACTGACATCACTTAGTGGACGCATTTTTGATGCAATGCAAACAAGCCATTAATAAACTTAACTTCATCAATTATTTATACCATTCGTATAAGTGCATTAAATGTCGTGCAATAAAGGTATTTGAGACTGTCGTAGATAAGCCGATAAACAGTTTATTTGATTCTTAACTTACAGTCATAGAAAATAGTTTCTATGATTGAAAATCGTTATCACAGACGATTTTTAAAGTTTCAACAAACTTGTTCGAATTACTATTGACAAATAAAGTTTCCACCTCGTTAATGCCAGCATAATTAAAGCACTCTAAGCTAGTTTCTAAAAAAGTTCTTTTTCGTTCATTATTTATAAAGACCACATTAAATACTCAAGTCGTGTCATTCAAAATCATGTCACAATCACGTATAATGGAAAATTTCTCATCATTTCTGTCCACGTAAAATTTACAATAACAAGGGTTCGGGGATACTGCAAAATTTAAAAAAACACTGACTTTTGACTCGTACTTTAAATCAACCATAAAATGCTTCTTATATTTATTTCATTTCTTCATGAACTTGCTTTTAATTTTGATTCATGTACCAATAGGCGAACATCCATTGACTTCGTGGTAATAAAAACATTTTTAATTAAACCTATCGCAGTCTAACAGGCGGCGAGAGCACGCAAGGCCGGTGGGCGGTAGCATGTACATCTCATAAAATATAATAACAGCCAAAAATAAAGCAAAGCGCAAAGGTTGAAAAACCTCATTTACGTATGCTGTAAATAAGTTTAATGCATCATAAATACAGCAAAACGCAAAGGTTGAAAAACCTCATTTACGTATGCTGTAAATAAGTTTAATGCATCAAAAATAAAGCAAAGCGCAAAGGTTGAAAAACCTCATTTACGTATGCTGTAAATAAGTTTAATGCATCATAAATACAGCAAAACGCAAAGGTTGAAAAACCTCATTTACGTATGCTGTAAATAAGTTTAATGCATCAAAAATAAAGCAAAGCGCAAAGGTTGAAAAACCTCATTTACGTATGCTGTAAATAAGTTTAATGCATCATGAATGTATAAGCAACGATGGGCTTCATGGCAAACAAGGATTTATCTGCTTTAAAGATAACATTCAATTAGCCAAACCATTTGTATAATTGATGCCTAAATTGTCTAAATTGAGTCCCACCTTCAACACTAACGTTAAGAAATTATATAATTTATTCATCATTAAATTATAAACTTCGCGTTCGTAATGTAATTCATGAGAGAGAAAAGCGTCACAATTATCACGAAATAAATTATCACTTCTCTTACATAACAATAACCAGGACAAGCAGACAATTTAAATAAAATAAAACAAATTCCGAAAACGGATATCTGTTTTCTTGATATTCATGACAATACAAGAGTTTGGACACGGAGTAGGTTAGTTTGGATACTCTGAGTCTAAACTCTTTTATTATCTTGAGTATCAAGAAAACGAGAAGTCTGTATTCGGAGTTTGTTTAGTTTGTTTAACAAAACAATATGATGATAACAACACGTACAATCTGCTGTAAATCCGCTTTCTAATAATGCATATTTACGCCCATTTCGGAGAAGGGTGGAGGGGTGTAAAGAAAAGAAAATCTTGTTAACAAAACGCAACTTTCTTTACATTGAACCTTTCCTGAAGAAAATGGTCATGTGGCCGTAAGGCGTGGTCACACGTACAATTTAAGGGAAAGTAACAGGAAGTATTATACACACGTTACAATTTAGTGACGTTACCATCAATTGCACATCTATATACACATGTTACCACCAATTATACATCAATATACACACGTCACAATCAATTATACATCTATATATACACACGTCACAATCAATTATACATCAATATACACACGTTATCATCAATTATACATCAATATACACACGTCACAATCAATTATACATCTATATATACACACGTCACAATCAATTATACATCAATATATACACGTCACAATCAATTATACATCTATATATACACGTCACAATCAATTATACATCTATATACACACGTCACAATCAATTATACATCAATATACACACGTCACAATCAATTATACATCAATATACACACGTCACAATCAATTTTACATCAATATGCACATGTTATCATCAATTATACATCAATATACACACGTCACAATCAATTATACATCTATATATACACACGTCACAATCAATTATACATCAATGTACACACGTCACAATCAATTATACATCAATATACACACGTCACAATCAATTATACATCAACATACACACGTCACAATCAATTATACATCAATATGCACATGTTATCATAAATTATACATCAATATACACACGTCACAATCAATTATACATCTATATATACACACGTCACAATCAATTATACATCAATATACACACGTCACAATCAATTATACATCTATATATACACGTCACAATCAATTATACATCAATATACACACGTTATCATCAATTATACATCAATATACACACGTCACAATCAATTATACATCTATATATACACGTCACAATCAATTATACATCAATATACACACGTTATCATCAATTATACATCAATATACACACGTCACAATCAATTATACATCTATATATACACACGTCACAATCAATTATACATCAATATACACACGTCACAATCAATTATACATCAATATACACACGTCACAATTAATTATACATCTATATATACACGTCACAATCAATTATACATCAATATACACACGTCACAATTAATTATACATCTATATATACACACGTCACAATCAATTATACATCTATATACACACGTCACAATTAATTATACATCTATATATACACACGTCACAATCAATTATACATCAATATACACACGTCACAATTAATTATACATCTATATATACACACGTCACAATCAATTATACATCAATATACACACGTCACAATTAATTATACATCTATATATACACACGTCACAATCAATTATACATCAATATACACACGTCACAATTAATTATACATCTATATATACACACGTCACAATCAATTATACATCAATATACACACGTTATCATCAATTATACATCAATATACACACGTCACAATCAATTATACATCAATATACACACGTTATCATCAATTATACATCTATATATACACACTACCAACTATACACATACATACACAGGTTACTATCAGTTATACATATATATACACGTTATCATCAATTATTCATTGCACATACCATCTCTTAAAGTTTGTTTTTCACAAGCAATGTGTAAATGTCCCTGAGATCGTACTTCATCTAGTCCAAAATGAAGTTCATTTGCTTCATGAACACGTGGCAGTAAATTGTGTACTCTTTCATACGAAATCTAAAGATTTTTGGAATAAAGAAAGTTTTCGACTAGTTTTTCTCAATTGACATTAAAAACCATTTTTCAGAATTCTGCATCATATTAAATGAAAGAAATTAATGATTACTTGACAAACGTTCTTGACAAAAATCTTGGAGGTCCATATGACATCACTAAACATTATCCAATCAACATCACTTTCTTGTCCAAACATCTAGTTTATAATGCAAAATAAATTTTACGAGCACTTCGGACAGGGGCGGAGGAGTGTACATAAAACCAGATTGAAATTTATATTGAACCTCTCCTGAAAATGGTCACGTGGCCGTAAGGCGTGGTCTCACGTACAATTTAAGGGAAAGTGACAGGAAGTATTAACAAAATGTGCAATTTTACCGCTGAAGAAGGATGAAGATGTACCGACGTTCCATGTCCATCCATTGTTCGAAAACTTTTACTCAGTCCCCTGATAAAAACAAGAGAAGTAAATGACGTCATGTATATATTAATTAAAATTAACGTTTTAAGGAGGTTGTCAATAATAGTGTCGTTTTAAAAGCAACTACTTTTAATTGATGTTTTAGACTACACGCCAAAAGTCAAGGTTACGTTCACTGTTGTTCTAAAAACGAAGAGAAACGACTAATGAACACGCAGTGAGGAAGTCAAGGTTACTTTCACTGTTGTTGTAAAAACGAAGAGAAACGACTAATGAACACGCAGTGAGGAAGTCAAGGTTACGTTCACTGTTGTTGTAAAAACGAAGAGAAACGACTAATGAACACGCAGTGAGGAAGTCAAGGTTACGTTCACTGTTGCTTTAAAAACGAAGAGAAACGACTAATGAACACGCAGTGAGGAAGTCAAGGTTACGTTCACTGTTGTTTTAAAAACGAAGAGAAACGACTAATGAACACGCAGTGAGGAAGTCAAGGTTACGTTCACTGTTGTTTTAAAAACGAAGAGAAACGACTAATGAACACGCAGTGAGGAAGTCAAGGTTACGTTCACTGTTGTTTTAAAAACGAAGAGAAACGACTAATGAACACGCAGTGAGGAAGTCAAGGTTACTTTCACTGTTGTTGTAAAAACGAAGAGAAACGACTAATGAACACGCAGTGAAGTGTAATTCAAAATGTAACGAAGAATTGACTACAATCAAACAAAAGCCGCCATTAAGAGCTTTGTGGTGTTTCTTTCAGTATAGTGCTGTCATTTAGCAATGACTTTCTAGTTCTGTAATAAAAGAAAATTGACCTTAAGATGTTTACTTTTGTTCAATACATGATGAAAACAAACTAATCAACACCCAAGTTTTACTTAAATTGTACACGTCAATGTAAGTTTTTCCCACGTCAAATGTATCCATAAAGTTCCCAATTTAACCCGTAATATCCGTAGATAACCTACTTTCTCGCTATTTTGAAAACAATCCTTGACAAAGAGCATTTACAATTGAATCCTTCTTGGTTGGCGCTCTCTCACACTGTGACACTTGAAAGCATTTTTCTTCGCCGTTCTTTCTCTTCGTTTTATGAGAAAAAATATATATGAAATTTGATTAAAAAAGTTGAAGTCGATGTCCATCTAGTTGCCATGCATATTGTCTAGATGCCACAGTACTATCACGTGTGAGTAATTCACGTGACATCTGAGTTGTTCTAGATGCCACAGTACTACCACGTGTTAATACTTCACGTGACAACTGAATTGTTCTAGATGCCACAGTACTACCACGTGTGAGTACTTCACGTGACATCTGAATTGTTCTAGATGTCACAGTACTACCACGTGTGAATACTTCACGTGACTTCCGATGTGGTTGTCGATTTTAAACTTGATGACCAAAACATAAAGTCGACGTTAAGGATCTTTCATACGCCTTTAGCTAAAATCGTTATTTCTCGTGTTACACTGGATTTAAGGATGTCTTTAAGACGTAATCAAGGTTAACAATAATATATTAATGTTATTAGCACTAATAACGAAATCTGATGACACAGCGGCATTAAAAACAGCAATTCAGCAGCACTATTAAATACAGTGCATTAACCACGGTGTTTTGCATGATGTTTTAGACTACACGCCAAAAGTCAAGATTACTTTCACTGTTGTTTTAAAAACGAAGAGAAACGACTAATGAACACGCAGTGAGGAAGTCAAGGTTACTTTCACTGTTGTTTTAAAAACGAAGAGAAACGACTAATGAACACGCAGTGAGGAAGTCAAGGTTACTTTCACTGTTGTTTTAAAAACGAAGAGAAACGACTAATGAACACGCAGTGAGGAAGTCAAGGTTACTTTCACTGTTGTTGTAAAAACGAAGAGAAACGACTAATGAACACGCAGTGAGGAAGTCAAGGTTACTTTCACTGTTGTTTTAAAAACGAAGAGAAACGACTAATGAACACGCAGTGAGGAAGTCAAGGTTACTTTCACTGTTGTTGTAAAAACGAAGGGAAACGACTAATGAACACGCAGTGAGGAAGTCAAGGTTACTTTCACTGTTGTTTTAAAAACGAAGAGAAACGACTAATGAACACGCAGTGAGGAAGTCAAGGTTACTTTCACTGTTGTTTTAAAAACAAAGAGAAACGACTAATGAACACGCAGTTAAGTGTAATTCAAAATGTAACAAACGACTTTTCCGAAGAATTGACTACAATCAAACAAAAGCCACCATTAAGAGTTATTTGCAAAACACAATATCACGAGAATCGACAATTAACATGAACGTACCTGTCGTTTAGCAATCGCCAGGAGTTGCTCGCGTATTTTAGAAGCTGTTTTCAATGCTCTCCAATGACAGTAATGATCGCGACACCATTTTACAGGATTATCACTAAGAAAAAAGAAGTTTCTTTTCTCATACATGGTACAGGCTAGAGTATATGAGTAATTGTTCAAGTTTAAATCGTCTCTGGGGAAAATGCCATGCTAGACTTTATACGGTTTCACGTTTCTACATCAAATCACCCCAGATGAAGATACTAGATTGGAGTATAAAAGACTCAAGTTACAACATTAGACCATTTCTGATGAAAAACGAGACTGGGGTATATAACAACTTAAGTTTCAACACCAGATCACTTCTGATGAAGACACTTGACTGGAGTATATAAGAACTCAAGTTTATAGACTTTGAAGTGAAGCTTAAGACACTAGACTGGAGTATATGAGGACTGAAGTCTTAACATCAGATCACCCTGATGAAGACACTGGACTGGAGTATATAAGGACTCAAGTTTCAACATCAGATCACTCCTGATGAAGACACAACTCTGGAGTATATAAGACTCAAGTTTCAACATCAGATCACTCCTGATGAAGACAATAGACTGGAGTATATAAGAACTCAAGTTTCAACATCAGATCACTTCTGATGATAACACTAGACTGGAGTATAAAAGGACTCAAGTTTCAACATTAAATCACTCCAAAATGAAAGACAACTAACTCAACGAACAAAAACAAACCTGCGAAAGCATTCATTGAACACGAACAACAACATCATAAAATCATTATGTCCACCCGCAAACCGGGCAAGCTCGGCCCAAACGTTAGTCGCCTGCGATAGGCCTTTGCGATTAGGAGGACGCAAAAACACATCTTCCACAGAGAGCATTGCAACGATCGTAACAGCAGAATCCAAACAGTCAAACTCTAGCGACGCTAGAACTATCCTAGAAAGACTTGGAGAGAGTGGAAAATGTACCATTCTTCGACCAGCTGTAGTGATGGTAGATTGTCTGCAAAAGGGTAAGAAAGTTGATTTTTGTTTAGCTTTGTACTCTGCAGCTATTTACAAAGGCTCGAAATCGATTAATAATAATCACACGGATAAATCTCAAAAACGAAAACTGACAGAGTTATCTAGTATTAGTAAAGTCAGTTCAGTTTAAAATGAAATTCAAGAGCGACGCCACCTGGGATCTGAATTTAACAGGAAAATGGGCAACACGTGTAAGTAAGAGACTCCAGGCATAAATCATTTTAACAAATGATCGAAAAGGGCGGGCATCATTTTAAAAAAGGATCTAAGGGATAGTGCTAGGATATGTGATTCAGACATCAGTCAATATGGAGAAAATAAAGATTTAAGACTTTCTAAATTTGAAGATTTGCGTGACATAATACATCATATATCCCCCTCCTCCTCCCCCCCCCAAAAAAAAAACAAAAAAAATCTGCACGGATTTAACATTTTGAATAGAGATCCAAAGATAGAAAAAACTTTGCCTTTTGACTGGTAATTTGAATCAATATTTATTTTATTCCTCCTTTAAATATCCCATTTCATTATGATTCCTGTATCCTGAGGTGACCATCCATTGACTTCATGGAAAATGAAAATATTTTAAAGTAAATGGTTTGAACCCGGGAGTATAGTTACATGCAGTGCTGTAGAACTAAATTTATCAGATGGGGGGCTCTCTTGACAAAGCTGAAGCCATAAAATTATGAAAAATTACCCATTTCAAAGGTAGAAGGGGTTCCTCCCCAAGTGCCCTCCCCCCCCCCACTTATACAGCACTGGTTTCATGTTTGTAAATGTAGATCGTCCAGGTTAGTAGAGTCCTGAGAAGGACTGATGGTGTAGGTGTTGACTTACGTTTCGACGACCTCAGCGGTAACAGTCCTTCTCAAGACTCTAAAAACCTCGACGATCTACATTTACAAACATGAAAACATTTTTAATAAACCGAGCTAGAAGCAAGTCAACAAATAGCCATGAAATGATCACAAAACACATAAGTATTGCAACAAAAAATTACCACGAAAAACTATATGCTGACCTATCTATTGCCCCAAGAATAAATAATCTTTTCATCGCTTCCACAACAATTCTCTCTTCAGGTGGATCAAGATAGTCAAATCTTTAAAAGCAAACAGCAAAATGTTGAATACAATGAATGGTTTGAACACGGGAGTATATTTACATGTTTACAGATGTAGATCTTCATGCACTCCATGCCCCCCTCCCCTCCCCCGCCGCCATAAAAAATCGGGGAAATCAAGGCCTGCGAAAAATAAGTATTAGTAAGCCAAGGGGTTAGCTTCAAAACGCGCATTACATGGATTCCTTGTATAAACAGTTACAAAAACCCACCTTAAGACGTCATCAATATGCATCGTTTTGAGATACAGCACAACTTTTGCCAAATTTGTCCTTTGAATCTCAGGAGTTGTTTCACTTGACATAAGCTCGTCGTAGACTTCTCTATCATACAAGAAAACATGTCAAGACACATTGAAACGTATAGTTATCGTAACAACTACAGTAGCATACTACTGCATATCCTCTTTTTTAGACACCATTGCAAGACTGTCCCGGCAAACTACGAGTTGTCATTGCAAAACTCTCTGGACTGTGAGCTTAATTTGTGACATTTTTTGAATAATACTAGCCACGAGTTGTATTTGTAAAATTGTCGCAACAACTATAGCCCTGTGATGTTGGCTACACTTTATCCTTTTCTTAACGCTTCCCTACGGAGAAAGCAACTTCTCTCGCCCAGGTCAGCGTGTCTGAATAAATGTTTTCACGCCTGGTTCGTGCATTTTTGTGAATAAACAACTATTACTTTTGTCGATTACTCGGCCGATGTGTGTAAATATTGGTTCTTTAAAATCGGCAACGGCAATCTGTGTTCTTTTTCAAACATCTCTTCACCATTAATTGTCGTGAATGTAAACGTCAAACCGGCTGACATGCTATGAGTTAACTCAATAGAAAGTCAAACCTTGTGTAAAGTCGATAGCAAATCCCATCGTTAGTTCGGCCAGCCCTTCCTGCTCTTTGCAAAGCTTCGGAACTATAAAAATGGCGGGAAAACACTACAATCAAACAGACCAAAACTTCAAATATCGTTGAAAGAGGAGTTGCAACTCTTCATACAGCATTATTATAGACATGAAAATTTAACGGCATTAAAATTAAGTTTGAAGGCAACAGAGGAGCTCGTGCGATATTAATTTAACTAAGAGAATGTTGAGTTAGATGATAGCAGAGGAACTCGTTAGATATAAGTAGATATAAATTTAGCTAAGAGAAAGATGAGATCAAAGTTTGAAAGTTACACAAATAAAGTAAATGGTTTGAACCCGGGAGTATCGTTACATGTTTGTAAATGTCGATCGTTCAGGTTGGTATAGTCCTGAGAAGGACTGTTTTTGTTGTTGTTGACTGACGTTTCGACAACCTTAGCGGTAGTCATCTTCAGAGTCAAAAAGAGCCATTCAGAGGCTTCAGAGCCATTTTTCACTCTGAAGATTACTACCGCTAAGGTTGTCGAAACGTCAGTCAACAACAACAAAAACAGTCCTTCTCAGGACTATACCAACCTGAACGATCGACATTTACAAACATATAAAGTTACAAAAATCGCACAAACCGTGAAATTAAGACGATATTGAGCGAATCCAAGCCAGTTCTTGGATTATGAGATAGTTGCTTTACAAAACCACAATCAATTACGTATCTGTATCAAAAATAAACAAAACAATTCCGTGATAAAATTGAACCAAACCCAAATCAAACAGACAGATCTTGGAGACTTGTTTTTCAATAGCAGCTCCTGAGCGTACCTGATACCCTCAATGGTTAAAGATGTTGCTGCAATATTTGTTGCCACAACAATTTTTCTGACTCCTTTCTCAACAGGAGCAAACACTCGTCTCTGTAAATCTGAAACAAATACAAATAAAAGGAAACAAAAACCACATGTCAATTTTTTCATGTATGATCAGGAATGGCATCACAATACTGAACTAGAAGGGCTTAATTCTGTCTCATAAAAGTCTCATAAAAGCTAATAAACAATAATTTTTTATATAGATAACCTACCATACTGAGCTGAGTACATAGATTACAATCCTAAACTAAACACTGACCACTATCATTACATAAACAATATCACACCTGTAGACATAGATTACCATCGTAAACTAAACATTGACCACCATCATTAAACAATGTCATCTGTAGACAAAGATTACCATCGTAAACTAAACATTGACCACCATCATTAAACAATGTCATCTGTAGACATAGATTACCATCGTAAACTAAACATTGACCACCATCATTAAACAAGGTCATCTGTAGACATAGATTACCATCCTAAACTAAACATTGACCACCATCATTAAACAATGTCCTCTGTAGACATAGATTACCATCCTAAACTAAACATTGACCACCATCATTAAACAATGTCCTCTGTAGACATAGATTACCATCCTAAACTAAACATTGACCACCATCATTAAACAATGTCCTCTGTAGACATAGATTACCATCCTAAACTAAACATTGACCACCATCATTAAACAATGTCCTCTGTAGACATAGATTACCATCCTAAACTAAACATTGACCAACATCATTAAACAATGTCATCTGTAGACATAGAGTACCATCCTAAACTAAACATTGACCACCATCATGATTTAAAAACGTTACCTGTTGACATTGACCCATAAAGAGGTAAAATTAATAATGCTTCTACATCATGACTGGACACATCATATCTGTAGTCAATATTTTCTGCTTTCTCGTACAGTTTATCACAACAATTTTCAATTTCTTCATGACCAGTAAGGAAAAGTAATATATGACCAGGTGGTGAGTCGACATGGATTTCAATTGCTTTATTTACTGCCTAAAATGGAATGTTGTTCATATCAAATAATAAATACCTGTTTGCCATCTGTGTAAACCAATTTGGGCTCATCAAGAAAATGAAATATATTTTTCGTGTTTGCATTGGCATATGCAAACCTCAGAGACAAAAGGGAAAACTCTGGGGAAAGTTGTACTGATCTGCTCTCATACACAAACACAGTAAACATCTTCTATTTCTTAACCATAATTTTTCATTAATTGCAGTCTTACATGGCATGTCATACATGTTTGACCATCCAGGTTGGTAGAGTCCTAAGACGGACTGTTGACAATGTTGGTGACAATGTTTCAACTACATTAGCGGTAATTGTAAGCTCGTAACCTGCATACGTACCGCTTGGCGTTAGTCATAAGCCGAAATAAAACTTTTTCAACTGACAGTTTTAACCTTTTACATGTTACTTTAACTCTTTTAGTCTCAATAAATTGAGGGAAAACAGTTTGTCAAAACACTTAACAATCTCAACCAAGATTTCCCCATTATAATTTTGCATTTACAGTTGTCACATACAAGATGACATCATCTACAGATAATTTCCAATGTTTTGTATGGGGCAAAATATGAAGAATTATAAGTAAGCTCTCAGCCAATCACAATCAACATTGAACAAACATTTTATGATGAACATATGTTATTTACCGCGGTTAAATAATGAGGCATGTCAATATCATCTTTCCCAACCATGTTGCAGTAAATAGTCTTCACTGGAAACAGACGACCTGGGATTTCAAGGATAGGACAAGAACCAAAAAAATTGGAGAACTTCTCTTGATTTAAAGATGCAGACATAATAATTATTTTCAGAGGATTTCTTCGTCCCAGCAGTTTTCCTTCATTGGAAATAAACAGTCTTTTTACAAGACCAAATAATATATCCTACAATGACAATTGCAAAAACATGTACATAAATTTCAAAGTCACTGTAAAACCAATTTCTGAAACATAGAATTATTTTATAGGTAGTTTACTCTTTGATTATAATTTGCACCAGAATTTTAACAATCATGCAGTTATTTTACCGTATCAATCAAGCAGTTATTTTACCGTATCAATCAAGCAGTTATTTTACCGTATCAATCAAGCAGTTATTTTACCGTATCAAGACTTCTTTCGTGAGCTTCGTCCAATATTATGCAATCATACTCTTGCAATAAAGGATCTTCGATAAACTCTCGCAGTAAACATCCGTCAGTCAAATACTTTATGCGAGTTTTTGACGATGCGCACTCGTCGAAACGAACTTGATAGCCGACAAGATCTATGGCATTGAACATCATTGATCATAATTGTGTAAAGAAAGTTTTTATTTTACAGCGCGACTACAGTTTTCAGTGAAGTTGGAAGAATCAAAACTTTCTGCTAAATAACCATTAACCATGATACCAAAACACTTAATGTAACACGAAAAAAACTTAATGTAATCAGTCCATCACAAAAATTTATGTGCGTACCTCCGAGTTTGCAATTCATTTCATCTGAGACACGAGCAGCTAAAGCTATCGCTCCAATCTTCCTTGGCTGGGTAATGGCGATTTTGCCGCTATTCCCGCTCAACCAGTGTCTGTACAAAAATTGCGGTATTTGGGTGGATTTTCCACTGCCTGTTTCAGCAACCACAATAAAGACGTCATTCTCCTCGACGGCATTCATGATTTCTTTTCTAAACTTATTAATGGGTAAATTTTTGGCAGATAAAGCCGCACATGGAGATGACAGAAATTGAGAACTGGCCGCCATATTGGATTGTGCACATTACACTTGTAAAGTTAGCGGTCAATAAATTACAAATATAAAATCAAACTCTCTATAATGTCTATATTGTTTATTCAATCAGTTCTTATTTTTTGTATCCGCTTGCAGCTTTTTTTTGAATTTCATTTCACTTTTTTTTAATTCCATTTCACTTATCAAACATTTTGAAGTATTTAAATGACATAAACAAGCAAGATCACATTAGAAACCACAACCATAGACGTGACTTTGTCAGTGAGATTTTTTTTTCAATTTCACAGAGCATTGATTTTTTACTTTTTCAAAAGCATATTATGAAATGGAAGGAACGGTCATGAGCTTAAAATAAACAATTTCATTTGGAATGTATCTACTTCACAGTTTTAGACTTTTTGACAATGACATCATCGTCAGATGTCGACGTCCGTGAGTTTCCTAATATGGTCAACGGCGCTGTATCGATTTCTACGTCTTGGTTCAATTCAATCCAAAACAAATTAATGTTGGCTATGTTTTCTATTTAAATTTAACAATTGACACAATCCTTTTGAATCGGAGTTAGTGGATACGCGATGGTCGGAATTTTTTAGTCAACTGTAAAGCAAATCTCTCTGGCATTGAAAATCTCTCAAAATTAAAAACCTTTGGCAGCGAAGAGCAGCGTTGCACAATGGCGTCCTATATTGTATAGTCGACCTTTAAAATACGATTTACTTACATTTCTTCTCATTTTCGATACAAACTGCCGTCAACACTGCATTGATGGAACTGAGGGTTGGCAACAAGTATCGTCTTGGACGCAAAATTGGCAGTGGCTCGTTTGGCGACATCTATCTTGGTGAGAAAGAACGTTTTTTTGAACATTGTTTACAGTCTTGGCGATCAAGCGTTGTCAAGTGTTTCAGGCGTTAGACTACTAATATCTTTTGTTTTCCTTGCTTATTTTTTCTCGTAGCAATATCTAGTTGTTGTAGGGATGATTATTTGATGAAATTTGTCATGAAGCGTAGATTTCACAGAACCAAAACATTCTTTATCATTTTGCGTTCCCCAGGAATGAGCATCGCGACGTCTGAAGAAGTCGCCATAAAGTTGGAATGTGTGAAAACAAAACATCCGCAGTTGCACATAGAAGCAAAATTTTACAAAATGATGCAAGGTGGAGGTGAGCGTACAACAGTATTATATTTAGTTCCTGTTCATTGTGTTGAAACACTTGTTTTGTTGTATCTAAAATGTAATTTTATGGTGAGATAATTAAAATGATGAGGAATGCATAATACATCCTTTCTTGTTTGTTTTTCTCCAAAAAAATGGGCGAATATAATTGTTCAGTTTTAAAGGATACACAAATACCGGAGGTGCTCTAATTTGATTTTGATTTCACATTGTTATACTTTGTCAGAGATTTTTTTGTTAAGTTCTGTTACCTTTAAATCATGAGTGGAAGATTTTTTAAACACATCTCTTCACACTTTCTCCTTAATCTATCTTCAGTGGTGGGAACAATAGAAGTTCAATTTCCATCTATTCAAGGACATTTTAAAAATTGTTCAATTACCACTTTACATTTAAGTTGGAATTCCAACCATTAAATGGTGTGGTACCGAAGGTGACTACAACGTTCTTGTTATGGAGTTGCTGGGTCCGAGCCTTGAGGATCTGTTTAATTTTTGTGAGAGAAAATTCAGTCTAAAGACAGTACTATTGCTTGCAGATCAACTTGTAAGTAATATTCAGTAATTGAATATGTCGAGTGTAGTTTAAAACCAATGTCATCAAACCATTTTTCTTTACATTATCAGATCAGTCGTATTGAATATGTTCATAGCAAAAACTTCATTCATCGTGATGTGAAACCTGATAACTTCTTGATGGGTCTCAGCAAGAAAGGAAACCTAGTGTATATAATAGACTTTGGCTTAGCAAAAAAGTATAGAGATGCTCGCACCCATCAACATATTCCCTACAGAGAAAACAAGAATCTTACAGGAACGGCTAGATATGCCAGCATAAATACTCATTTAGGAATAGGTTTGCTGATACCTAGATTTCTTTAGATTTTTTCTGTTTTATTATTCTTTGGCAACTTTGTATGTGCCAAGCTGGCTGACACTTGGATATTCATCCGCAAGTCATGGCAATTATTCAACATATTTGCTTCTGAAGTCTTGATGAAATTTCATTAAAATGCTCCATTAATAAACTGCTTTCTTACAGAGCAAAGTCGACGAGATGATCTTGAATCACTTGGCTATGTCTTAATGTATTTTAATCTTGGCAGCCTTCCTTGGCAGGGTCTTAAGGCTGCCACAAAGAAACAAAAATATGAAAGAATTAGTGAGAAAAAAATGTCCACGCCAATAGAAGTCTTGTGCAAAGGATTTCCAAGTAATGTCTTTCTTCAAAGCCTAATAAAAAATCTCACAAATTCCTAACTACTATAAATACATTGTTTTTATTTCAGCCGAATTTGCAACATATGTAAATTACTGTCGCTCCCTAAGATTTGACGATAAGCCAGATTATGCCTACCTTCGGCAACTGTTCCGTAATCTCTTTCATCGCCATGGTTATGCATATGATTACATCTTTGATTGGAACCTATTGAAAATTGTAAGTAGACCTGTAATCTTTGGGGGGTAAGTAGACCTGTAATCTTTGGGGGGGAAGTAGACCTGTAATCTTTGGGGGTGGAGATGAAATAAAGTTGAAGTTATCAATTCTTGCAATTCTTTAGAATGGTCGAGATGATTCATCAACAGAAAGATCAAGAGATCGACTTGATCGCGATATTCCTCAGGATAGATTACACCATGGGCGAACATCAGCAAACCGTGCCAATATTGGTACTACAACCACTCGACTGCAAAGTGGCGCAGCACCAAATCCTGCTGGTAGATTTGATTTTTATCATGTTGCTTTTTGGTAATAGGTAAGATTTAGTATTGATGTACACTTTATGTCTAGTTGGGTCTAGGCCTGTATCACGTGGTGACAGAGATCGTAGAGTGAGTATGCGACTTCATCGTGGTGCAGATGGTGGTGGAGCTATTGAAGGTGGACGCGGTGAACCTTCACGAATGTCTGGTGTTAACACCCGTGCATCATTGGCTGCAGGTAATGCTTCCGGAGTACGTCGAATGGGTGGCTCTAGGGACAAAGGACTTGCAAACGAAGACTTCATACCCAGGAGTTCTGCTAGACAAATGCACAGAACTGGGAAATAATTAAACAGTGGTTGCAATTATTTACCTGCATTGAGAAGACAGTGATTTGCATGAAAACACACTTATGTGGAATTGTAAAATAACTCTTTGTATAGTAGATTGAAGAGAAATTTTTAAATTTGTCTGATGTTCAAATTTGTGCACGTGTAAATGTTGTTTCTTAGGAGGGAGGGAGGGGGTTTAAGTGTAATGCTTGATAGATGCCCCATGTTATGCTGAATTAAAACAAACTTTTGGTAGTTGAAAAATATAATGAAACAGTTTTGGCTCTGGTTCAAGATATGTGATGTGCTACACAGTTTCTACAAGGCAAAAAGTAATCTCTGCTATTTACGTAATAATAAACGCACAAACATATACGGATCAATAAACTATAAAAAATCGCATGTAAAAATAGTCGCCATACTCCATTTTTTGCCGAACCTAGCTACATTTTTTCTATTATCCAATTAACATCCAGATTTTGTAATTGAGATCAGTGCAAATGGCCGCGCGAGGGAACTGAGCCCTAGTATTTTTGCTTAGAAAGTTTGGGGAAAAATTTGAATTGTTTGTGTTGTAGGGTTTACGAATAATCACGATGCCTCTGTTTAAGAGAAAAGGGAAAGTTCCTGTACGTAATGTTGAGGCAGGTGCTACCACAATTAATGTGAAAAGTCTTGATAACACTGATGTGGAAAGCGGTATCATTAAACTAAATTTAGGCGACAACAAACTGGTGTTTGAAGACGGAGTTTGGACTTCGGGTAGGCTGAGCTAGCTAAGTCTTGTTTTCAATAGATCATTGCAAAACTTAACTTCAGCGAATCATGAAAGCTGCTCTTGTAAGAGAGTTTTTGAAATTTAACACACTTGTTCGTTTAATAAAAATGAACTACGTAGTATCTAAAAGGAACGAATTTTTATTACAATAAGCTATTGGCTAATGGTATATGTTTATTAATTTTGAAGGATCTTCACCAGAGTTGCGTAGTCTGTGTGCACGCTCTTATTTTAGTGGTATTAAATCATGATTTTTAGAAAATAGTGTCGAAGGAGGCCGTGGTACTGTAAGTAATGTGAAAAAACTCAAGGAACAGAACTTGCAGCTTAAAGAGGAGAACAATTTACTACATTATAAAATTGAAATCCTACTAGATATGGTAAGTTTGATAGTAATTATTTTGAAATCTTTGGTAAGCACAACAAAGTATTAGAAACTGCAATATTTTCTAACCATTTATGTATAGCTTGCAGCCAATAAAGCTGACCTTATTGTGAAAGATGAAGAAATTGAAATGTTAACAAAGAAGAAAGTGACAAGAGTTCATTAGATTTCTAACATTATGAAATACAAAGTTACGTGCTGAACATCATTATGAAGTTTGCCAACGTTAGCACTGTCATAAATAGCAATTTAATACATGGTAAATATGTAGATGACTTTTAAATATCAAGAATTTTGTTTCAGTTTAATTTTGGCAGAATAGCTATTCAATTTCAAGTACCTTTGGACATGTGTATACTAACATTTAAATCAACTTTACAACATCTCTGTAAAAAAACATTATAAAGGACTAGTTTTATAAAATATAAATTAAATGAATTTTATCTTAAGGTACATATTTTTAGCTCAACTATAGCCACATACCCTTGCCAAATGTTTGCTTTTCATTACATTCATGAATATCTTTATCTCATCAACATTCCTGGAGGTCCCATCCTTGCATTTGTGGTTGCACCAGGTCCCAAGAGGATCTAAGAGAATAAATGGAGTATAAGTTTTTAAGCTTGCAAGCAAGCACTTTTCAAATTAAACCGTGGAATGAAGTTCTTTCCCAGCAGTAATGCATAGAATGAAACATACTCTGATAAATAAAGTCATCTTTCAAACTCAAAATGTGACTTATATGAAAACACAAAGCAATTTTTGATTTTGAAATAGAATTCAAATATGACCAATTAAAAAATTGCATCATGTTAACTCACATCTACAGTTTGCAAGATGTCTTTTTTTTCATCAGCCTTTATGCTTTATCTTATACTATTAAATGAACTTCATAAATTTGTCACAAAGTTTAACAGTTCAAAAGAATTCAAAAGCCAGTCAAACGAAGGCCTCTGATTGGCTACTTTTAAAACAAGGCAACTGAAATTGATAGACCTAGTATCTCAAACGAGAGAGCTTCTGTACTATCAAACTTGCTTAGGGTAACTTTTCAGGACTAATCTCTGCTTAATGAGTGACTAGTCACCAGACCCCTTCTCCCACTAGGGAAAAAACAGAAAAACGGAAAATTCAATAGCTATAAGATGCATTGTAGGCACAGTATAGAAACCAGTGTGTGAATTAGTTTAGAAAAAACGATGTGCAATTTTTTGACAAAAGTGTTTCTTTAGAGGCATAATCAAATCGATATTACATTAATTATTGCTAATTGCTAAATTAATATTTTTAGACGTGAACAAATTCATATGATTTACGACAGTGTTTTTCGATAAAACCGCTGATTTTTGCACAACGATGTGCAAATTGCACATTGCACACCGTTAATTCGCACACTGATAAAAACAAATAGTAGTCTCATTCCTTTGTGTGACTTGGTGCTGTATATTTAATTAGATTAATGGCTGGGGATAGCCACCTAAGCACTCCTATTTACTGGCTGCCACTATAGTAATCAAATGCATAATAAGATATGCACGACATAAAAAAATTTCTATTGAGTAGGACTACTGTTTGTTTCTATACTGTGTTATAGGTATATTTCTTGGAAACAATTTCATTTAAAATGAAAACAAAATTCAATTTTGTTGTCTGATAAGTTTAGTTTTTTTATTAAAAATTATCAATGAAAACTTTGATGTTAAGAAATAAACTAGAAAAAAATGATATCAGATAAAGATTCCATCTTTATCAAATGTGTAATAATATGAAGGAAAATAAGAATTTAAACCAATTGTCAAATATCCCCAAAACTGTAGTAAGAAAAATTTGCCAGCTAAACACATGCTTTTGTGTCTTTGTTTGACAATTTTGGTGGTCACATTTATTCCATAGAAGTGTCCAGTTGATGGAGGGGCCAATATCATAAATTACATGAGATTAAAATTAGGAATTTACAAAGTGTCAGCTTAATGCTGGGCCACTAAATACAGTTTTGACAGTACTAAATTCTTACATGTTTGTAGATGTAGATTGTCCAGGTTGGTATAGTCCTGAGAAGGACTGTTTTTGTTGTTGTTGACTGATGTTTCGACAACCTTAGCAGTAGTCATCTTCAGAGTCAAATGTTCGCTCTGTCATCCAAATGATCATAATAAATTAAATGGTTTGAACCCGGGAGTATCGTTACATGTTTGTAAATGTAGATCGTCCAGTTTGGTATAGTCATGAGAAGGACTGTTTTTGTTGGTGTTGACTGACGTTTCGACAACCTTAGCGGTAGTCATCTTCAGAGTCAAATATATGGTTCCCTATAATGGTTCTATTAACTATATCTTGTTTGTATGTTCTTATCAACTATAATGGCTCCGACTCACTTGTCTCTGTTGCTGTTTCTCTGCTTCTTCTGCTTGTGCACGTTCCACTTCAAAGATCAATGGCAACGCCAACACAGTAAATGATGTCGTAGCTATCCATAAGCTACTGCTTCCAAAGCTGTATAACTTATTGAAGCCTTTGACGGCCAGATCTGCTGTAGAACATACCACACTTCGGAAGCTTTCCGGAAACATTTCTGTTAGACCAATTAATCTTTCGGTTATGGTCTCATCTTCAATATTCTCGAGGTCCTATTCAATGAGATTACAAAAATATCATTCACAAAAACAATCTCTTGAAATGATGTACTTTTTTTAATAAACTAAATGACCGAAACGGCAAAACCTCAGTCTTCCATAATACAATACCATAATTATTTTACGAACACGTGGGAAAGTACGGACGGTTCGTTTAATTATACAAGCGCATGATACGAAAAGAATACATAAAGTTAATAAAAAAAAACAACTTGGTCGTTTAACCACTAAAGAAAAGTACCTCTAGTTCATCAATTCTTGCAGAAGAAGTACTTGGAGAAGACGCCATTTTTCAACTAAAAAGTTCACACCTAATACTTCATGTAGAGGTACGTGTAGTAAATCAATGGAGAATCGCAGATTATGCTAAATACATTACAAAATATATTGACGCAACTTTAGGAAGTTTGAATCATGAATGCATTGAAGTACAGTAACTTGTGTGACTAAAATATCGTATTTACATAAAAAATATTTCAAGTTTACAGCAGGATTTTTAAGGCGATCTAAAAATAAATCTACACTGCTAGCGCATTAAAATATATTACACGAACGATTTTTTCTCTCTCTTCTTGCAATGTTCATCGACATTTATTTGCAAGAGAGTTTGTGAGCAGCCTCCAAATGAACCATCTGAACGACTATAAAGGCGGAGTGTTTTTTCTCTCACTTCTTGCAATATTCTGCGACTATTATTTACCAGAGAGTTTGTGAGCAGCCTCCAAATGATCCATCTGAACGACTAAAAAGGCCGAGCGTTTTTTCTCTCACTTCTTGCAATATTCTGCGACTATTATTTACCAGAGAGTTTGTGAGCAGCTTCCAAATGATTCATCTGAACGACTAAAAGGCCGAGCGTTTTTCTCACTTCTTGCAATATTCTGCGACCTTTATTTAGCAGAGAGTTTGTGAGCAGCCTCCAAATGATCCATCTGAACGACTAAAAGGCCGAGCGTTTTTCTCTCACTTCTTGCAATATTCTGCGACTATTATTTACCAGAGAGTTTGTGAGCAGCTTCCAAATGATTCATCTGAACGACTAAAAAGGCCGAGCGTTTTTTCTCTCACTTCTTGCAATATTCTGCGACCTTTATTTAGCAGAGAGTTTGTGAGCAGCCTCCAAATGATCCATCTGAACGACTAAAAGGCCGAGCGTTTTTCTCTCACTTCTTGCAATATTCTGCGACTATTATTTACCAGAGAGTTTGTGAGCAGCCTCCAAATGATCCATCTGAACGACTAAAAAGGCCGAGAGTTTTTTCTCTCACTTCTTGCAATATTCTGCGACTATTATTTACCAGAGAGTTTGTGAGCAGCCTCCAAATGATTCATCTGAACGACTAAAAAGCCAAGCGTTTTTTCTCTCACTTCTTGCATTATTCTGCGACCTTTATTTAGCAGAGAGTTTGTGAGAAACCTCTATATGATTCATCTATCATTTCTTTGGACAAGTATTCTTTGAAAGATATTTGTAACCATCATTGCTTTTATAAATAATCATCTTTGTTAAATAACGCTTGGAGCTTTCCTTGATGGTGAAATGCGTGGATGGGCTTCAGTCACCGTGGACATTAAAATTGACATATTGTGTATTATTTAGTGGAGAAAACCTCGTTCTTTAACTTCACATTGCCAGCAGAGTCCGACCTGAGGTCGTAATATGTATTGAACATAGCTTCGTGTTTGTATGGCTTCAAAACGTCATAGGTATGCATTATTAAGCGCGGGAAACGAGTCGTAAAATATCTTACGTAACCATCCGGAATGCTGCCGAGTGACCTACGAACGTTTTCCGGTAATTCTCGATAATGATGTTTCTGAATAAAATATCAATATATCAGAAGAGTGATGTTATCGTTAAACACGGACCAATAAGAAATCAATCTTAAGATAGAAGAGTTTGGAAGTGAGAGAGACATCCAGTATTACCTTATTACGAATGGCCCTGAGTAAATCTCTAACAAGCTCGCCACGATAACTTCGAAATCGTCGAAGATCTAAACAAATAAGTTAAGAAATGCCAGAGAATTAGTATCAGACAGTATTTTTACATAATCCCGTGCGTAAGTGTAATCCCGTTTACTAAATCACGTAAAATTGATAACTAATCTAATCTCTAACCAATATCTCTGCGATAGCATAGGTAATATAAGATTTAGGGTTAGGATTAAGATTAGGTATCATATCAATTTCGCGAATTTGTAGAACACGGAATGATTACCATTGATAATTATTACACATACATACCTCCGCGTAACTCCATCCCTAAATGAACATTCCAATCCCCTCGTACTACTCGTATGGAGTCTTTTTCTAGATCTTGCAACAAAGATGATGTTTCAGGATCCTCTTTCTCGATCCTGTCACTGACATCCTGAAAAAACAAAACAAAATGAATCTAGTGTTATCAAGAACTATGAAAACATTAAAAACAATCATGAAAAATCACAGCATACTTGTAAGAACGCAAGTTGTTTTGCCCTCGACCAGAAAAACGGATGTTTTAAAATATCGTGAACACTTGGTCTAGAGAAAATTTAAAAAAAAAACAATTCACTTTGGATTGAAGCAAAACTCAGACTCTTTCACTGTCAGATAGAAGTTGGTATTGGCAAAAATCACCGTTTATAAGCATCGCTGTCGATCATTTGCCGAATGAGTTCTTTAGAAATTTGTTCCCGGCTAAATGAAGAAAACAAAACATCAGTAGGCAACAACTGTGGACATAAAGGCATGCCTATGGATACAAAGCAATATCTATGGATAATGTGACGGAAAGAGAAACAATACCATCGCATTCTTTAATCATATCAAGGTCAAAATCGCCATTGATGATGTTTCCTTGTTGTTTAAAACGATCGCCGAATGGATGAAGACCTCCAGACAAAATGTAGTAAAATATACATCCAGATGAAAATATGTCCACTGCCCTTGTCTAGTGACAAAATATACATAAATGTACATAACTGTTCATTCATATATATAATGGACACGTTAGTTGACAACGAAATATCCACTCTACTGCTCAAAAACTAAATATCCACAAATGTACCTAAGTGTTCATTCATATATATAATGGACACGGTAGTTGACGAAATATGCACTGTTCTGGTCTAGTGACAAAATATACATAAATGTACCTAAGTGTCATTAATATATATAATGGACACGGTAGTTGACAACGAAATATCCACTCTACTGCTCAAAAACTAAATATCCACAAATGTACCTAAGTGTTCATTCATATATATAATGGACACGTTAGTTGACAACAAAATATCCACTCTATTGGTCTAATAACTAAATACACACAAATGTACATAAGTGTTCATTTATATATTTAATGGACACGTTAGTTGACGAAATATGCACTGTTCTGGTCTAGTAACTAAATATCCACAAATGTACCTAAGTGTTCATTCACTATTGAATAAAAGACGTTTCCATAAGCCAGAGCAAACACGAAATTACTTCTTTTATAAAATAACAGCAATGCGAAACAGATACTTTTAATCAAATGTTGAAATTTTTTCTCCGACATATATTCACACTACAATGTTTCAAAACACGTCTGCCTTTGACGGTCAAGAAGAAAGTGAAGATTTGCAACAACATAACAGAACAAAACGACGTAAAAATGATGCTCAAAAGCAAGTAAACATTTTCATTTGGTTAAAAACATTTGTGTAAGAGCATCAATAAAAAGACAGGAATTACAAATTTTTTGAATAGCCACAAAAACAAACGCTACTTTCTCGACTACAGCTCAAATGAACATACCATTTTACATTCAGGTCGAAACATTTCTGGTGCAATCCAACCATCCGTTCCTATTGCTCCGGACTGTGACGTTAACGAATGACGGCCATGAGCTAGCTTCTTACAAAGACCGAAATCAGACAGGAGCGCTTTCACTTCGCCTTTGGAATTTGGCTTTGAGATGAGAATGTTGTGAGGTTTTATGTCGCGGTGCACTGAATTAACAGAGATGACATAAACGTTGTTATATTCTAGATTATATTGTTGAAAAAATAAAAACACACTCCAGGTTTATAAAAGATCAATAGAGATGACATAAACGTTGTTATATTCTAGATTATATTGTTGAAAAAATAAAAACACACTCCAGGTTTATAAAAGATCAATAGAGATGACATAAACGTTGTTATATTCTAGATTATATTGTTGAAAAAATACAAATACACGCCAGGTTTATAAAAGATCAATAGAGATGACATAAACGTTGTTATATTCTAGATTATATTGTTGAAAAAATACAAATACACGCCAGGTTTATAAAAGATCATATATATAATGGACACGTTAGTTGACGAAATAAGCACTGTTATTAGTGTACTGTTATTAGCGTACGTGTGGGGCTTTTGGGTTTGAGTTTGAGAGAGAACGGTCTATAGGCAGAACGAGTGCAACTACGAGCAAAAGCGAGTCTTTGGATTTATAACTAGGATTTTATACGTGTTTATTGATGGTGAAAAAGTAAAAACGCAGTCCAGCTTAACGTATATAACACAAAGATTAACACAACTGAACTCAAAAAGACATTCAACAAGGGACGGAAAGCGGATGCATCTAAAAATCCTGCACATGCTTCAAAACATGTACAACACATACAAACTATGGCAAACTTACCAATATTCAATGAATGAAGATGACTTAATCCTAACATAGTTTGTTCTATTAACTCCAGAGGTTGTAATCCGTGACGGTCAAAAGATGAATCTTCTACATATTCCTGAACGGTAGCTGCACAAAGTTCTATGGCGATGTAACGAAATTGAGGCGTTTCTTCCTACAATAATAAAACAAGTTTCTTTATTTCTGATGATTTCCTATACACGCCATTACAACTAATGTTATGAGAGTGGATTTCTATGAAGTGTTGCCGTCGAAAATTATATAAAATTTAATAATAATTAACACCAATTTCCCCCTTTCGTTCCAGGCTCTTGGAGAGAGGGACGAGTCACTTGCTCGACAAACAGATTGTGATTTCATACATGAGAATTTTGTCCTATTCCTCAGCCATAGAGCTGCAGCAGTTGAGCAAGCGATCTAATTGGTTTTCGCAGCAAAGAATGGCGAGAATTACTTTTTACAACAATAAATCCCAAGATCTTAAGATAAAATCTTGAAGTAGGCAACATTTATATGGATAAAAATTGAATAAAAAATGTCAAAATGACCCAATATGTTACTGTGCTGTCCTTTAAAAGACGTGCACTTAACTTATAAGTCTGCATTCTTATCTCGCATTAAATGATATATATTTCAAATGCTACAGTACCGACCTCGAGTAACATGACTTGACTCGCGAGTATTGAATGGCGAGATATTGCTACAAATGAATAGTCGTTTAGCTCCCATGTTTCATAAAAAGATATAAAACCGTTGCCTTCAAAATGTTGAACGAATTTTCCTTATCACTACACTTAAAATTATGTTTGTCAATTTCAAACACTGGAGAAACAAATTTTTGCGAGTTATTTCGATTCACTCGCAAACTTCTCACACTCGAGAGTGACTCGCAACTGCATCGCGAGTCACTCGCTCAATCGCAACTCGTCCCTCTCGAGTGACCCGCAATTGACTCGCGAGTCAAGTCATGTTACTCGAAGTCGGTTCTGTATGTCATTACTTTGAACGAATCATAATACACGTGCACGACACATATAGACCTACTTACTGTGCAGAAATAGCGAATAACATTTGGGTGTTCATCCGATTCTCGAAGCAAGGCAACCTAAAGTTGAAATAAATACAAACATGAAAAAGGTATTTTTTTATTTTAATGCTTTATCACAAGAAATATTTGTAATATGGCATATTTGTAAAAAGCTATATTAGAAATTTGCAGCCTGGCATACTACCAATTTGAAACCTGGCATACTACCAATTTGTAACCTCGCATACTACCAATTTGTAACCTCGCATACTACCAAACTGTAACCTCGCATACTACCAATTTGTAACCTCGCATACTACCAAACTGTAACCTTGCATACTACCAATTTGTAACCTCACATACTACCAAACTGTAACCAAGCATGCTACCAATTTGTGACCTCGCATACTACCAATTTGTAACCTCGCATACTACCAAACTGTAACCTTGCATACTACCAATTTGTAACCTAGCATACTACCAAACTGTAACCTCGCATACTACCAATTTGTAACCTCGCATACTACCAAACTGTAACCTCGCATACTACCAATTTGTAACCAAGCATACTACCAAACTGTAACCTCGCATACTACCAATTTGTAACCAAGCATACTACCAATTAAGTTGATGTTGAACAGTGATTATGAAAGTTGTAAATACCTCGTTATCTGCAAAACTGAAGCAATCTGGTAATATTCGTTTGACAGCAACGCTGCGATTCTCAAATTTACCTCTAAAAGACACAAGTTTACAAGCATGGAACAAAATTGCAAACCAAACAAAAAAATCCCTAAATGATCACACCTGTACACAGCAGTCCCTTCACACCCCCTTCCCAACAGATCTTTAGGATTGTAAGATATTTTGCCGACGACAATGACTCCATTTGATGCTGAAAAAGACAAAAAAGAAGTTAAATTACACCAATAAATGAGAATCCTTCTGAAATGTTGTTCTCACGCAGTACGCTTAACTTGAAGAGGAACTAATGGCAAACGTTCAAGTGGGATAGAAAAAGTACATGCGGGAGGGATAGCAGTCATGCATGGGGGGATGGCATAAGTGTATGTAGGATAGCAGACGTGAATGGGGATAGAAAAAGTACATGCGGGAGGGATAGCAGTCATGCATGGGGGGATAGCGTAAGTGTATGTAGGATAGCATAAGTGTATGTTGGAGAGCATAAGTGTATGTAGCATAAGTGTATGTAGGATAGTAGACGTAAATGGGGGATAGCAAATGTTAATGTGGATAGCAAATAAGCATGGTAGATAGCAATAGTAAGTATGTATTCATTAACCTAGCTAGCCCGCATATTTCTATTGGATAGCAAACGTGCCCGAAGAAGGGAGGGATGGAGGGGAGGGTAAGGAAATTGATGTGGGCTATAAATATTCAAATATTCATACCATCGTCTTCACTAGCACTGCTGTAGGTGAAAGACTCAGCAGGAACATAAAGTTGAGCACCAGTTGGTTTTGCAGACGCTTCTATAGAAACATTTGAACCATGGCGTTTCTACGAATGAAAGAAAGGCAAGATGATTAACGAATCGTGAACATCACGGTAAAGATTTGTATTTCACAATAAAACGTTAAGTTTGAAGATCGAGAGAAGAAGATGGAGCAGCATGGTTGGTCTTGTAGTTGATATAAAAATTAAGGATGAAAAATTAAAGCCTATGAACGTTGTGGATGGGATTAAATTATTGTTATAACACGTAATGGCACATTATCATTAAACAAGATACAACATAACCAATTGAGGGTCCAGATCTAAAATGCGTTACATGTACAGTAGCGTGGCCTGTCTTAAAATTTAGTCCTGCTATCTAAATTTTCCCGCCTTCAATCACTGTTAAAACAATATATTTGACAATATATACGCGAGATTATACCCAGACACGCGTGTGTAATCAATCAATTTTCACTCCGAGAATCTCGAAACACTAAACACGCGTGTCTGGGTGTGATCTCGTGTGACTGAGTGTAAAATTTGGCTTCAATTATTTGCTTTAGGAAGCGTTCCATGTATTATAGTTCGATGAATTGAAGAGTTAGCTGGTTTGTGCAAACCTAACAACAACATCCCTACGTACCTCTATGTACAACAAAATAAAAAGAATGAGAGGGATGCCAATTGTTGCCAAGATTGTATACAGCAATCGCTCGTGCATCTTGAGCATTTCCATGACCTGCTCCTGTGACATTGTCGCCCTTCCTTCGCCTTCTTTTAAGTTATAATCATCATTTTCATATTCAAAATCATCGTCGTCTTCTTCTTCATCTTCGTAACTGGCGCTTCGTTGATTAGGGATAAATGGATCAGCAACATGTGTGATTCGAAATCTAAGGAATAACAAACACTACACGTTTGGGAGGTTTACAAGATTGCGTATGCCAATAAATAGATCATTGAAGATTTATCTGCTTTTCATTGTTGAAGGAAGTCCAACTTTCTTCAACTACTGACACCTTCCAGATTTACTTATAAAGTTTCAGTCAAGATACTTCAATTTCGTCGCACCAAACCTGAATTTATCATTAGCAGTCTAGGCGTATCAATAGGCACCTTTATGTATGAATAGGTATGTGTTTCAGTGTGTATAAATAGGTAATTTGTTGTATCAATAGGTACCTTGGTGTATCAAGAGATAACTTGGTGTATTAATAGTTATCTTTATGAGTGTGTATAAATAGGTACTTTGTTGTAACATTAAGTACCTTGGTGTATCAACAGATACCTTGGTGCATGAATAGTTATCTTTATGAGTGTGTATAAATAGGTACTTTGTTGTAACATTAAGTACATTGGTGTATCAACAGATACCTTGGTGTATGAATAGTTATCTTTATGAGTGTGTATAAATAGGTACTTTGTTGTAACATTAAGTACATTGGTGTATCAACAGATACCTTGGTGTATGAATAGTTATCTTTATGAGTGTGTATAAATAGGTACTTTGTTGTAACATTAGTTACCTTGGTGTATCAACAGGAGGGACTTTATGATGACCCACAGCAACTGGTGTTTTGTTAGGAACACCTTGTGTTTTAGCTTGATCCTTCTTCGTTCCTTTCTGCTCTTCTAACTTTTGTGTTGTTTTATTCTGCTTCTGTTTCTTCAACGTGTTATCCTTTCCACCAATGACAATTTTATAAGTATGACCAAGATGTTGCCCGGATTGGCTTGGCTTTGCAGCGACATCTCGAGGACCGCCAATCAACGGAACTTTTGGCTGAAAATGCAAAACAAAATGAACACAATCAGATGACGATAGATAAAGTCTGCACTTAATTTAAACTGGACAATACATTAAACTTCTCAAACTTCATATTTTAACAACTGTAAATCTTGTAAAGTAAATGGTTTGAGCCCGGGAGCATCTTTTTTGACTCTGAAGATGATTACCGCTAAGGTTGTCGAAACGTCAGTCAACAACAACAGCAAAAACAGTCCTTCTCAGGACTATACCAACCTGGACGATCTACATTTACAAACATGTAAATCTTGTGTCACCCTCGGGATACAGAATGTACGTGTAATACTCTCACACAAGATTGTGGAGGATGTGGGGGATAGAATGTAAAACATGTCATTTGTGACACAAATTTCAAGCACAGAGAATGATATCAGCTTGCTATTAATCCATTGACGTCTTTATAAGAGCTCAGTGTACCTCACTTCAAGAGCTCAGTATTCACGTGACTTAAAGAACTCTGTACTACGTTATTTTGAGAGCTCAGTATTTACGTCACTTTAAAAATGCTAGGTATTACGTCATTCTAAGTGCTCGATGTTACGTCATTTCAAAAGCTCAGTATTTACGTCACTTTAAAAATGCTAGGTAGTACGTCATTAAGAGTGCTCGATGTTACGTCATTTCAAAAGCTCGGTGTTTACGTCATTTCAAAAGCTCGGTGTTTACGTCATTTCAAAAGCTCGATGTTTACGTCATTTCAAAAGCTCGGTGTTTACGTCATTTCAAAAGCTCGGTGTTTACATCATTTCAAAAGCTCGATGTTTACGTCATTTCAAAAGCTCGGTGTTTACGTCATTTCAGGTGCTCGGTATTACGTCATTTCGGGTGCTAAATTTTACTTACTTCAATTAATTGGGTTCCTTCCTCGATAACTGATGGTAAGGCATACAGTTTTCCTTGGTGTTTTCCCACGTAAAGTGTAGAACTGAAATTAAAAATAAAAATAAAATAAAAACGTTTCGTAAATGTAAAGAACAGCTCAATTCCAAAGTTGAAAAATAAAAAACTACAAAAATTAAAACGTGATGGGAAATATTTCAAAGATAAATATGAAGACACATTTTTTGTCATCTTTCCTTCATCTTTTTTATCTTTCCATCAAAATTTTAGAAATAATCCCATCGGAAACTCCTCGTTAAAAAATACTCCCAACAAGATTCCCATTTTAAAAATATTCCCAACTTTATCCTTCAATAAAGTAAATGGTTTGAACCCGGGAGTATAGTTACATGTTTGTAAATGTAGATCGTCCAGGTTGATATAGTCCTGAGAAGGACTGTTTTTGTTGTTGTCGACTGACGTTTTGACAACCTTAGCGGTAGTCATCTTCAGAGTCAAATGAGGAGTAAACGTCAGGTGATAGCCGTATTTGTTATCTGGTTCTTACGTCATTGTATTGTGTGTACAGGAAATGTGTATTGTCATTGTGAATTAGTGTGAAGTGAAATGTTTTTAGTTGTGATGTGTGATTTAGGTGTGATGTTTCATCCTTCAAGATACTTACTCAAAATAGAGTTCCCCGGAGTCAATGAATTTATCACCAGAAGTATTTGCTTTTGTCAAATTATCTGTGAGTTTTAGTAAAGTGTCTTTAGCAATATGAGTGACAGGAACTTTCATAAGACTATCGCCATCCCATTTATAAATACCCACAACAGGCGAATCGAATTTCTTCTCCCAGTGAATTTTTCCTGTTAAGAATTGAAAGAACTTTATCTTTTCATAAATATATTTTGCTTTTCATTTTGACAACTCGTTTTTGAGTTTTTATAATAACAAAAAACTAAGAAAATCAATAGCCATCAACTTGGATATACGTAACTGACGAATTTGTGCAAAAACTCTCTGTTCATCCCCCGAAGTCATTTCTAGAGCATGAAAAGAGGTTTATGAAGAAACAAGCTTTTTCATTAGAACTTTTAACTACATGGTTAACAGGAAAAGAAGTTGTAAAAAATTTTGTCAGCAATTGGCTTTTTGTAGTCTTGACAATTAGTTGTGTTATTGTCACGAAGAGAATCGCAAATGATACACCAACGAAGGTTTTGAAAATCACCTGAATCAAGTTCCATTGACAAAACCATTCCATCCGAACTGGATGCAAAATGAAACATATCTATATAAAAACAAAACTGACCATGTAAAATAAATTACGCAAAAAAATCACTGTTTCCGCACGAAATTCAGCTAAGTATTCAGCTAAGTATACCAATAATTACTCCATGTAATGCTTGCGGTGCATTACGTGGTTCTGTTCTACACTTCACGCACATGCGCACATCATATAATATGTATTCAAAAACGCTTATAAAAGCTCTCGTTATAATCCCCATCAACCATTGGAGAAAGTGTATTGAGCATGCGCAGTTTCATTTAAATGTTTCTCAACTTACCGTAGTCAATATCGTCGACAACAGCCGCAGAATAATCAAAATACGTAGTGTTCCATCTAAAATAAAGAGTATATTTAGAACATTAAGGGATAAAAAGGCATAATAATGAACACAGGAAAATGACGTTTTCGCAGCGTGAAAGTTTTAAGCCGCTTACAGACGAGCAAATTTTTTTACAAATTTTTAGTCTGGGCTTTTTAGCAAAGTTTTCTTTGAAAAATGCATTTGTTCAAAAGTTAGCATGTCAGCTATTGTCATAGAAAATTTGCCACATGACTGATTTTGTTAGTCTGTAAGGTCTACAAAGATAATATGACAAATAACCAAATGCGATATGTTGATACGTACAGACGATCAAAGAAAATTCGCCACATAAAAATTTGTCGTAAAAAGTCTGTTGCCCGTACACACGGGCTAACGAGTATTTGTCATAGAAAATTGGTTCGTCTGTAAGTTGCTTTAGGTTATTTCAAAGAGCTCAAAAAGAACTTCAGATTTGAAAAAAACGTCATTTTCTACCGAAGTAGGTGCAACCTGATTCTACTACGTTACTGCTGTACAACGACCCGGAGATTAAACCCTAGGAAGTTTTGACTTTCTGCCCGAAAAAGGGAGTTAGTCTCCCGAAGTTTGAACAACACTTTCGAGTAGTGGTCAGCGACGTAGCCAGCCCACATATTTGGTCGTGCTATGTTTGTTTTTCTGTGTTTATTCACTGTAAAAACAGCAGATTTCTGAAGAAATGAATAATGTTATTGATCTAAAATTTACATAGCAGGACATCAAAACTTGCGGACTGGCAGCGCCACTTGTAGTAGTAAAGATAAAGATCAATAGTAAAGATACTAAACACAGACAAAATGACGCAAGCCAACTACATTAAACAGGATCTAATCAGCAGGGTAGCCTGTACACAAGTATAAGTCCTGCTATGCAAATTTCAGAACAGGATTATCCATTTCTTTGGAAGTCTTATATTGTCACAGTTAGTGAACGCAGAAACTATTTACATAGCTGAACTAAATAAGCAGGCTGGCAACACTAGTGTGTCCAATCAACTTTCTCGTAGCTACAAATTAAGATTTTTTTATTCAACGCAAGTAAATTCACAATATTCTATACGGAAATCAAAGTGCACGATGCAGTGAGGGTTTCTGTCAAAATATCGTACGAATAAGGACATTATTGACAAAGTTTGCTTATCGTCTTACAGGCTGGAAAATGTCAAGCAGAACCGCTGTCATGATTCATTTCTTAAAATTACCCGCATGAAGTATATTGGGCACGTTTTATACAAATAAATGAGATCAAACTTCAGTAAACAATAAAAATTTAGGAATTTACGCCTTTTTTCAAAACTTATTTTCAAAAGTTTTTAAATATAAAATGAAGGCTTGTTTTTAACATCGTAGACTTTCAAAAGTAGCCACTTGAAGTAAGTGGGCGGGCTACTTAGGGGGGGAGGGGACATGTTTTCCTGTTTTCGCTCTCAACATTGGCTGACGTTTTATCTACACAATATAAACAATTGTTTTTCAATGCGTTTTGAATTTCCTCTTCGTTGAATATTATTACAGTACGGTAAATAATTTTTGTGATATTGAAAAACTTCATTCAAAAGAGCAGCTACTTCAGAGGAAATGGATACTTAAGAGGGGTGGTTACGTACTTTAAAGGGGTGGTTACGTACTTTAAAGGAGTGGTTACATACTTTAAAGGAGTGGTTACATTAGAGAGGGCGGTTACTTTGGAGTTTCTTTGGCAGTTGATTGAAGTGTAAAATTTTAGGATGAATTTTAAATTTTGCCTAAAATTTCTATTTGTCTGTCAGTCATTCATTGCTGTATAATTCGCTGTCTACTGAAATTTGCTAAGACAAAGTAAAATATTTCATACAGATCTGTGTTTAAACACATTATTATCACCAGTTGCGTACCTTTTCTCTCTGGTCTTTGCATCATACATCGTGACCGTGTACTCTGTAATCAATTATCATATCACTGATTAGCTTAAATACTGGATATTTTTGAAGATGCATCCCAGTAAACAGTAAAAACACACCAGAACGTCCAAGAAATATGGGAGCCTTTCCACTGGTCATACTTGGACAGACAGTTTGTGAGCTGTCCACGGATAATGTTTGTAGTTTGAGTCCAGTCTCCGGGTCAATGGCATACCAGACATCTGATTTACGTCCTTTAATTATAAATCGACCAATTACAAATGGACAAATGAAGTGCTTGGACTATTTCATAATACATTTTCAAATATCAACTTGGGAAAGCGATGTTAAAATGCAAACATATAATACAGCATACCAATATACATCATTCCATCTGAACTTCGACAAGGTGATGCTTGAACAAGCTCCGGGATGGTGAATGGTAATTTCTAACATAAAAATTTAGCTTTAAGCAAAAGTGAAAAAATGACCGAAATATATATATATAAAGTAGAAGAAGATTTGCAAAATATGCATCAAAACAAGACGAGAAGTAAAATGTAAATTTTCGACTTTATTTCAAAGTCATCCTCAGACAGAATGATTCTGTCTGAGGATGACTTTGATTCTGTCTTAGGATGACTTTGAAATAAAGTCGAAAATTTACAGTTCACTTCTCATCTTGTTTTGATGCATATTTTGCAATCTCAAGATGTCTTGCTTCTTCGGAATTTGTTTTATACTATATTTCTTTAAATTGTCGGCTGGTCACGGTTTTATGTATATAACAAACAGCTTGTTTACTAAAAATTACCTTCAGGCCATCTTGTACGGCACCACCGAATGCATACAAACTACCATCATGTGGATCTGGTAAAAACACCGAGCTGAAAACCAAACAAAATATAACGATCATTGCTAGATTGTTGCTAATCATACAACAGCAATAACATGAAGTATTAGCATCAAACTCATTAATGTGAAGCAATAACAGTGACCCAGACTCCTTCATTCATTCAACACATTGAAAAGTGAACACAATTTCAAAACATGTTTAGTTGAATAGATAAAAATCATCCACAGTCTCTTAAAATGAAATAAAGTCTCTAGTAATCAGTGGCAGAGGGGGAGCATGGAGGAGCCTCCTTACACTCCCACTACTATTCATATGAATTTAAGTCAAGTGAGATTACATATTGCTGTAAAAGTAAGGCCATTCTTTGATGCAAAGAAAGAATCTAAGACATAGATATATTATCATCACATGCAGTGTGCGAATTAGTTCAGAAAAACAATGTGCAATTTTTTTGACAAAAGTGTTTCTTTAGAGGCATAATCAAATCGATATTACGTTAATTATTATATAGCGCTAAATGCTAAATTAATATTTTTAAAGGTGAACAAATTCATATGATTTACGACAGTGTTTTTCGTTAAAACCGCTGATTTTTGCACATTGTTTGAAAAAGTGATGTGCAATTGTTTTCATTTTAGCTAAAACGATGTGCAAATTGCACATCGCACACTGTTAATTCGCACACTGATCAGCTGTACTACTTGTTTAAGTACTACAACAGTCCAAATGGCCACAGTAGGGCAGGAAGGCAAATCCCATTTAACAAAAACATTCAAAACTCAAAAATTCATTTTTGTGTAGGTAGTTACATGATTTTTGAACTTACCCAGGTCTGATTGGAAACGATGAATGCAACACTGGATCTAAAAATTAGATATAAATATAAATAAGTGTGTGAATATAAACAAGTGTTGAATATTCAACACTTTAACACATCCAAAGCCAGATGGACAAGCAAGATGTGAGATAAAAAGCAACAAAGACTGAGTGACAGTCCATACCATGTCATTACATCAAATTTTATAGCTTACAGTGATAACAAAAATTTATAAATTTTAATGACAATCAATATTTCACATGGGACTTAACGTGTAATTAATTTAAATAAATAGTCAATATTTATAATCCACAAAACAACCAATTGCGATGTAACAAGATCTATGAGAATCATAGACAAAAGAACAGATGTTTCTCTACACAATGTGCAATCGTTTCCAAGATTTTGAAGAGTCCCGTGATCAACACTATTTTTGAAGGCAATGAATTATTCGGAAAACTTTTTCCTTTTGACCTTAAACAACTTTCAAACTCTTTGTTTTGAAAATAAAGACTCTCTCAAAATACAATCGTCTATGAATAATTTAAACTCGATTCCAACGAAATGAGCAGTTACAGCACAAATAAAGTTCGAAAAAACAGCATAGCGTGATCAAATGCTCCCATAGTGATATGGGCTAACGTATGTTTCATAACGTCTTTAAATATTATAGCATAATTTCAAAAGCTTCAGAGACTAAACAAAAAATAAGCAACCGGATGACATATTTTACAAGTGCCTTATTCTCTTGTCCCTACACTTCAAACAGACCAAAACGTGGTCGCCATCCGTTTGTATTTAACACTAAGCTTTTCACTCAAATTCATTTACTTGCATTCTTCATAAAAACTTCTTTGGAACAAGTTCAAAATGAGCAGAGCTTTTCGTATTCTATGAAGATGTTTACCTTCTTTAAAAGACCATTTCACAATTCCCGTTTTCTTTTGTACGGCGTACATAGTTCCGTCGATAGTTGATATGAAGAGATAAGCATTTGGAACACTTAAAGAATTTTTCTATAGAAAATAAGAGTGTACCTTCAGTTTTCAGATTTATGTACATTCAAATTTCCGTTCTAAATGATGGCAACTTTGCATACGATGGAATAGTGGGAACTTGTTTGATGTAGAACTACAAACCTTGTCGTTTGTCGACGCAGCAAAGTAAGTTAAAATCCCAATAAATAACACCACACACGACACAAAATAGGTCTTCGGACCAATCCTCATCTTATGCAATCGAATAAATATCAAATTTACGGTTGAAATTCGTCGAAATACATCAATGAAAGTTTACATCAGATATTTGTAATAATTATAGACACAAAGCTACCGCAGAACAATTTCTTCCTGCGATCTAATTGGTCGTTAATTGCTCTCTTTTCATTGGATAATTTGTATTACCGGAGATTTAAGAACATTTGGGGAAATTCTCGTAGGAACTTAGAAACTCAATCAGAAACTTGGTTCAGTACATCTCTGATTTCATTGGTTCGTTGAAATTACTTGAGATGTAAGAAAATCAGGTTGAATTCTTGTAGAAACCTAGAAACTTATTTTAAAAGACTACGGCCACTCTAATCTTCGTCTATGACATTTACTGCAATGACACGTCAACGACTGTGCGATAGGCGCGTTTAAACCCCCTAAAGCATTTTGTACATTTGTAAGTTTTGTTTAGTTGGTCGAACACAAATTGAGCCTTAACGATATAGAATTGTTGAGAAATAGGTAACTTACACAGTCCGCTGGTCAGAGATATCGACACAATGTCCAAGGACGATGTAAATTTATGATTCCACGAATGAAATTTTTTGCGTGTAAAAAATGTTATCATTGCAAGTCGCAGATAGATGCGCACGAGTGATTCTAAAAATTTTAATGTCTTTACAACAAAGTATTTTCCAACACTGGCAGAGGTAATTTTTTGAAATGCGAAATCACATTTTTGTCTTTGAATTTTGCTAAGAGATTTCACCTGTGGAATCAGGTATTTAAAAAATTTATTTAAATTCTTCTTCAGTTACGACCTTGTTTTGTCATCATACCTCGCAGCACGATAACTGTTTTTATGTTTTCTTTATAACCTGTCTTTATTCTTAACAGTTTAAACGAACTAACGAAGGCACCGGCAAAAGCAGAAAAGTATTCTTCTAACATTTTGATCATAATGGAAGTTGATTATGAATCAGCTAAATGCATCATTGTTCAAGGTGGAGTGTACGCCTACTACAAACAAGAAGCTCCGGTTGAATATGAAAATAAGTTTAAAGAATCAGTTATACTTGGATATAACGAGTTAAGGGTTGGATTGTTTTTACGTTATATTCACAAAGCGAAATTGAGTAAATCCTTTCACTGTGCTATTTCTAATTTTAGAACGGAAGAAGTGCCGTTGACGCTGTAGAAAAATCCATTAGTTTTTTGGAGGAATGTGAGTTATTCAATGCAGGGTATGGATCTGAGTTGAACGATGAAAAGAAGGTGGAATGTGATGCAATGATTATGGAAGGACACACCTTAAACACAGGTTGAAGTTTATATAGTGTAAATTTATCGTTCAAGATAATAATCTTGGTATATGTTAGTCAGTTTTTTGTCTTCAACGCTGATTTGTTCGTTGTTATCGAAAGTTTACGGGATCTAATTGCATGTGTGAAGTGAAGCGTTCGTAAGCTTCATTCAGAAGATTAAACAGAAATAATTTACAATCGGATAAGAATCGTTAGGAAGCATATAGTCTTATAGAATATTTATTAAGAAATGTTAACAACACAACTACCCGCTCCAACCAAATGTGTATTTTTATGATATTGCCTGCTGTCATGTGTTCATACGGAAGTAAACACGAACTTCATTTAAACGAAAAAGCTAAAATCAGTAGATCACATAGGTCAAATACACCTCATTCTAGCAAACGTTAAAAGCAACTTGTACTTATTGGTATACATTACTCGCTTCACTCTGATCACAGTAGTCTGAAGGGGGACTTTAATGAAAGGCAGAAATAAATGAACATATTTTGCTTTCAAAATCTTCACATGCAGCTTTGTTACCTCTCCTGGATAAATCATGAAATAAATGTCTGTTGTATAGGTGCAGTAGTCTCCGGTCGACATTTCAAAAAACCAGTTTCTCTTGCACGAAAAATTATGGAAAATACACCACACTGCGCTCTTAGTGGGGATGGTGCTTTGAAATTTGCTGTGAGGGAAGGTTTTCCTTACTTCGAGCCTAATGAATTGATTGGTCCACCAATCGAGGGAAGAGTTAATATGCAAACGTTCTGGGATACTGATACTGTATGCGCTGTTGCAATCGATTCAAAGGGCAAATTGGCTTGTGCCTTGTCAACAGGTAAGGAAGAACGTTGTTTCGTGTGTGGTAAGAAACTTTAGATACAGAAAATCAAAAATGAATTCAATCTCACACTATCAAGCGTTGTTGCATCATTAAAATATTTTCATTTGCTCACGCTAAATTATTTAGGAGGCATTCCTGGAAAAATGAAAGGTCGTGTAAGTGATGCTTCATTAGTTGGTTGTGGTGGATATGCAAATGATATAGGAGCAGCTGCAACAAATGGTCATGGAGAGAAGTTGATAAAACTGACTTTAGGAAGACAAGTTGTAGTTGAAATGGAAAAGGGAAAAAGTGCTCAGGTAGGATGACAATCAATGCACCTGTCATGTCTTTGTTTAGAAATACTTCTTGAGCTTTTGCCTTTTGCAAATATGTTTTCTCTGTGAATTCTACTAATGTTGTAAACATACAGTAAATGTACGATTTCCCTTGGAGTTCTGTTAGTCATCCAATTTTAAATGCACTTTTTTTATCAGTGTATGTTTTTTGTTAACTTAATGTAGATAATATATTTCTTAATCAATCAGCATTCTTTGATGTAAAAATCAATGTATTGAACAAAATTAAACTTCGTTATGGCTAAAACACAATTTGTAAAAACTGGCTAACAGGGCATTTTTTTCATTTAACTTTTGTGCTCATACAACAAGTATAATTGTAACAGCTCGCACCTAAAACAACGATCACTAGTACTCTCATAAAACTAAAGATTTGCTGAAACAATGCTCTGAAACCTGTCTCCGAACAAAAAACACAAACGTCAAAGTACAGTTAATTTAGTTGAATAACAAAAATAGCAACAGTCTTGCAACCAGTTACTGTTCACATTGAGGTAATTCATAATGTTTATTAGGTACTTAAACTTTAGGTAGCTATTACACTTTTCATTTTCAGAATTTTTCATGTTTTTAACTCTTTCTCTAAAAGCATCTGCAAACAAGCGTAATTCTTTAATGGCATGACGATTGCATAAGATTACCGAAATATGTCCGGCAGTAAAAAAAGTTTGTTTTTTTCATTCAGTTTATAATTTCAATTGTGCTTCTACGTAAATATAGAAAGAAATTACAACAATTCCAATTATATATGGGAGTTATGTAGGTCTGTATTGTTTTTATTACAAAATAGAATAACATTATACGAATCAGTTTGCCTGAGACATGAGTGGGGATGTATAATATGCGTTCTAAAAATTTTTATTATTAACAATATCATGATTACCAGAAATGTATAATATTTACCTCAAATCCTCTTCTGGGTAAAAAGGTATCGTTGATAATCACCATCTTTATTTACAGCAAGCAGCAGAGAGTGCTGTGAAACTACTTGGAGAAAAAATGAAAGGACATGGAGGAGTAATTGCTATCGACAAACAGGGAAATATTGGAAAGGCATTTAATACTGATCTCATGCTTTGGGCTAGCATTAAAAACGATGAATTGACAATTGGATTAAGAGATACACAAGGAACAACAACTAGGCTTCAGGAAGAAAATCATTGAATTGATGGAAAACAATTTATACTTATTCACTAAGGTCGATTTAAAATAAACACAAAAACACCTGCACAGTTTTCTCAATAGATGAGTTTGCATTAGCCTGTGCAAACCAATCTGAGCAAAATCATTATATCAATCATAGAAAATTTGCAAATCAATCACGAAAATCAATCAATCAATTAAAACATTTGTCTTAAATTTATCTGTTTCGCCTTAGTGTTTCTTTATAAAGGAAATAGGATGTATTTCGTGTTTGCACTGGCTTATGAAAACCTAGGAGCAGTTTGTGAGAACTAGTAGTTCAAATTTCGATCTTTGCATGGTCTCTGGTTTGCATGCACTTATCTGCTCTCTAGTTCTCCCTAAGATCTCCTTGGTTTGCATAAGCCTGTGCAAACACAGTAAACATTTTTTATTTCCTAAGGGAAACACTGAAACAGCGGTGTATTCTGTTTACTCAAGACTGACAGACGAGGAATCTTCGACAACGGTAAACAAGACACATTGCTTCACTGAGACTTCACCGTTTAGGTCAATATAAGTTTTTGTCATACACCAATTATCAAAACTTGAGTTTACAACAACAAAAAGAAATGAATTATTTACTTTAAGTTTTGCTTTAGCCGACAAACAACTAGACTTTGCTTGATAATTGGTAAATACAATTTTTTCCCAATTCGTCCATATTTTATGACAGAATTTAAAGTGTACATAACACATTTTTTAAATATCTTAAAAACAAAATCCCCTATAGCTTTTCTTTTTGTAACAATGTTTGCAAAACGGACACAAATACTGATGTAAAAAGGATAAAAACAGCAAATTTTCTAATCGTAACCACTAACGATAGCAACTTCAGAATTCAATTACAAACATTATCGAAATTAAAAGATAAGGGTAGGTTTTTGATTTTTATACGTTGAACGAGGATCGAAGTTCCAGAACCTATGGAGAAATTTTCCTTTTCAACAAAATTGTTAACAAATCGACTTTGTCAGTAAACATCAAATACAACCTTTTGAAAATCCGTACCTCTACCAGCGTGACACGATTGTATAACAGCAAAATATAACATAAATGATACATGATCTCTTTTGTACGAAGCAGTCACGGTAACCCTACATTCATTTACACGAATTAAGTTTATATGTAATGCTGTATGCAATTCCATAAACGCAGTATTGTGAATATCAGTAATTGAAGTTTTCTGATCAAGAGGATGGCTGAGATGACGATAACTACAATTACAATCAGCAACCTAATTAAATGTATAGCAGAGGGTTGCACCTAGAAGTGGACCTAGTGTATATTTTTTATCCTTTGTCACGACGCAAAAGTGAGGAAAGACCTAATAAAGTTTATATAACGCCATATGCAATCCAAAAACACCATCAAACCCAAAAAAGTGTTGAGCCACTCTACTGAAGAAACTAGAAACACCGTCGAAAGGATACAACCGCTCTAATGTACCTCTATGACATTTGCTTTTTCTTTATTATCGTGGATAAATGGTCAATATTTGTGTCAAGTTACAGTTCGTAAATAGATGAGGGAAACTACCAAAAGAGTGTTGTTAGTTGACCAAAAACTTTTCAGTTTCCAGTCGCCCAGAGCATCCGGGGCACCCTAAAATACCTTTGTAACTAAAGTTCAGTGAGAGCATCGAGTTCTCAAAATTTTCCGTCATAGTTTTATTCTTGAAAAAATGACTTTTAATCACACAGGAGCTATAGTCATTTTAGGAAAATTTTTAACGAATTTTAATGTTGGAAGATATATTTGTAAATTAAAAATTATCGCTGGCCAAAACTATAGATGTCAAGTTTAAAAGTTATTCCAGAGTTAGAGCAGTAGCCTTTAGAGAGCAGTTACAGAGGTCACGTTTTGCTTGTAAAACATTCATTAGAACCTCATAAACAATAATATAGTTAATTTTGATTTTCAAATGTCGATTTGTAAACGACCATGAACCCCCTGTATTGTCATATAAAAAAACACAACAGTTAAACAGTTTTCCTGAAGTGCGTCCATAACACCTATGTCATAGGCGTTGATGACACTGAAAGTGCTTGTCAACACTTGCTTCTTTACAACAAATTCTAAAGACAGAACAGATGCTTCAGTTCTGTTAAGAGAAGTTGCAGGAATTTATGTTGCTTATACATCTCACGAAGAAATAGAAAGAGTAAAGGCTGAACAAGAGATAAATTTTAACAGTGCAAAACATGAGGATTGAGTCTGAAGCTTTCGCCATTTTGTCACTCTGAAAGTATTATGGAATAAAATGAATTTTACAGGACAAGATAAATGTAACAAAGTCCAATCTTGCGTTGGAGATGAAAAGCAAAAAGTAGAAACTCTTAGATGTTGTGTGTTCACGGAATGAAAAATACAGGGTCAAAATATTTGTGAAATTGATAGAAATAGTGGTGAATAAAAAGAAAATTTATATATCTGTGGTGTCTGGCAATATTCTATAGCTGTCTGTAAAAGGATGCCGTGTATTTTGTACAATAATATGAATATTGTCTGTGCATAAACTATACAGGGTGTATAAAAAACTACTTCTATTTGAAGTAAGCCAACAATTAGATGTTTGACACAAGTTGAAAGAGGGGACATTGCAGTAGTAAGGATATGTAATGAGGAAACAAGAAGATTATTTGAAGAGATATAGAGATATGTGTGTAACATGGCAGGGCCAGGGCAGAGAAGAAGAGGTTGGTGATGTAAAGATGGATGGTTTTGTTTCGGAAGATATATAATGAATATTGGAGTGATGGAAAAGGATGTAACGAAGAGATCATATTTACGACTAAAAACGCACTAATGACCAATAATAAAGGACGAGAAGAAGAAACGAGTCCAAAAACATAGTAATTGGAGGACAAAAAGGCTGCAGCCTCTCCAATGTTCAACTTTTAATTTTTTTATGTACAGTTGCAATTATTTCTCAGAATTGAGAAGTTAACGGAGACTTAACTGAAGTTTAAGATTGATGGACATTCTATCACAAAAAAATCTTAGTAAAAGCTTGCATGAGAAACACTGCGCAGCCTCAGGTTCATTTTTTGGAAGCCAAACAGGGACATCAAACAGCTGTCAAATGGTAACTCTGGCCAAGGGGGACATAATTAAAGTATTGCTAGTTTGTTGTGGGCATGTGAACTCCTAACTTGATTGCCACATGAGAGACTCTCAGTCAAATTTAAACTTCACATAAGCGATGTTTAATTTTTCCAATTCTATCACATGACAAGACAGAAGGGCGAAACGAGTTTAAACTTAAAAGCAAATGTATATATTAAGGACAGTAAAAAGTCCGATGAACGTCTCTTTAACGGAAGTATTTTGAAAACAATAACTTAAAATTTGGATAACAGAAAGGTTGTGTTAACGACAGGTTAACCCTTTCCTGAATGAATTTTATTTTAAATTTTGATTTGCTGTTCTGAAGCATTACTGTGCGATGAAAGGGTTATATTATGGACGACACAACAAAGTGCTCCACGTCGGTCGTGCTTTCAGAAATTGTTTACGACAAAATGCTTGAAATGCATTCCTGTTTGCTCATCTAATACTGCAGCAAGAATAGCAGTCACAGACCAGTTCATATTAATTTTCTGAGCAGACTTTAATCATCAATATGGCTACATGTTTATACTCAATGTCTTGAAATCAAAAAGTCTTCATTACTGGAGATATAACTTTATATGTGATTTTAGCATTAGAACTTACCACATTGAACTCCATTCTAGTTTGATTTTTAACTAATTTTTATGGTACTCCCTTTTTGCCATGGAAAATCGGCCTTTGTTGTAAATAAGATGCCTGTCATGTCTATAAGCAAGATAAGATTGATATCGCTATGATTTTGTTGCCTTTATTCGTTGGTTCTAAGCTTTGTCTGATCCAGATGCATACCTGGTTTGCAAAGCACAAGCAAAGATGTAAGATAAAACGAAGACAATCAACGAAGCATGGTCATGAATGCGTACAATGAAAGAGTAAAAGCCTAGGCTAAAAAAGAACAAAAGAAGTACAAAAAAACTAGAAATTCTGATGCCTTTGTCTTTGTAAGCCTCTAGAGAGAAAAAAACCATGTGTTAACTGTGTGTAAACCATGGAGGAGTGAGCAAGCTTATTTGCATTAGATATTTTTCTTTACATGAGAGAAAGAAACCATGTGTAAACTGTGTGTAAACCATGCAGTAGTGAGCAAGCTTATTTGCATTAGATAATTTTCTTTCCATGAGAGAAAGAAACCATGTGTAAACTGTGTGTAAACCATGCAGTAGTGAGCAAGCTTATTTGCATTAGATATTTTTCTTTACATGAGAGAAAGAAACCATGTGTACACTGTGTGTAAACCATGCAGTAGTTAGCAAGCTTATTTGCATCAGATATTTTTCCTTACATGAGAGAAACAAACCATGTGTAAACTGTGTGTAAACCATGCAGGAGTGAGCAAGCTTATTTGCATTAGATATTTTTCTTTACATGAGAGAAAGAAACCATGTGTAAACTGTGTGTAAACCATGCAGTAGTGAGCAAGCTTATTTTCATTAGATATTTTTCTTTACATGAGAGAAAGAAACCATGTGTAAACTGTGTGTAAACCATGCAGGAGTGAGCAAGCTTATTTGCATTAGATATTTTTCTTTACATGAGAGAAAGAAACCATGTGTAAACTGTGTGTAAACCATGCAGGAGTGAGCAAGCTAATTCGCATTAGATAATTTTCTTTACATGAGAGAAACAAACCATGTGTAAACTGTGTGTAAACCATGCAGGAGTGATCAAGCTTATTTGCATTAGGTATTTTTCTTTACATGAGAGAAACAAACCATGTGTAAACTGTGTGTAAACCATGCAGGAGTGAGCAAGCTTATTTGCATGAGATATTTTTCTTTACATGAGAAAGAAACCATGTAAACTGTGTGTAAACCATGCAGTAGTGAGCAAGCTTATTTGCATTAGATATTTTTCTTTACATGAGAGAAAGAAACCATGTGTAAACTGTGTGTAAACCATGCAGTAGTTAGCAAGCTTATTTGCATCAGATATTTTTCTTTACATGAGAGAAAGAAACCATGTGTAAACTGTGTGTAAACCATGCAGGAGTGAGCAAGCTTATTTGCATTAGATATTTTTCTTTACATGAGAGAAACAAACCATGTGTAAACTGTGTGTAAACCATGCAGTAGTTAGCAAGCTTATTTGCATTAGATATTTTTCTTTACATGAGAGAAACAAACCATGTGTAAACTGTGTGTAAACCATGCAGGAGTGAGCAAGCTTATTTGCATTAGATATTTTTCTTTACATGAGAGAAACAAACCATGTGTAAACTGTGTGTAAACCATGCAGTAGTGAGCAAGCTTATTTGCATTAGATATTTTTCTTTACATGAGAGAAACAAACCATGTGTAAACTGTGTGTAAACCATGCATGAGTGAGCAAGCTTATTTGCATTAGATATTTTTCTTTACATGCGTCGAACGCATTGAACGACAAATTTTCATGATTCAGCAGTAGTTGTTCCCAAGGATAGGTAAATGGAGTTGAACACAATAATACATACGTATATTGAAGCTACTTCACATTAAAAATACCAGTCAAGAAACTCAATTCAATTTCGTTTACAGCTTCTTGTAGATCAATTACTGCTGACTCATGCAAATTTTAAATATCGACTAATTTTCAAAGATGACCATTTTTTTTATATACATCCTATATAGGAGTCGTCGCACTTTAAAACGTACTATAAAACGTACTATAAAACCTACTCTAAAACCTACTATAAAACGTATTATAAAACGTACTATAAAACCTACTCTAAAACCTACTATAAAACGTACTATAAAACGTACTATAAAACCTACTCTAAAACCTACTATAAAACCTACTCTAAAACCTACTATAAAACCTACTATAAAACCTACTATAAAACCTACTATAAAACCTACTATAAAACGTACTTTAAAAAAGGGTGCTTAAAAAACGCTGTAAAACTTGCATCTTGTTCACGTAATAGAACATTATTTCGTAAAAGCACTATTGCCAATACACATTTAATATACACGACAACTTTTTTGAAAATAGACATGTTTCGACATCTCATGATGCCATCTTCAGTATGAATGAAATAATAGGTGATACAGGGTTTATATAAAAGTAATATGATACATAAATTAGAACAATAAAAAGGAAATAAGATAATATAATGAGGAGCGTCCGAGCGTATTATAAACTAAATATCGTATTGAATTTAAAAACTTGAACATTGAGGTCAGGGTTAGTTTTGTTAATGTGGAGTGCTTCTTTGATTTTAAGGGTGAATGAGGTGTCGGCAGTGTCGATGATTTTGAAACAAGAGGGTGAATAGTTGGTTTTGCATGAGTGAGATTTGAGAAGGTGTCGGTAGATGTGAGAGTTTTTGTCTGTTGTGGTATGTTCCCTGATTCTGGTGGATAAATGGCGCGAAGTTTCGCCAATGTATCGGGAATTACATCCCGCGCAATTGAATTCATATACCACCATAGATTTAATTGAATCAGGGATCGGGTCTTTAAATGAAAAAAGGTTTTTGATTTTGAATGATGTGAAAATTAGTCGAATGTCAATATTTGTACAGAAGCGTTTCATAATGTTTGTAAGTCTGCGTTGTGTGTGTCGTGAGTAATGTCCGATGTACCATACACAAATTGTCTTAATCCGTTGAAAACAATGGATTTCAAAGGAAATTAATGGGGCAGAACATGAATATATGAATATGTGCCCCCCCCAATTAACGATTCTCGTACGCCACTGGTATCTAAAGTATAAATATTTCTCATGGTCTTACAGCCTCCCCACTTCAATATTGAAAAATACCTTAGAGTTCCCTAGTGGATCTTCAGTCATTTTAGGAAATTCGTTTTGAATTTAATGTTGGAAGAAATAAAAATTATTACTAGCAAAAATATATACCAGATTTTAAAGTTGTCTAAGAGCTGCAGTCTACAGATGGCTGATCTCGTTGTATGGCTACATTTTGGTCGTAAAATAGAATTAGAATTTCTCAACCAAAAATTTCGAATTTCAAAATTGTGACTGTTAAGATATGCTCTCATATTCTTCCTGTAATTAGTAAATAATTAAATCAAGTGTAACTAACTAAATGATTATTCTAAGAGATACCTATTGCAATAATCATAATATTTTTTACAGTTCCTAAAAGCTTTCCGTTGATTGTAATTTAAACATATTTAGTAAAGAAACAAATATATCCATACCTAATATCTTGTATAAATAGAAGTAGTTTAACCATTGTAAGATAGATCGTAGACCATAGACATTGACGTTGAACATTAAATGTGATCATAACAGTTATCTGTAATATCTCTATTTGTTGGTGTAAGTCAATATATACTAAAGAAGGTAGATGGCTACATCACAAAACCTAACAGTGACCACTCAAGACTCCAATACACAAGTGATCAAAGCAATCTCCCCAGAGTGCATAGATTATACTTATTATACTTTTGTCATGGGCATTAATATTTAATATCTCAATTCACAAGCACCATCATTATGTAATTCTTAAATAACATGTCTTATTTTATCTTAGCAGTGATTCAACTTGTTTCTTTTAGCACCACTAAATATTTGTTTCTAATGTAATTCAAACTTGTGCATAATTCTTGATTCAAACTTGCTTTGTATGTATAAGAATTGCTTTATAAAATGCTAGCAAAATGATTTATAAAGAACATGAAAGCGGAATTTTTGGGTGTTGAATGACATCAATACCAAAGAAGTCCCCCCCCTGAAGTGAAAGCAAATGCTTTTGTCGTGGGTGTTAATTTTTAATCTCGCAACTCACAAACACCATCATTATGTAATTTTTACATAACATATCCAAATCTAATCTTAGCCGTGATTTAACCTGTTTGTTACTCTTTAGTACCATTAAATAGTTGTTCTTAATGAAAGTCAAACTTTTGCGTGGTTCTTGATTCAAAACTTGCTTTCTAAAAATCGCCTTAAAATGCTATTAAAATGACATATAAAAAAACCACAAAAAGTGAAAAGTTTTTGGCTGTGGAATGAAGCAAATATAAAAGTGCAATTAAATGGCTTTCCTTTTTGCATGCTGTTGTTGTAATTCACTAGATAAAGCTATTTGAGCTTCGGACCACTTTGATCAGCTTTATCTTGATGCTGAAATTAAGCTAAACATGGCAAGTTTTGAATGGTTTAATTTGCTTTTATTCAATACTTCGTTTCTTAAATTAAATGTTGAACACTTAGTACAGTGTAAAAAAAAAAATGTTGAAGAATGGAAGTCGTATCACATTTCAAGATCATTTTATCAACGATAACCAAGGACAAAGAATTCACTAAATGTCGATATCTCATTAAATCCTTTTTTTTCCCTGTATGCAATGCTTTTTTAGCTTTTCTTTGTGTTCCTCTGCATCTTTCAAAGTCACCGTTACCTGATCTATAGAGTAAAAGTAAGCTAAGCGTCATTGGGACGATCAATCAAAAATATTGACGGAATATGAATACAGTGAGCATTTGGTTACATACGCTGTCCTGGAAATAATGGTAGCCATAAGTTTGCAGAGTTAAGAGAAACACCTTTGCTTGCGGCAACGTTCATGAATTGAGGATAAGGGTGTTTGCCATCTGTAGTCTCAATCTGGTAAAATAAACGATGAAACTCTTCCGAGCCTTTTGTAGTAGCAAAAAAGAAAAACAAGAACTTCTTTGGCCTCATCGGGCACTCCAGCCTTCTTCAGGTCGTAAGTTTTGCTGTTTTCACCATTAGCTGCCGACTCCGGTAATTCACCATAAAGACTTTCTTCGGGAATTTTAAATGCTGTGTATGCCATTATTCATCAACTGGATGTATCTAAAAATTAGGTTTCCAAAATTCCTGCATTTATATTCAATTTGCTATCGAAACAGAAATTTGCTTTGGCAGATAGGGTTAAAGCGATTAGATAAGTCACAAGTACTTGCTGTGTGTGAGATATTTGTCTTTCAAATATCCGGCAAAAAAATATCTTAACTTGTAGCTACTTGCCGTGTCTTTTTCGTGAGAATAACTTCATGCTTCTGAATGTTTTATAAATTTCCCAGAGAATATAGTGTTCGATTTTGCGACTTAGCTAATTTCATTTTTGATATGCGCTTCAAAAAAGTAAACTGACAAACATTCAGCAAAACATCTCATTCTATATCGTTGAAGAACATATATAAAATGAATGAGAAATGACACATGGTAGAAGAGAAAAGACAGTTTGTGGTGTGTTTGTGAACCGTTATAACAAACAAAAGTTGAATAAGACACGTGAGTAGCTATTACGTAAAAGCGGTGCTCGGAAAGGCGCAATGTAAGCAAAATTCTTAAAATAAGCATCTTGTAAAATCAAGATTCACGTTCTATACACACGAGACAATATTTACAACAAAAGAACGACGTTGGAACAAATTGATTGTATTTCGATGAAGCTGGCTTCATGTACAGCTCTCGCTAAAATTATTCAAACGGTGTTCAAGAAAGACTTTGTTCATATATTTTTTAATTTCAGGATTGCTAAAATCTGGCTGTCGCTATGAAGACGCTTTGCTAAGAACTTGAATTACGCTTTTGATGATTTTAATAATGATAGAGTTCCTTAATTGTAGATGTAGATCGTCCAGGTTAGTATAGTCCTGAGAAGGAGTGTTTTTTGTTGTTGTTGACTGACGTTTCGACAACCTTAGCGGTAGTCATCTTCAGAGTCAAATGAGGAGTAAACGTCAGGTTAGCCGTATTTGTTATCTGTTACATCCGCAAACATGTAACGATACTACCCGGTTCAAACCATTTACTTTAGTGATAGAGTTCATTTTCTAGATTTGAAAATCTCTACCTCAGGTATTGAGATTTCCCGTAAGAACACCCACACCGGTCAATACAAGCGCATCGATAGTTGGACCTCATAGTCTTTATTTGTTTTAAAAAAGTAAGTCACATAGTACACATGCATGAGTACTTACTCAATTTTTGTATTCTTTCTGGTATAAATTTCACCTCCTCGTCGACCACCAAAGACTGTCAGTGATTTGTGATTTGATGAATCGATGGGCTCTCATATATGCTGAATCACAGAGGAAGTGACAGGTGTCGTCGTATCCTTCGAAACCGTGCATCACAGAGTCACCTGACGAATGACCGGAAACAGCACAGCGTTATTCCAGGCAAACCTAATGTACTTCGCATTTTAGACTGCATATTTGTTAACTAAACTAAAACGAAGAAAACATTCTTTGCGTCTCAACAATACGTGATGCAATTTTCACCGTTCCTATTACAAAACTGAGATTGTAAAAATGTCACATGCTCTTATCTTCAATACATGATGAACAACGTTGCAAGCAGGGATGTCCCTCTAAACAAATATGGCTACTAATAGTTCAACGGACAGCGTTTGTAATTATTTCGAAGAAAACCAACTGATACGATCAGTTGTCTGACGTTTTTTTAAATGAAAGTTTGAGCACAAGTTCCGATTGAAAGTCTTTTGTAAATATGATTAAAATTTCATTGTAAAAAATCAAAATTGGATGTAATCAATAATATGTAGCCAATGATTTATCAGGCAGGAAACGTAACTATATAATTATTGATGCCCAAAATACTATTTTGAAGAGAGCAATTTAATTTCATTAAATAAGTAATACACGTTAAATCACGGTTAAAATAAAACTACTTTTGTAGTGTACAAAATTATGCTACATATAATATCTATATTTGGATATGTTATGTAAAATTTACGTAACGTTTGTAAATTGAAAAATCAAAAATTAGTCCCAATGACTAAACTGTTATTTGGGGGAACTGGTTCAGTCACTTGTGACGTGTTTTCTAGCGAAATATCTATAAAGATTTCCATTCCCCAACAATCTGCTTATTACGTTACCGAGTTCTGATTTGCAATTCTTGACACTGCTTTTTTACAACTAAAATCAAAGCTTATATAAGCCCGAACTCAATGAGCAAGCGAATAGAAGTTTTGTTTTGTAAAGATAATTTATGTTTCAATGTTCTGTCATTTTGCGTACGTGTCAATTCTTGACAATATTTCCAACAGTCGTTAGTCCAAACACATTTTTATTGTTTGCATAAAAAATCAATCTATTATCATGTAGATATTTATGACATAAGTGTGTGACATAATCCATTTAGTCGCACTAATGATGGCTTAAGTTTGTCGACAGGCGCGTATGTACAGCAAGAAAGTTTGTGTTTAATTCAATCAGTTAGTAAATTCAAAATTCTCAAATAAAATAACGTGTAGTAAACACATAAGTACTTTATCCGCCTCGTAATAACTGCACCTAGTTAAAGAAAACTATAAAAGCCTGAATATAAATTGTACATAACAGAATGCTCACAAATGGTGTAAATAACTTCTTCGCTAGTGAATAAAATAATCACAGAAACTAAATAGCGTTCTAGTACATTGGCTCACGCTCGGACCTTATACGAAAGACGCTAAAACAGTACGCTAACAAACGCTGAAACAGTACTGTTTGTTAATGAATTTCTAATGAATATTTTACGATCAAAACGTGACTAACTGGATCAAGCCATGTGTAGACCACAGCTCTTGGTAACCCTTACAACTGAGATACAAAGTTACAAACTATCCATGTCAGAATTTACAAGAATTCTTTCAGTGTTGAAATTCGAAACAAGTTTCCTTAAGAGTACTACAGATGACAAAATGGAATAGATCAAAAAGAGATAATCTTTATAGAACTGATTGCTCTCCATTGATTCAGAGACATCGTGACAATCCTGTTCTACATTGTTTTATGTTCAATATTCGAAATCTCCCTGAAAAATTCTATTTGGATTATATTGAGAAGTTCAGTGAATGTTATTAGTCTTAAACAAACAACGTTTCTGACAATTAAGATATTTTCCATTGTCAGTTGCATTTCCGCTTTTCTCTCTGGAATATTCATTCCGAGAAGAGGCACTCGACCGCACTCCTAATTAAAAAGAACTTAAGTTACCAAGAAGCGGTTGGTCATGCACGGGAGGTTACACAAATGATCCATGATATGTAAAAGAGTTGAAGAATAATACTGTGTAGAAAAAAGTTGATGTGGAACAAAAGAGGTACAAAACTAACGTTGAGGCAAAGAGCCATGGAAAGAACTGGGAAACACAAGAAAGAAAAATGAAATAAGAATTCGACAAAAGAAAGCGCACCAAAGAAGAGCACCTAAGAAACGTCTCATGAAAGGGAAATGTTGGATCTATGTTTTGTCGCTTAGCTGTTGATTTTGGCAAATTCATTACAAAATCTATACACAGACTGTTCAATTATTTATGACTTGTTCAATAACATCATAAAGACCATTCGCAGACCCGTAGAGATATTTGAGCAATGCATTTGAACAGATATACCATACAATATACCCTTAATTTCGAAGATATTCTTTCTTTGACAAAGACTTCATAGCAAAATGTTATGAAGAACATCTGTATACATATTGCCTTACATATACACTCAAACCTGTATCAGGTATTAAGCGGACTCACTTAAGGAACAGAGAAATGTTCTCTTAATGAAACCTTGATAGATGTTTCATTATTACGAATAACCATATATGCGATTAAATTCAGGATTAATAAAGTTTGAAAATAATCAAAGATCACGTTTGGGATCTCGGAAAAGGTGACCGCGTCCGCTTAAAAGGCGACCGCGTCCGTTTAGAGGTAACCGTTTAAAAAACATCACAAAAATAGTATATATACTATGACATTTGCTCTGGACAGTGCCACATGACCGCTTAACAAAGGACGACTTGGTAGAAATCTACATTAGATTTATTCTCAAGTAGTTCAACTTGTTCTCAAGTAACATAATTTTAAAAAGTCAAACCAATTACGGAAACGTATTTTTAAAAAGTCAAACCAACTACATAAACGTAATTTTTAAATTGTCAAACCAATTACGGCAAGATAATTTTAAAAAGTCAAACGTACCATTGCAACAAGTAGCCACCGAAATCTAATCCAAACTGCAGCCAAACCTGAACAATTCCATCGTGACTTCATCTCTGTGCGTACGTAGTCACGTGATTGTATCAGCACCTCCGGGTCTCTTTTCCGACGGCTTCGTTTGTTAGTATTGTTTGTTTTAAGGCCCGTTCATACGACCCCATCGTTTCGGTTCCGACTTTTGGTTTCTTGTTAGACGGTCCGATAATTTTGTTGATATTTATATTCGTTCAGATATTTATAGTCGTGGAGCAGACATTTATGCTATCTAGTACATTTAACGATATATTTTGCGTATTTTTGTTCTTATTTCCAGGTATTTTTCGCATCAAATGTTTTGCGCCAAATGAAATTTGGAAAGTATTGAGAGTGAGAGGTTTGGAACTAGTCGGTTTTGTTTAATCTTGTTGGATGAAAATAGAGCAAGGTCTGTTTCCATCTGATTTTTCAGACTGACGGATTCGACTGTCGGAATCTTCTTTATACGTGTTCACGCGATCCGTTTTTACAAAATCGCATCCGACAAATCGGATCGCGTGAGCGGGCCTTTATGTTGCTTTCCTACCAATTTTTATTACTGTTCAATAAATCTATTCAATTCAACGTAGACGAAGACAACGGTAGCGTAGAAAGTCATTTTGGATTTGGGAAGCGTTAAAAATTGAATTGAATTTTTGATTTGAGCTGCATACTTCAAACTTACTGATTTCTTGACAGTCGATCTATATATTTTGCTTGAACATCAGTGAAACACAACTTTTCCCAGTTCATACCAGTTATGACACAAGTTAAGACAATATTTTAATCTCTTACAATTCACTGTCGAATTCTCAATCGCTGCAGCGTTGCGTTGCTCGTCCTCCTTGTTTTGTGTTGTTTTCTAAACGAAAAAATGTTTGTTGGAAAGTTGGAAACAAAACATTAAAAAAGGAAGAAGAGAGAATGAAAGACAAACCAAAAGTCTCAATACAATTAAATCGCTTATTTTCTTCACATCTTTATGACGAGATAAGACTTGATTTTCTTTCCTGTTGAGAAAGGATGAATTTCAAGCCTGCTAAATTTACGTTTTTTCCATGAAAATGATCATAAAATTATCCTAATGTCTCAATTTCTCCTTAAAATTTACTTGTGGAGTGCTATGATTAAAATTCCTTGCCATAAATATCATTAAATAAGCATAAAATAAAAGTTACATTACTTTTGAAACTCGTTCCTTTCATGTTTTTCTCGTCGAATGAACTTCATTCTTTTGTTGCCATGGAAGTGCCAGGCGGGAAGCGGATTCTCAATATAAATATTACAGCCCAAACAAATAATTTTAAACATAGTCAAAACAATTTGGTTTTATGAAATTTATTAAAAGAGTGACGTTTCGTTTCGTTTCCTTTAAAATGTCTTGAGTAAAGACGAAACGTCGCTCTTTTAATAAATTTCATAAAACCAAATTGTTTATGACTATGTTTAAAATTATTTGTTGGGCTCAAATATTTATATTGAGAATTCATTCTTTTGTTTGATATTTCATCAAGAAGACTAAAAAAATAATATTATCCATTACTTTATCATACACGGTGGTTTACTTCTTTATGAATTATTTTTTATCATTTCAAATGAGTCATTTTTTGTTGAAAAACTTCACCCATAATAAAAAATCTTGTATACTTATACCATTGTATCAATATGAAAGTTTGAAATCTTGTTCAATCGTAAGTTGAATTTAATAGTGAAGAGCATAGATTTCACGAAATGTTAAAATGAACAAAGCAGACCTCAACTTATTTAACTCCTTATTAAATCAAATTTACCATCTCATTGACATGTTAAAAGATGCAAACGAATGCAGATGTAAGAAGGATAAAGAACAGCAAGTTTACTTATGGTAACAATCAGTGCCGTGGCCAGCCTGCAGATTTACGCACATTATGTAAATTCTGCAAGATTGCCACAATTCGTTTCCTTAGAAATCTTTTGCTCTCACAGTCAGTGAACACAAAATGTTAACACGGCGGAATCCAATTTCAAATCAACTTTTTTATCTGTGTATGTTTTTGCCAACCATTATAAATGTAAAGTAAATGGTTTGAACCAGGGAGTATCGTTACATGTTTGTAGATGTCGATCGTCAACGTTGGTAAAATCCTGAGAAGGACTGTTTGTATTGTTGTTGACTGTTCGTTGTGTAGTCAACAACAACGAAAACAGTCCTTCTCAGGACTATACCAACCTGGACGATCTACATTTACAAACATTATAAATGTAGATCATATATTCTTTATTGCAATCAGCATTTTTTTGAAGTAAAAAAATGCACCATTTAACAAGATTGCACTTCGCTGTCACTACAGTGTAGTCGGTGAAGAAACTGGCATACAGGCGATTTTTTTCATACAGCAGAGTAATTGCAACACCTTGCACCTACAACTACGATTCTTAATAGAAACACTTACACTCTCATAAAAAGCAGAGATTTTCTAAAATAATAGTTAGAAACCAGTCTCCAAACAAAACACAAAAGACAAAATGCACTTTTAGTTACCATTATACTTAGTTTAACACAAACAGGAACACACATGTAACCACTACACCGGGACTGTCCACCAATAGTACATTGACGGAATTTAAAACTTTTGTCAACGACAAAAACATTTGAGTATTAAGTTTATAATTTCGATTTATGGAAAGAAATAACAATCACAATTACCTATGTGGGAACTAAATAGGTTTCAAAAGAATTGAATATGGAAATGAAATAACATTATACGAATTAGCTAGTTTGCCTGAGGAACTACTGAGGACATAATAGCTAATAATGGTTTCTAATTTTAAATTAACAATGCGTTATTATTTATCACCACAAGATGTGCTATTTACCTCCAATCCTTGGCTCGGCAAGTACGTATATTTGATTACCACCAATTATCCATGTTTATCAACAGGAAGCAGCGGAGAGAGCTGTGAATCTACTTAAAGAAAAAATGCAAGGCCGTGGAGGAGTAATTGCTATCGACAAACAGGGAAATATTGGAAAGGCGTTTAATACTGACATCATGCCTTGGGGTAGCATTAAAAATAATCAATAAACATTTGGTTTAAATGATACACAAGGAACAACGACATGTTTTCAGGAAGAAAGCCGTTGATTAAATGGAAACCAGTGATCGTAAATTCTCTAATTTAAACAACACATAAACTTCAATGGTTCCAGAAGTAAGCATGCCAACAATATTGTTAAAAACAGTTTGTTGAAGTTTTAGGACCATGAACAAAATAAAAAGTTGTGTAGCATTTAGTTTACAATTCGCTGTCTAATTTTAAAGCTTTGTCAATAGATGCAGCAATCTTTTGTTCGTCCTCTTTGTTTTGTGTTTTCTAAACGAAAAAACCCTGAATATAACTAATTCTAAACAAAAGAAAAAACCCCAAAAGAAAGAATGAAAGACAAACCGAAAGTCTCAATACAATTAAATCGCTTATTTTCTTCACATCTTTATGACGAGATAAAACTTGATTTTCTTTCCTGTTGAGAAAAGATGAAATTTAGGGCTGTTATATTAATCTTTTTGAAAATAAACCTATATTTAAAATAGATAACGCTGAATGTTCATATAATTATACTTATGTCTCAATTTCTCCTTAAAATTTACAAATTAAGCTCTATGATTAAAACTCGCAGTCTAAATAAGAAAAAATAAAAAAGTTACTTTACTTTTGAAATTCGTCCCGTTCATGTTTTTGCCGTCGAATGAATTTCATTCTTTTGTTTGACATTTCATCAAGAAGACTAAAAAAAGAATACAATCCATTAGTTTCATTTATATCAAACACTTGGATTTAATATTTCTTTTAGTATTACATTTTATCGTTTCAAATCTGTCGTTTTTTGTGATAAAAACTTAGTCCAAAATAAAACACCATGTACACAATAATTGAATCAAAGAAGAAATTAAAATCATAACGAAGGTAGCCTTGAGAGTATCAACTTCACTTCTCTTCATGATCCCAAACATAACAATGATATAACACGACAAATAAAACATTCCTTCAGTTAGATGTGAAATAAAGCAGGTTTGCATGTATTTGTACGTATTCTTTGCGAGAAACGAATACACGTATACAAGAAAAAGCAGACAATACAACTTCACCTTTGGATTTGTTTTTCCGTTTCTTGTGACGACCGTAAGGAATCGTTGATTATATCGCGATAAGTTGGACCATCAACACTTAGATAATTTATTAAGGAAAAAAACGAGAATTTAACCAGACAATTTACCTACGTAGAGAAAAATATCGAAGATTAACGAGCAAAGATCATCATTGAAAGATCTCAAACTCAAAAACAGAGAACATTACAATGAGAAAGTTTGAAATCTAGTTCAATTATAATGAGGAATTTAATAAGGAATGTCAGATTGAGATTTCACGCAATGTTAAATTGCACAAAGTTAACTGCCTCCAAAAATTTTTAATTAAACCTGTATCGATACAAAATTCATCATCTGATTAAAATATCAAAGATGTCAACGGGCACAAATACTGAGGAAAGAAGGTTAAAAAAAGCAGATTTTTTAACGATAACGACTAACGATGGCAACTTCAAAATTCAACAAACAAAACATTACACAATAAAAAGGATACGGTGGTAGATTTTTGATTTCCGTACGTTGAACGAGAATTGAAGTCCCGGAATCCCTTGCAAGATTTTTCTTTTCAAGAAAATGCCTCACTAAAGGACTTTGTCCGTAAACATCAAAGACAACCTTTTGAAAGTCCGGACCTCTACCAGCGTGACATGACTTTGAAAAACACAATATATATGCATGACCCCATTTGCACAAGGAGTCCTTACGATCCTATACTAAGTTATCCTAATGTTGTACATGATGCCATATGCAATTCTACAAGCACAGTATAAAGAGCAAACACGAGAGCCACTTCAGTAACATTTTTTGTGCCAAGTAAAGTATATCTTATTTCGTATGTGAGTAGCCTAATGGCAGTCAGTCAATGGTATTTTCCCGCCAATAGGAATGATGAAATGGTTAATTAGTTGCACATAGAAGTGGATCTATTGTTTAATCATGACGGAACTCATTTACCCCATTACATGCCAAGTGAGAAACGATCAAAATTGAAGTTTATATAATGTCATATTATCATATACCATCCCTGAGCATACCTCATTTCTCCCATTACATGCCAAGTGAAAAACGATCGTAATTGAAGTTTATATAATGTCATATTATCATATACCATCCCTGAGCATACCTCATTTCTCCCATTACATGCCAAGTGAAAAACGATCGTAATTGAAGTTTATATAATGTCATATTATCATATACCATCCCTGAGCATACCTCATTTCTCCCATTACATGCCAAGTGAAAAACGATCGTAATTGAAGTTTATATAATGTCATATTATCATATACCATCCCTGAGCATACCTCATTTCTCCCATTACATGCCAAGTGAAAAACGATCGTAATTGAAGTTTATATAATGTCATATTATCATATACCATCCCCGAGCATACCTTATTTTTCCCATTACATGCCAAGTGAGAAACGATCATAATTGAAGTTTATATAATGTTATATTATCATATACCATCCCTGAGCGTACCTCATTTCTCCCATTATATCCCGAAAGGGAAGAGCGGCTTGTTTTCGTGGATTGTAATGAGTTTGAAATGGTCAAGTTAGTCTTCGAAGGATCTTTGTCATTGCCGCTAAAAGATCTCCTAGAATCCTGTTTAACACATGATATTTTGACGGATGGTTTTTTGAGTAGAACTTCCGTAATGACGTCATCCTCATCCTGGACTTTCCTAAGCGATGTTTTCTTTCTCAAGAAAGGATCTTCACTGTTCACGGTTTTTATTTCTTTGGCAAAGCGTTTAAATGATTGAGTTCTACCCTCGGTCAACCTTAGTTCACTCTCCGCTTCAAAAGAACTCAATTTAAACTCTGTAAGCAAACAATATGAAAACGGGTGTAAATTTCAAACACTAATACATGTACGCATGCGCGTACAGCAATTCACTTAAAAACATTTCATACCATTTGGTACATTCTTATGAATTTCTTCCTCTATGTTCATTCCTTCCGGCTCAAGTAAGGTCAGCGGCCATCGTTCCCAGCAACGTTTAGTGGGTCGCGTACCTATGTGAAGTTTTAATTTAAGGCTCCATTTAATCTGGTAAAATATTTACACTAAAAGAGCCCTACCTCCAAATCTCTAACACTGAGAAGAGAGTTATTACAGAATGCAGACGTTCTTTCAAATATAGCTTTTGCCACTAGCAAAACCAGCTCGTTTTTATTCATAAATCATCCTTATATCATCCTAATATTATCCTTAAATCATCCTAATATCATCCTTATACCATCCTTATATCACCTTTACATCCCTACATCATCCTAATATCATGCAAGAACAAATCGTATTTCCGGGGGTAAAATCAACAAAACCATACCAACAATCCATTGATGCACAATATCAGCAAGATCTTGCTTGAAACGGTCGTCAAATTGTCGGTAGGAGGTCGGAAACGCACGACAAAATATTGTGTAAACGGCCTGGGACACGAGTGATGGATATCGCTTCAGAAATGTGTCACGATAATGGTGGTTTGATAAGCCATTAATGATTAACTCAACATAGTTACTGGCAACGCGGTTAAATATTTGACTTTGGATTTCAGGACAGCTCTAGAAAAGAAGAAAATATCAATGAAGTAACGTCAGTCGTGTAGTTAACCTACAAATTTTTAGAGCGAGCTTCTATTTTGAGAAATCATGCAGTTTGATTGGCGAGAGAAATGACAGAATCAGTTTGATTGGCTAGTAAAAACATAGCAGCAGTTCGATTGGCTAGGAAAAACATAGCAGCAGTTTGATTGGCTTGTAAAAACATAGAAGCAGTTTGATTGGGTAGTAAAAACATAGCAGCAGTTTGATTGGCTAGTAAAAACATAGAAGCAGTTTGACTGGCTAGTAAAATTATAGAAGCAGTTTGATTGTTTCATTTGTTTGCGAATGAATGCAATTATGTAAATAATTTGGCTAGAAGTGATACGCTCACCTTCGCATCCTTCCCCTCTAGTAAATAAACATCTGGTAAGGTCTTAAATTTTACGGAAAAAGCTCATTCTGCGAATAACATTTTCCTCTAAAAAACCCTGAACATTTCTAAAGACATATATCGAATATAGAGAGACAAAATACCTGATACTTTTCAAGAAACAACCACCAAAACAAATCCTAAAAAAGATAAAATATTCTTCTTGAAAAACCTTTTGCGGGTCGTAAGGTTATCAAATAATCGAAAACACTTTGATAAATGTACATACAATCCTCAATACTGTATAATACCTGTACAAGAGCCATTGACGGACGACTTAAAAACAATTTCTTGAACTCTTTACGAAATCCAGGCTGTCGACGTTAATAAACATTTTAATGTGTTACTGTTCTTACTTTTTAGCATTTTATGTGAAATAATATTGAGAAGCACAATCAAGATTAATTTAAAAAAACAGTTATTTTACTTTACAATTTAACACCACGGGTGATAGGTAAAGGGTGTTGATGGGGGATAGAGGGTGTTCATGGGCGATAGAGGATGTTCATGGGGGATAGAGGGTGTTCATGAGGGATAGAGGGTGTTCATGGGGGATAGAGAGAATTGAGGGGGGATGGAAAAAAATGAGGCAAAGAAAAAAAAGAAATAAATATAAAGTGTGTCCATGGGTCACAGAGAAAAAGACTAGATAATAAATGGTACGGATCCTTAATTTCCACGAACGAGCATGCGTAAAAGACTTTTAACTGGAAAAAATTATAGTATAAAAAAGTATAGAAAATTTCTTAAACATTAACGATCGTCTTCATGATCGTTGGTCTTGTGGTTTCCAAACGATGAGATGAAGGATTTATTTTTCTTACTTTTTTCACAAGATCACTTTGAGCGTTAGTCACAATATTCAAGATATGTTCCATTGAAAGTGACACAGGCAAAGGTGTTAATTTTGTTTTGTTGAAGCCAGGAAATGTGTGTAACTAAATTGAAAACATGATGCTTAGATAGTTAGATGATGAAGGAAAATGGTGTGCATGGATGATGGCAATGGTGGATGGATGATGCAATGGTGGATAGATGGTGCAATGATAGATATATGGTGCAATGGTGGATAGGTGGTGCAATGATAGATATATGGTGCAATGGTGGATAGATGGTGCAATGGTAGATAGATGATGCAATGGTGGATACATGGTGCAATGGTGGATTGATGGTGCAATGGTAGATATATGGTGCAATGGTGGATAGGTGGTGCAATGGTGGATTGATGGTGCAATGGTAGATAGATGTTGCATTGGGGGAGCAATAGTAGATAAATGGTGCCATCCGTTCCCTCAGCTAAACAATCTCTAATATCAATAAATGAAAATCTAAGCTCCCAACAATGTTGAATCAAATATTCTTTAAAGGATTTAACAGAATACCTTCAGCTACAACCTACACTAGCAATGATTTTCATAACCAAAAGAGAACTTGCAGATTGTACACCAGAAAATAAAGTATGTTTTTGATGTTTAAGATTTTGTAAAATTCAATATGTTTACCTCAACAAGTAAAGGTCTTTTTGAAACTTTAGTTTCATCTCGTTGAATCTATTTAGAGTAAGCTAAGTGTAACGATTGTCCCATAACCTGTTTCAAAATCTCACAAATGTATAAGTAGATGGATAAAAATGAAACTCAGAGCAAGAGAAACTTACTCGTAATAATTATTCAAGGAAAATTAATGGAGATAAGTTGGAAAATAAAATTAAATTAAATTGCAACAAAACCTTGCTAAATAACTTCTTTGTCGGATTAATTGTTCCACCATGAGTATGAAAAGGGTTTGTGTTTTTTCCCATGACTGTCAAATATAGAATATTTAAGGTGTGAGACAAGCACACAAAGGTGTAAGACAAGTACATCAATGTACAACACCAGTACACAAATGAGTAAAACAAGTAATTTAATGTACAATACAAGTATGGCAAGGTATAAACAAGTACACCGAGGTATAAGCTAGGGCATAAGGTTAAAAACACCAAGGTATAAGACAAAAACTCAAGTATAAAATCAACCTGTTCTCATGGAGTAAACACCAGCAAACCTATTCACATCTCGACTTTTCTTTTCTTTAAAGTCATGAAAACAGAAATCAATTTAGATTTAGACAACGGAAAATCTTTGTTTTCCTGAGAAGGACATCTTATTGTTGAAAAGAAAACAAAGACATACCTCGCGTCGAGATAGCTGATTTTCGTGAAACTTGCTTCGGAGCTCGATAATCAATTTCTAAGTGTCCAAAACTAAAATTTTTTTCGCTTTTACTACTAACATTTGATCTTATTTCACCGTAACTTTCTATTACAAGCTCATTTTTAGGATAAAACGACGTCAACTCTGTGCCAAGGTCTCTTATCTTTTGGTTGATGCAATCGATAGAATCCATTTTTCCTTTAGAGGCTTCGCAGATAAGTTAAAGACGAATACTATATTCGCTCGATTTTTATATGTACAATACATATTTTCCCATTTTTTGATAGGTTTATACAAAGAAAACCCATAGGAAACGTATGCAAATATGTCTTCACTTGCAATCTTAGCTATAACATAAAGCCGAAAATTAAAAGATCAAAACAAAATCGCATAAGGCAAATTATCAAGTATATAATGTCATTAAACGAGGCTGTCAAAACTCAAAAGAGAAGCTAATTATTTAATTGAATGCTGCCAAAATTAACATCATAAAGGACAAGGATACACGACAAGGAACGCCTCCTTTCATCAAACTTGTCAACCAAACCATTCGAATTCACGAAAGAAGACATTTCTTTAAAAAATGTCTAAAAATTGTTCCTTTCAAGTGTTAGTTTCAGTCCGCCATCTTTGACAACCTAATGCATGTTTCCATGGCAAAATGACGCAATGAGTGAGAGCGCTGTTTATGCAAAAATATTGATTGGATCGTTAGGAGTGATTGGTGAGCAATAGTTGGCAAATAACAGTCGGAGTGGTTTCAAGTTACGTGTATCAGTATGTAAAGGTAGAAATGAATGAAAGCAACAGAGAACGAAAACAATCTTGTAGTCGTACTAACAAAATATTATTTAATTTAATGACTTATATGTGTGTGTGCCGTAGGCTTGATTTCAAAAATTGTGTGAGAAAGAATTTAGTAATTGTTAACGTGCTCTTTTTTTCCCCGATGTCAGACTTGATTTGCATCCAAGCTTCCTTGTTCTTGTGTTTTCGGTCTCCAATAGCGTTCTTCTTCTACTTCTTTAGCGTCTTTTCCAGGAGGGTTTTTTCCCTCAGGAAGGTTTTCTCCCTTATGAGGGTTTTCTCCCTCAGGAAGGTTTTCTCCCTCAGGAGGGTTTTCTCCCTCAGGAAGGTTTTCTCCCTCAGGAGGATTCTCTCCCTCAGGATGATCTTCTCCCTCAGGAGGGTTTTCTCTCTCAGGAGGGTTTACTCCATAACGTAACTAAAATTCAAAGAGTTTCTTTCAGCAAAATTAACGTTTCGTTATATTATAATAACATATTATAATAACTGTCGTTTTTAGTAAATTCAATATGTGCATATTTATGCAAAAGGATTTTTCAGTTTGTTTTTTCATGTGGTGGGATGTTTTAATTTTTTACTTTACTCGCCCTACGTGCTTGGTCTGTAAAAAAAACTTAGATCCGATATTTCTCCATAAAGACCACAAGCTCGCTTAAAAAAGGGCTTAATAAACATTAATATCAACTGGAGAGATAACTCTACATAAACTCTCTATCATCATTGCGTGTCTTTCGCTCGCGTGAAGGAAAATTTATTTTGGATCACGTGAGCACAATTTTGCCAGTCCAAGATAGGGTGGCTTACTATAAAAGTACAAATAATAAACCTACCTGTTGTCTTCTCCACTTCCAGATTAAGCAAATTGTACAAATGAAAACAACAAAATTAATGACAATGATCCACTTAAGAGAAATACTGGTCTTAGATGAAGTACTGAAACCAAGAAACCATTCAACTTGGGTTTTGTTTAAAAGAACACTGGCGTCAAACGCTGGGATCAAATTGTAGTTAGGTTTCTCAGCAACTGCAAGCACGACTTTAGTAAAGGCTCCTTCTTCCATATAAAGGAGTAACTCCACATACACAGTTCTGTTTGGTACACCTCGTTTTTTTCTCGAAGCAATATCTTTATCTGTTGAAAAAATTCAAAATCAATGTTCGAAAGTACTTCTATATTTAGCATCATCAGCTGAATTTTTAATTGGTTATCATATGATTTAGCAATTTTTAATTTGTCGAATGTTTTTCCTTTGGCAGAGTATCCGTGACGTAAAGGACTCGCTTTTTCAATCCTGCTGTGTATAGTTTTTGTGAAAACGATAAGTTTGTACAGGTAATAGCATAGTTTAGACTTTCGAGTGCAATTTGGAAAAAAAATGCACGAGTGAGATTTTTCAAAGACTATTAAAATTGCACTAGTCCATCATTTCCGGCAAAATGGCGCGCTTTGATTGGCTCATAAACATTTTTGCCGGTCCATTATTTTGCCGGTCCAAAACGCGTAATTTTACAGTCAAATGTAAACAAACTTCGTAAAGCAAATAGCAAAACGCAAAATAAACAAAACAAAAAACTATTTACCAACGTGATTCGAAAGAAAAACAATTGGAAAACAGTTAAACTATCGAGACGATACAATTTGAAACGAGTTTATATTTTATGGACGAAAACTTGAAAAGCGAAAGCCAACCGGTAAAAAAACAGCAAAGACGAGAAAGAAAGCAAGCTTCGTTTCAGGTGAAATAATGCCATATAATAAGCCTCTTAGGGCCTGTTTATATGGAGCCGAGTTACCCGGCTGAGCGAGTTACTCGCTCAACCGGGTTTGACAAAGTGATCTGTTTATATGGCACCGGGTAACTCAGCTAGTACTTCCGTTCATTTGTCTTAAATGAAGCTTGATAGTGCTAACTTGGAGTAAAGGCGCGAGATTTTAAAAAGCCTCACAGTTTCGCAGCAAAAATGGAATGGGTGAATATAAAATTGCAAATTATGATATGTTTATGTTTTTGAATAATAATGCTGCAAGTACAAGGCTTAGTACGCATGCGTACCAACAAAGCCAATTTTCTCGCCTCGCCGAGTTACCCGGCAAATGCGTTTATATGGAAATATTCATCCCGCCTAGCCGGGTAACTCGCTTACACAAACCGAGTTACCCGGCAAAGCGAGTTACTCGGATGTGTCATATAAACGATTCACCGGGAAATGCATACATTTTATATAAGGGGTATAACCATCGATCAACCGCTTCGGCGAGTAACTCGCTCAGCCGGGTAACTCGGCTCCACATAAACAGGCCCTTAATAACCTCGCTTTCTCGGTCTTTACTGAGAAATATCGGACCTCTGCCTTTTTGTACAAACCTCGCACTACGGGCTCGGTCGGTACAAAAACACCTCGGTCCGTTATTTGTCCGTAAAGACCTCGCGCTTGGTCATTAAGAGCTTAATAATCTACATGAAAAAATTTCTCAATTCTGTTGATTTTTAACTTCAGCTTACGTACATTTCAGCCGGCAAGTATAACCATCGATCAACCGCTTCGTATATTTAAATTCTGTCGGATATTACTTTTCACAACACCATACCTTCTGCACACGCAACTAGAACAAGGTATCTACTTTTAGCAGTGTTCATATTTTTATCCAAAAACACTTTGCAAACGGTGAATTGTAAACTTTTTCGCTAAAGAAAACTTACTTAAAACTTACGGCAGCCGTTGTAAATGCTTTGTTTAAAATAATTTAACTTTCCCGCGTTTTATTTTGATTGGCTCTTAGATCATTTCTTTGTTTGACTAGCCAATCAGGAGGGCATTTTTCAAAAATAAATTGCACTGTATTTCCTTTTTTTTTGCACTGTGTTTCCTATTTTTGCACTGGTATTTACGATAAATTGCACTCCTCTAAACCAATCAAAATTGAGAAATTTTTTCATGTATATTATTAGTAGAGAAATAAATGACGCTGCTCTGAAATTTACAAAGCACAATAAAAACACTATATACATCAGTGACTGCAACATCAAATCCAGACCTTGCATTATGTAATTCTTATTTTTGTCTTTTTTCCTTATTTTTTCTTATTTTAGTTTCTGTACCCAAAATGTCTACGAATATAGGTTACTTAAAAATATATGGTAATGTTACACTAAGGCCCAACACAGAGTTTAAGAGTTAACTCGAGTGCCTCCCCTTCTCCCCTTCAGCGTCAATTGTCAAACATAGAATATACCGGGATGCAGAGTGGATAGAAAAATTAAAAAATTTAGATCATGTAAACCAATGGAAAAAATTTTATCGCTTTAAAATCTGTTTTTTAAAAATGTACTGAAGGTCATTCTTACCTTCCTTCTCCTTAATTAAATCCTTTAGACTCTTCTCTTTTTCTGTTCCCTCAATCAAATCTTTAACATAGTGTTCAAACACTTTTATAAAGCCACGCTCTTCAAACAACGATGGAGGGGCATCCACAGTTAAGTTCATAAGATATGCTGTATGAACACATCTAGCAAATTATACAGCAGAAAATATTTAAATATTTGAAACAATAAGACTACGTAAAAATTAAAATGATGACAGAGTGTTGCAAAACATTTACTTTCCAGCAGCTTTGACATTCGATAGACAGAATTTTGGCTGAGGACAGGAAGCACAAAGTTCCTTATCACGACAGTTGTCATCATTAGGAACTAGAAAAATACATTATTTTTTATTTTTGAGACTGTTCTCGATCTTTCACTTATCATTACCTACACTGACACACGTTATCTTATTTCTTATATATTTTAGTTACTTTAAAGACTGTTCTTGTTCTCTGTTGTTCATTCATCACTACCTACACTGACACACGTTATCTTATTTCTTATATATTTTAGTTAGTGTAAAGACTGTTCTTGTTCTCTGTTGTTTATTTATCATTACCTACACTGACACACGTTATCTTATTTCTTATATATTTTAGTTAGTGTAAAGACTGTTCTTGTTCTCTGTTGTTCATTCATCACTACCTACACTGACACACGTTATCTTATTTATTATATATTTTAGTTAGTTTAAAGACTGTTCTTGTTCTCTGTTTTTCATTCATCACTACCTACACTGACACACATTATCTTATTTCTTATATATTTTAGTTAGTTAAAGACTGTTCTTGTTCTCTGTTGTTCATTCATCACTACCTACACTGACACACGTTATCTTATTTCTTATATATTTTAGTTAGTGTAAAGACTGTTCTTGTTCTCTGTTTTTCATTCATCACTACCTACACTGACACACATTATCTTATTTCTTATATATTTTAGTTACTTTAAAGACTGTTCTCGTTCTCTGTTGTTCATTCATCACTACCTACACTGACACACGTTATCTTATTTCTTATATATTTTAGTTAGTGTAAAGACTGTTCTCGTTTTCTGTTGTTCATTCATCACTACCTAAACTGATACACGTTATCTTATTTCTTATATATTTTAGTTACTATAAAGACTGTTCTTGTTCTCTGTTGTTCATTTATCACTACCTACACTAACACACATCTTATTTCTTATATATGTTAGATAGTGTAAAGACTGTTCTTGTTCTCTGTTGTTCATTCATCACTACCTACACTGACACACGTTATCTTATTTCTTATATATGTTAGATAGTGTAAAGACTGTTCTTGTTCTCTGTTGTTCATTCATCACTACCTACACTGACACACGCTTTCTTATTTCTTCTATGTATCAGTCTCAAATTCAATTGCTTTTTTTACCTTGAATATGAACGACCAGGTTTTTTGACAAGGTATGACGTGGATGTAAGGTACTTTCACATGAAATAGGAACATTGTAGGATAGATTTCCATGAATAAATATACTTTTCTTCACGTGCAATTTCGGTGGACTGTCATGAACATAAAAATGACTAATCACTTTAGTAATTTTACTTAAAGTGTCTTCCTCCTTCTTGATTTGACAAGTATATTCCGATAATTTCTCGGAATATGGCTGAAGATCAACCGTCCAATTTAAGCCACATTGTATTTGAGGATAATCCAAATCTTCGATAAAGATTTCACCAACAACTGAACAATCTTCACCAGAGCGAGGGGCTAGGAGACATATTGACGTGGGTTCTTCGTTCACATCTGTATGTAGTAAAGACAATGTATCACTTAAACATGAACTATTTTGTGTAGTACATGATTCAATTAATGATGAACAATGGTTTGTGGAGAGTTAAAATAACAAAGAATTTTCGGTTCTCGACCTTAGGCAACAATAAACAAGAATGCTTTGCCAGGTAAAATCGATCAGTCTATAAAATTCACTAGTAGATCCCCGCCAATAAATACAAAGACCCGCTAGTAGATCCATTGATCTACACAACGATCCACTAGTAGATCCATTAATGTATGCAAAGACCTGCCAGTGGATAAACTAATTAATACAAAGATACACCAGTAGATACCCCTATAATATTTTCATTCTCTTCGAATTAAGGATATCTTCCTGTTTTAGTTGAAAATTTTGTGTTGTCAAAGATCCCTGGAAATTACAAATATTTGGTAATTTACAAAGCATTAAATGTACATCATGAAGAGAACAAAAATACTGATAAACATTAATAGCACACCATTTGGTTCCAATTTACCAAAAGTCAACAGTAAATGACAACTTCTAAAATCTTTATTATAAAACTCTGTAAAAGCTGAGTCGTTTTATAATAAAAACTAACGTAAGAAATTCTTAATATAGGCTGTTATCCTTTTTTACATTCAAAATATTCCCACAGTTTTAAACGGAGGCAAAAAGCCGTTTGATCGTGAAAAATGTGACAGGTGAACAATTTGTTCAATCACAAAGTACCTTTGACTGGGATATCCAACATTTTATTGATAGTCTTTCCATATTGATCTTCACAGCTTATATTAATCTTCAAAGATTTTGAATAATCCAGACTTTCATAATCTGTAGAGTTAGCTCCAACAAGCAACGTGAGAGAGTTTAGTTTCACTCGATCCTCGTTGGAATCAAGGAGTTTACATGATGGTTTTGTGTTTTTATCTTCATCAATCATTATGACATTGCCAATAAAGACATTTTCTACGCTGTTCTCTTCTAATGAGGAATCTTGACTTATTTCAATGTTCGTGGGTGCATCGTTTATGTCTGCAAACGAAACATAAAGACGTAAATGATTTAACAACGTAAATATAACACTTTGAAAACGAAGGATGATGTCCCGAGCCGAACACAACGGATGCGAGTCGTACTGAGGGAGTCAGGGACATGCTCTCCTGGACCATTTTTCAATCAAGAAGCTCAAGCTAAAATTCCATTTCCTGGACTTTGGGGATAGAATATTATCGATTGTACAGTTTCTAATGCGTTTCTCCAACCCATAATTGACGACCCATATTCATTTCTACAGCCTCAAAAATCAACAGCTGGAGGGACACATGGTACTGTCAGGGAGTAATCTCATGTTGACTCCCCAGTTCCGGATGCTTTTTGTCACTCAATAATATCCCACTATACTGTGTAATTAATTTGGTGTTTATCTTTGTCACTATGTAATCTAGATCGTCCAGGTTAGTAGAGTCCCGAGAAGGACTGTTGTTGTTGATGTTGACTGACGTTTCGACAACCTTAGCAGTAGTCATCTTCAGAGTCATACTGAGTTAACTACTTCAGAGTTAACTACCGCTAAGGTTGTCGAAACGTCAGTCAACAACAACAGAAACAGCTCTTCTCAGGACTCTACTAACCTCGTCGATCTACATCTACAAACTGTAACGATACTCCCGGGCTCAAACCATTTACTTTACTATGTAATCTCTCAAATACACTTAAGAGCTCTTAAGATTAGATCCTTCGCTGCTTTATTTCATTTCATGCTTTCTATTTAGCATCATCTTTAATTTTAGTCCTATCATAACCCCTACCAATCATTCCAGCCATTATATGGCATATATTCGTCAGTCTTTTTTTTGTAAACATTCACAAAAAGTGTTCACAATGAGCTGTACTCTATAAACAAGGTGATGCCTAACACGATTTAGATTTAGTCAATTTATAACTTCAATGTAAAGAAACAAACCTAGAACAGTTATGGTAAAAGTCTTTTCAAAACGCAATCCACCGCCATCTCTAACAGTAATGGGTACCACTAAACTTGGTGTAAGCTCGTAATTAACTGATCCAAAGTGAAATAGTTCATCACGATTGGTTCCACTAATGACAAAAGACGCAGTACTATCAGCAAGAGTGTAAGTAAAGGACTGATTTGAGCCATCGGGATCTTCAGTAGTTAAAGTACCAATATACGTCATGTTAGGAGAGTTTTCTTGAATGGTCGAATTTGATAAGTAAAGAGATGTTGGAGCTTCGTTAACATCTACAAAATAACATTTATTTTATAAAAACTGAAGTAAAAACTACATTGCACATAAAACATATAAATAACAGACACCACAAAATACAAAGAAAAAATATTCTCTTAAGCAAAAAATAAAGGCAACTAAAGGATAAAGCACAGTTTCCATCGCGATCTTTCACCAAACTTCAGAGTTCAAGGCTTCAGTATTGACTGACGTTTGCCAGCCAGCTTCAGCTTTAAGTATATGAAAAACACTTAAGACCTATTTAACCCTTTCTTTCCCAGCGTCGTGGAATGGAAACATCAAGGAAACCATCCAAAACTCAAGTTAAGGGTTAAGCTAGACTTACCAGAGATGAAAATTTTAACGACTTTGAAGTATCGAGGCCAGCAGCATCTTTACAAGCGACATTGATATTGTAAACATTTTTTTTTTCAAAATCAAGATAGTCATTCCATTTAACTCGGAGAAAATTGCGATCAGTTTCGTGAGTAATGTAAAACTCATCTTCGTCACCATTTAATGAGTTCTCGAGGGAGCAATGATGGATCTGAGGTGGCACACTTTTTACATCTGGATCTATTACCTGTGACAGAAGTATACTCTTAATGCATGTTCTAGGCTAAGTTTTTCATCAGGTAATTGTATGTCTCCTTGTTAAGTATAAGTTCTTTCTGACTAAAATATGTTTAGTGTTGGATTAGGATTGAAATTGCTTTTACGTAGTTACAGTGATAGTGTGAAGTTTTTGAAGAATTGAAAAACGCGACAGTAAAAAACTCTTAAAAAGAGCATCTATATTTTTTAACAAAAACATTGCCTTCGGGAATCTCGGTATATCTTACTACCAAACACGAAATCTAAGCAACCGATTGATGTTTAACTCACCAAAAACTTTCCAATCACTGTTGAAGCAGGAGAATTCTCTGCTACAAAATTTTCAGACATCAAAATATCAGTTGGAGCTTCGTTTACATCGGTTACTTCGATCCGAAATTGTTTGAGCGCCATTCTCCCAGGATCTGCGACAGCCAACCAAATAATGTACACGTTTTCTTCTTCATAATCAAGAGAACCGTTAACAACGAGGGGAATCGAGTAAAAATTAGTTGATTTATGGTTCATTGTACGATATTCAATATTTGGAACACCTGAATTAAGAAAGAATTTTTTATGCAAACGAAATTGTATTTGCAAACTACAAAGGAAATTTAGAATATTCCTTTTTCAAAGTACTTGGAGACAGTGTTGATTTAATCTATTGTTATTATACTGAATGAAGGAAACCAAAGCAGCGAAAGATTAGATATAAGTTCAAAGTTGGTGAGGCATTTTTAACTGTTTTCGATTTCACGAGGCCATAAATCACGCTATGAAAGGTTATGGATGTAAAATCAAAAAATTCACCATGTATACAAACCTTGTAGAGCAAACTTTTCACGAACCAAAACACTACTGTGATTCAAATAAAACTTTAACGTGTCATTATCGTCATCAGTCGCAACGAAGTCGCCGATAACCGACCCCAGAACGCAGTTCTCTGGGATGCGATTACCCGTCAAAATTATATCCTTGGGTAATTCGTTAATGTCTCGTACAACAACAAACAAACTCTGGATGGACGAAGATTTTGGTGGATGACTTCGATCCGTACATTTTATCTTTATACGATGTTTATTCTTTGCTTCGTAATCGAGGGATTTTGCAACAACTATCTTGTTATCTAGCAACTTGAAGTAACCATTACCAGAGTCAACCAATTCCCAGGTAAAACGTGAAGTAGGTTTTTGACCAAGATCATCGTCTCTAGCTGTTAGAATACCAACAACGGAACCAATATTAACGTTTTCAAGAACGTCGTTATTTGAAAGTCTTATGTCGTAAGGAGAATCATTAACGTTCAACACAGTAATGTTAAAACTAGTTGTAGTAAACATAACAGGTGAACCATTGTCGCTCACATTAATTTTAACAGTGTAAATATTATCTGACCGGGGTTTCCACACTAAACGTCTATTTACCAACAATGCTCTTCCTTGAACAAGAAAATAAAAATTTGCGTCTTCATTCATTATTGTGAACGTCAAGGGATCATTTTGAAAATCGTTTGCAATGAAAAAGCCGACAATGGCAAAAGTGTTCATTTTCTCATTGATATAAGTGCTCGAGAAAAGAATATTTGAAGGTGGATCGTTTACTCTCCTGCAGTAATAAGGTACAGCAATTGGATCCCAGTCCCAAGCAACATTCCCGGTGTTACTGTCCAATATACATTGAGCCCTCTCAATGGGTACGTTGAAATTTATCCCAAGGAAGTTTCTAGCGAAGGCGTTAGGGATGTTTGTTGATTCAATGACAGCTAGTTTGAAATTGCCATCACAGTCGATGGAACAGAATTTCAAATATTCATGTCCGTGTGGGCAACTGATACGTGCAGGCTTGCAGGCTGTTCCAAACTCATCATGATATGCATTAAGTGGACATGGAGGTGGGATCAATGGTGAACATAATTTAGCTTCACACTTGTGTGGAGTTACTGCTGATGGTTTATAACCAGATAAACAGTCGCACCAATAACTACCATCTGTGTTTTTACAGTTGGAATTTATACAGCCACCATTTCCATTTTTACATTCGTTTATATCACCACATGATTTGCCATCATCTTAATGGAAATAAGATAGCACACCATATATGGAAACTTTCAATATCGGGTCATTACCATATATGGAATTTTTAAATAATGGGTCATTACCATATGTGGAAACTTTAAATAACGGGTCGTCATCATATATGATAACTTTAAGGAATGAGCATTACCATAAATGGACACTTTAAATAACGGTCATTACCATATATGGAACCTTAAATAATGAATTACTGCGAATAATCTAACTTCAACACGCTGCTGTATGAAAATTACAGAAAAAACTACCGCAGTTTTGAAACTTCCGAAAGATCAGAGGTCTAGCAATGGAGTGTCGTGTTGTTTACTAGATGTTGCAAAAAAAACAAGCAAATGAGACTAAACACTTTAAAAAAAGTTTGCGCTTACTTATGTAGTTCACATTATCTTTTTATGCGAATTAGAGGTTGAACAATTTACTTAAGGGGGGGAGTGAAATCTGATTCAACCCTCCCCAGTAAATTCGTGAATGCTTCAAACATTACAATATTTGATAACTAAAACACTTTTTTTATGACGATCGGTCATTCAGTAATTTATGCACACCAGCAAGTTGAAGTGTTTTGTTGAAGTTTGTTTAGAAAAATATATAATGAATAGTCATTACCTTGAAGTTCATAGCCTGGGCGAGTTACACATAAACACGATCCATCTGCAGAGTTACAAACATCTTGACATCCCCCGTTAGGTGAACCACATTGACGAGACTCTTCTAAAGAAGGACATGGGGACCCCCCGTGAGCAGGATGTGTCGTGATGTGACGACGACGAGTACTCGTTCCAATGCCACATTTTGAACTGCAAGCACTAAATTCCGTCCACGCTGTAGAAAGATGAAGGAAAAATATTGGATTAAAAAATGAAGTTATGTGTTTTGTCGTTTATGGTGTTGAAATTTTCTCACTGTCAGCAGCGTAGTCAGATTGCAAGTTTTAGTTCTGCTTGTAAATTCAGATCATTATCATTATTTATGTTTTTATAAATTTTTTGTTTTTGCAGTAATTTCACGATAATGAGTGAATAAGCGGGATGGCTACACCATCCTTACACTCTCTTATAACCTTTTAGTACATATAACAAGTATTAACAAATGATTTCTTTGTGTTGTAAGTGTCATGTATGAAATTATAATGTACACTGTAGTTAACCAGCGATCCAAAAGATTAGTGTAAACTGTAAAGATGCCTTGACGGAGGGAATTTTGCTATTTTGAACAAAATGGTTGAACGCTGTTATGTTGTTTAGTTGCTTCGACGTTTGTGACAATTGGAATTATTTTTTGCAAATTTTCGCACCTATGATTGTTCATTTCACGTCGTTTCAAATCGTCTCATTGAGCCAAACGATAAATTCTTGATATTGACTTCCTACTGAGTAGGAACAACGGAGCATGAGGCGTATCAAAATGTTGCACAAAAATAGTTTAAATGCAATATAAATCAAGAGCCGCGAAGACGTTACTTTATAATGAGCACAAAATAAATATTATTTGAACCAGAAGTTCAATCGATCTGCAAGAACCGATCGTCACTAAATACTGCAAGTTATAATGGCAAAGATTATCTAAAATAATCTAAAAGTCGAAGCGCTAATTCCGGCATAAGGATTGAAGGTTTCAGAAATAATTATATGCAGTTAAGCACACAATAGTTTTGTAGTAACATTTGCAAATCTATAGAACGCAGGAAGATAAGTCCGGGTTCAATATTCAAGTGAAAGATCACATAAAATAAGACCATATATCTGTCTACATTACCTCAAAATAACCAACACGATATTCATGCATCAAACGAATGAAGAAATTAAAAGATGTCATGCAAGACATAACTTCACTTTCGGTGATAAGCAAAACGAAATTCCAATGGTTTGAAAATATATTTCGGCATTTAGAAATCAATATTTGATGTTACGGATGGATAAGCCATGACTTATACAGTGAGCAACTAATAATTTTTAAGCATTTCTTCCAACATCTAAAATAAGGCAAAGCAAAAACTTACGCGAAACTTGACAATTTACTGAAGGTGGAGGACTTCTTCTTCGTCGTCTTCTTCGTCTCCATGATAACACGAAGATCAAATGAAATACCAACAATAAATAAATAACAAGAAAGAAACGTCTAAATAACATTACTAAGGATTCAAACGTTTTACCACAGGAAAATCTTCTTCATATAAGTGAAAAAGAACTCCGGTTTAAAGTTGTCAAAGATGTCTTCAATCATTAACTAATGTACTTTCATATTTCGAACACACCGTCCACACTGTGATTTCATGCTGTTTCTTTCCTGTTTTCATGAAGGCTAAACTGCACGTGTTATTCAAATGAGACACTCCACACAGGTTTTACATATTTGAGTACAATAAAATATTGTGTTGAATGAGCAACAGAAAGCTAAAACAGTATAGTATACGGCTAAATTCGTGTGATATCACTTTAAATAAAACTGTGTTTCATCTATAATTGTATATTGTCTCTCTGCCTTACGTGGTTTCATTAATTTCTTTAGCAAACTTTACAAAAGAAGAATAACTAGACTTAATAGCCATAGAAAAGAATATTTTTATTTCAACAGCATCAAAGACAACAAAGTCCAAAAATAATGAGCATTACATACATTAACAGAATGATTCAAGGAAAGTATGACATTAATTAGTTTAAAGTAAGCCAGTTTTTTTTGTTGCTTCTTGAACTTCAACTATCTGTTCATTGAACAGTGTACAAAAACTGCAAGTGAAGCGAAAAGTCGAAATCTGTGTCTGATAAATTTGCTTCAAAATCTTAATAAGCGTAGGCAAGGGAGAAAGGCGGCATGGAGGTGACTGCCGCGAACAATAGTTTCAAGACAATTATCTTTGAAAATAGTTCAAAAAATAGCAAATACCATAATGAATGGTAAAAGTAATATAATAAGTTGATAGTTCTTAAAAGAACTGATTAAGTAAAGAGCTACAATTAAGTGCTATATTTACGCACGTACATTTTGCATAAAGTGCTTTAGGGATGGTGTCGCCCCTAAAGAACAAGTTACGGAGAAGACAAAAATAAACAAACATATACCTGCAAGTCTTCTTCTTGATATTCTCTTCCTCAGCATCTTAAAAATACTAAACAACAAATTGGTGGTATGACAAAAACAAACAAGCAAAAACATACCGCAGTTTTTATGTGCGCTTAGTGCCATGTTTAACTGTTAAGCTGAATAATTACTAAAATGCATTGACCAAACTTTTGGAGCTTGTGTATTTTTCAAAACCACTGTTAGCAGTAGATAAAGTTGAAAATTCCCAAGTTCCAACTGAATGATGTATGGTCTTCATAGCAATTGCTAGAACGTTAGTTAAAGGGGTGGAGTGGCGTGTTTATTCATATACTTTGTAGTATCCGACTAATTTCTTTTGAAAAGAAAGGCTTAAAATCCTTCATTAATTGCTTTCATAAGAAATCTTTGAAGGACAACTGAACATATGAAACGTTTTAGAATAAAGTTGTTATTATTGATAGAAAAGTTAATCGAAAAGCAAACAGGAATTTCATTTTTAGTGGCCGTTTTTACACATTTTTGCTGGACAATAATATTGATTCCTCAAAAACACGCGTTCCACTTGAGAAAATATCATAATTTACTTTAAATTTGTACAAAATTTATACCAAACTTTAAAACACAAATCGCGAGAAAAATTCTCCTATATACTACATATTGATTGCAGAACAAACAACAGAATCGTAGTTCATAAATAATGAGCCAAGAAGATAGGCCCGAGAAAATGGAGTAAATAAATAAGCTTTTCAAATGCTAAAACGTAGTTAAATTCCCTTTAGATTGTCTTAGATGAAAATACTAAAAATTGTACGTAGAATTGCTTTAAATAAAAGAGAGTGAATCATGTACGTAAGAATTTATAAACCACACAAATGCAAATATAGTTGTGTTGAAGTCACTCAAGTACAGTCAACGAACGATAAATCTTCAAATTAGTTTTCATTCTGAAAGCATTCATTATCAATGTGTCTAGCAGCGTCATGGATCAACACATTTCACCACTACAGAGGAAGTCCCGTGTAAGGACACGTGACAAAACTTCAACAAGTAGACGATGTTATCTTCATGACCACGTGATCGTCTGATTTCGCTACCAAGAAGGTCAAATGATTCCGGGCATTACGAATCAACTGCATTGCACTAAAATGAACGATATGTGTTTACAGTCGCTGTATGAAAATATCTTGTTTTGATTCAAAATTAAGACTATGATTATCACACAAACATAAATGATTCCTTTCAAATATTAAGCTTAAGATTTTAGCTCGTGCATTTTATCTGCCTCTCAACTCGTTATCAAGTAAAAAAGGAATGGAGATGAGTCAAATCTCTTATTAATACGTACAGCAAGTGCACAGGACTTTCTTCACAATGACTGAGAGCGATGGACAGCGGTAGATAGATGGTGGAATGGTGGATAGATGGTGGAATGATGAATAGATAGTGCAATAGGTGGATATATGATGCAATGGGAGATTGATGGTGCGATGGTAGATCGATGATGCAATGGTAGATAGATGGTGCAATGGTAGATAGATGATTCAATGAAGGATAGATGGTGCAATGGTGGATAGATGGCCCAATAGTGGGTAGATGATTCAATGGTGGATTGATGGTGCAATGGTGGATAGATGGTGCAATGGTAGATAGATGACTCAATGGTGGATAGATGGTGCAATGGTTGATAGATGGCCCAATGGTGGATAGATGATTCAATGGGAGATAAATGGTGCAATGGTGGATAGATGGTGTAATGGTAGATAGATGATTCAATGGTGGGTTGATGGTGCATTGATAGATAGATGGTGCAATAATGGAGCAACAGTAGATAAATGGTGCAATCAGTTCCCTCAGCCAAACAATTTCTAATATCAATAAATGAAAATCTAAGCTCCCAGCAATGTTGAATCAAATATTCTCTAAAGGAATTAACAGAATACCCTCAGCTACAACCCACACTAGCAATGATTTTCATAACCAAAACAGAACTTGCAGATTGTACACCAAAAAATAGAGTATATGTTTTTGATGTTTAAGATTTTGTAAAATTCAATTTGTTTACCTCGACAAGTAAAGGTCTTTTTGAAACTTTAGTTTCATCTTGTTGAATCTATTTAGACCAAGCTAAGTTTAACGATTGTCCCATAACCTGTTTCAAAATCTCACAAATGAATAAGTAGATGGATAAAAATGAAACTCAGCCAGAGCAAGAGAAACTTGCTGGTAATAATTATTCAAAGAAAATTATTGGAGATAAGTTGGAAAATAAAATTAAATTAAATTGCAACGAAACCTTGCTAAGTAACTTCTTTGTCGGATTAATTGTTCCACCATGAGCATTAAAAGGGTTTGTGTTCTTTCCCATGACTGTCAAATATAGAATATGTAAGGTGTGAGACAAGCACACAAAGGTGTAAGACAAGTACATTAATATACAACACCAGTACACAAATGAGTAAAACAAGTAATTCAATGTATAATACAAGCACGGCAAGGTATAAACAAATACACCTAAGTATAAGCTAGGGCATAAGGTTAAAAACACCAAGGTATAAGACAAAAACTCAAGTAAAAAATCAACCTGTTCTCATGGAGTAAACACCAGCAAACTTATTCACATCTCGACTTTTCTTTTCTTTAAAGTCATGAAAACAGAAATCAATTTAAATTTAGACAACGAAAAATCTTTGTTTTCCTGAGAAAGACATCTTATTGTCGAAAAGAAAACAAAGACATACCTCGCGTCGAGATGGCTGATTTTCGTGAAACTTGCTTCGGAGCTCGATAATCAATTTCTAAGTGTCCATAACTAAAATTTTTTTCGCTTTTACTACTAACATTTGATCTTATTTCACCGTAACTTTCTATTACAAGCTCATTTTTAGGATAAAACGACGTCAACTCTGTGCCAAGGTCTCTTATCGTTTGGTTGATGCAATCGATAGAATCCATTTTTCCTTTAGAGGCTTCGCAGATAAATTAAAGACGAATACTATATTCGCTCGATTTTTATATGTACAATACACATTTTCCCATTTTTTGATAGGCTTATACAAAGAAAACCCATAAGAAATGTCTGCAAAAATCTGCTCACTTGCAATTTTAGCTATAACATAAAGCCGACAATTAAAAGATCAAAACAAAATCGCATAAGGCAAATTATCAAGTATATAATGTCATTAAACGAGGCTGTCAAAACTCAAAAGGGAAGCTAATAATTTAATTGAATGCTGCCAAAAATTAACATCATAAAAGACAAGGATACACGACAAGGAACGCCTCCTTTCATCAAACTCGTCACCCAAACCATTCGAATTCACGAAAGAATACATTTCTTTAAAAAATGTCTAAATATTGTTCCTTTCAAATGTTAGTTTCAGTCCGCCATCTTTGACAACCAAATGCATGTTTCCATGGCAAAATGACGCAATGAATGAGAGCGCTGATTATGCAAAAATTTGATTGTTGAGCAATAGTTGGCAAATAACAGTCGGAGTGGTTTCAAGTTACGTGTATCAGTATGTAAAGGTAGAAATGAATGAGCAACAGAGAACGAAAACAATCTTGTAGTCGTACTAACAAAATATTATTTAATTTAATGACTTACATGAGTGTGTGCTTTAGGCTTGATATCAAAAATTGTGTGAGAAAGTATTTAGTAATTGTTTGCATACTCGTTGCTTGCCCTATATCGGACTGGATTTTTATGCAAACTTCCTTCTTCTTCTGTTATTAGTCTAAAATTGCCTTTATCGTCCATTTCTTTAGGTTTTTTTTCCAGTAGGGTTTACTCCCTCAGGAGGATTTTCTCCCTCAGGAGGGTTTTCTTCCTCAGGAGGATTTACTCCCTCAGGAAGGATTTACTCCCTCAGGAGGATTTTCTCCCTCAGGAGGGCTTTCTCCCTCAGGAGGGTTTTCTCCCTCAGGAGGATTTTCTCCCTCAGGAGGGTTTTCTTCCTCAGGAGGATTTACTCCCTCAGGAAGGTTTTCTCCCTCAGGAGGATTTACTTCCTCAGGAGGGTTTTCTCCCTCAGGAGGGTTTTCTCCCTCAGGAGGATTTACCCCTCAGGAGGGTTTTCTCCTACATGAGGGTTTTCTCCCTCAGGAGGGTTTTCTCTCTCAGGAGGGTTTACTCCACGACGTAGCTAAATTTCAAAGAGTTTCTTTCAGTAAAATTAATGTCTCGTTATTATAATAACATATTATAATAATTGTCGTTTTTAGTAAATTCAATATGTGCATATTTAGGCAAAATGATTTGTCAGTTTGCATTTTAATATGGTGGGATGTTTTAATTTTTTACTTTACTCGCCCTACGTGCTTGTTCTGTAAAAAAAACTTAGATCCGATATTTCTCCATAAAGACCACAAGCTCGCTTAATAATGGCTTAATAAACAGTAATATCAACTGGAGAGACAACTCTACATAAACTCTCTATCATTATTGCGTGTCTTTCGCTCGCGTGAAGGAAAATTTATTTTGGATCACGTGAGCACAATTTTACCAGTCCAAGTTAGGGGGGCTTACTATAAAAGTGCAAATAATAAACCTACCTGTTGTCTTCTCCACTTCCAGATCAAGCAAATTGTACAAATGAAAACAACAAAATTAATGACAATGATCCACGTAAGAGAAATACTGGTCTTAGATGAAGTACTGAAACCAAGAAACCATTCAACTTGGGTTTTGTTTAAAAGAACACTGGCGTCAAACGCTGGGATCAAATTGTAGTTAGGTTTCTCAGCAACTGCAAGCACGACTTTAGTAAAGGCTCCTTCTTCCATATAAAGGAGTAACTCCACATACACAGTTCTGTTTGGTACACCTCGTTTTTTTCTCGAAGCAATATCTTTATCTGTTGAAAAAATTCAAAATCAATGTTCGAAAGTACTTCTACTTTTAGCATCATCAGCTGAATTTTTAATTGGTTATCATATGATCTAGCAATTTTTAATTTGTCGAATGTTTTTCCTTTGGCAGAGTATCCGTGACGTAAAGGACTCGCTTTTTTAATCCTGCTATGTATAGTTTTTTGTGAAAACGATAAATTTGTATAGGTAATAGCATGCTTTTGAGTGCAATTTGGGAAAAACATACACGAGTGAGTTTTTCAAAGACTATCAAAATTGCACTAGTCCATCACTTCCGGCTAAATGGCGCGTTTTGATTGGCTCATAAACATTTTTGCCGGTCCATTATTTTCTCGTAATCGACCACGGTCCAAAACGCGTAATTTTACAGTCAAATGTAAACAAACTTCGTAAAGCAAATAGCAAAACGCAAAATAAACAAAACAAAAAACTATTTACCAACGTGATTCGAAAGAAAAACACTTGGAAAACAGTTTAACTATCCAGACGATACAATTTGAAACGAATTTATATTTTATGGACGAAAACTAGAAAAGCGAAAGCCAACCGGTAAAAAAACAGCAAAGACGAGAAAGAAAGCAAGCTTCGTTTTAGGTCAAATAATGCCATCTAATAAATCTTTTAATAACCTCGCTTTCTCGGTCTTTACTGAGAAATATCGGACCTCTGTCTTTTTGTACAAACCTCGCAATACGGTCTCGGTCTGTACAAAAACACCTCGGTCCGTTATTTCTCCGTAAAGACCTCGCGCTTGGTCATTAAGGGCTTAATAATCTACATGAAAAAATTTCTCAATTCTGTTGATTTTTAACTTCAGCGTACGTACATTTCAGCCGGCGAGTTTAACCATCGATCAACCGCCTCGTATTTTTAAATTCTGTCGGATATTGCTTTTCACAACACCATACCTTCTGCACATGCAACTAGAACAAGGTATCTACTTTTAGCAGCGTTGTTATTCTCATTTAGAAACACTTTGCAAACGGTGAATTATAAACTTTTTCGCTAAAGAAAACTTACTTAAAACTTACGGCAGCCGTTGTAATTGCTTTGTTTAAAATAATTTAACTTTCCCGCGTTTCATTTTGATTGACTCTTAGATCATTTCTTTGTTTGACTAACCAATCAGGAGCGCATTTTTCAAATGAATTGCACTGTATTTCCTTTATTTTTGCACCGTGTTTCCTATTTTTGCACTGGTATTTACGATAAATTGCACTCCTCTAAACCAATGAAAATTGAGAAATTTTTTCATGTATATTATTAGTGAAAAAATAAATGATGCTGCTCTGAAATTTACAAAGCACGATAAAAACACTACATACATCAGTGACTGCAACATCAAATCCAGACCTTGCATTATGTAATTCTTATTTTTGTCTTTTTTTCTAATTTTTTCTTATTTTTCTTTTTGTACCCAAAATGTCTACGAATATAGGCTACTTAAAAAGATATGATAATCTTACACTACGACCCAACACAGCTTAAGAGTGAACTCGAGTACCTTGCACTCCCCCCTCCCCTTTAGCGTTAATTGTCAAACATAGAATATACCAGGATGCAGAGTGGACAGAAAAATTCAAAAATTTAGAACATGTAAACCAATGGAAAAAATTTCATCGCCTTTAAGTCTGTTTTTTAAAAATGTACTGAAGGTCATTCTTACCTACTTTCTCATTAATTAAATCCTTTAGACTCTTCTTTATTCCTGTTCCTTCAATCAAATCTTTAACATAGTGTTCAAACACCATTATGAAGCTACGTTCTTCAAACAACGATGGAGGGGCATCCACTGTTATGTTCATAAGATACTCCATACCAATACATCTAGCAAATTACACAACACAAACTATTTAAATATTTGGACCAATTATACAAAAGTAAAAAATAAATTGATGACAGAGTGTTGCAAAACATTTACTTTCCAGCAGCTTTGACATTCGATAGACAAAATTTTGGCTGAGGACAGGAAGCACAAAGTTCCTTATCACGGCAGTTGTCATCATTAGGAACTGGAAAAATATATTATTTTTTTATTTTTGAGACTGTTCTCGATCTTTCACTTATCATTACCTACACTGACACACGTTATTTTATTTCTTATATATTTTAGCGAATGTAAAAACTGTTCTTGTTCTCTGTTCTTCATTCATCACTACCTACACTGACACACGTTATCTCATTTATTATATATTTTAGTTAGTGTAAAGACTGTTCTTGTTCTCTGTTGTTTATTCATCACTACCTACACTGACATACGTTATCTTATTTCTTATATATTTTAGTTAGTGTAAAGATTGTTTTTGTTCTCTGTTGTTCATTCATCACTACCTACACTGACACACGTTATCTTATTTATTATTTATTTTAGATTGTGTAAAGATTGTTCTTGTTCTCTGTTGTTCATTCATCACTACTTACACTGACACACATTATCTTATTTCTAATATATTTTAGTTAGTATAAAGACTGTCCTTGTTCTCTGTTGTTCATTCATCACTACCTACACTGAAACACGTTAACTTATTTCTTCTATATTTTAGTTAGTGTAAAGACTGTTCTTGTTCTCTGTTGTTTATTCATCACTACCTACACTGACATACGTTATCTTATTTCTTATATATTTTAGTTAGTGTAAAGATTGTTTTTGTTCTCTGTTGTTCATTCATCACTACCTACACTGACACACGTTATCTTATTTATTATTTATTTTAGATTGTGTAAAGATTGTTCTTGTTCTCTGTTGTTCATTCATCACTACTTACACTGACACACATTATCTTATTTTTAATATATTTTAGTTAGTATAAAGACTGTTCTTGTTCTCTGTTGTTCATTCATCACTACCTACACTGAAACACGTTAACTTATTTCTTATATATTTTAGTTAGTGTAAAGACTGTTCTTGTTCTCTGTTGTTCATTCCTCACTACCTACACTGACACACGTTATCTTATTTCTTATATATTTTAGTTAGTGTAGAGACTGTTCTCGTTCTCTGTTTTTCATTCATCACTACCTACACTGACACACGTTATCTTATTTCTTATATATTTTAGTTAGTGTAAAGAATGGTCTTGTTCTCTGTTGTTCA